GCCTTTCCTTTTGAAAAGACAATGTTAATGTCAGAATCTCTGCTTAGTTTTATGGCACTTAATATGTTATGAGGTATTTCAGGTATTAGTAATACCCCCTCTATTTTTCCTAAACCAGGCAAGGTTACATTTCCTCTACCTAATACTTGAACCTTTTCTTGGTTAGCTACCTTAATTACAAATTTATCTTCTGCAAATGAAGACAATATACTTTTGTTATTAGTGGTGTGATTAGTTGCTCCAGAATCAATAAGCCAATTATTGTTCTCACTTTGTTGTGTGTTAGTGTTGTCTTGTTTATTTAATCCATTCAGTGAACCAGACTTTCTATCCTTTGAATTGTCTCTGCCCCCTCTATTCTCTCTGTGATTTGGTGGGCTCCTATATCTATGCCTTTCTATGGAAGGCTGTCTATAATCGTATTTGTTTCTGTATTCTGATCTATATCTTTCTTTTAAGAATTTTGGGCAATCTCTTCTATTGTGTTCCCTGGATCCACAATTATGACATTTAAATGTTCCACTATATTTTTCTTGGAAAGCTACTTTCCTATATGGTTTATGTTCTGTGTGATTGTTAGAACGATTCCTTCTAGAATTATCTTCTGTTATCAATTTGTTAGATAGACTTTCAATGGATAAATACCCTAGATTGATTGTGTCTAAATGTGACATAAAATTGTCCCATGATGGGTCAAGTGAGTTGATAATGACACTTTTCATTGTTTGGTCTGAAATCACCTCCCCCCTCAAATGCAGTTCAGCTCTTATTTTGTTCAAAGATATTAAATGTTCACTTATGGAAACCCCTGGTTTTATCCTAGATGAAAAGAAGTCTTTAGATATCCTTGTGGTGGTGGCTACACTGTCACTGTGAAACAAATTAAACATGCATTGAATAATTTCTGAAACAGTCAAATTTGGCTTAATGCTGTGATACATTGCAGGAGACACACTAGATATTATTAAGAAAAAAGCTCTATGGTGTAAACAATCTATTTTTAGTGTCCAAGGTCTTTTTGGGGGACTAGTGATAAAAAACAGTAAGTTTTCCTTCATAAAGACAACCTGGAGCTGTTGATACCATTCTTGTAAATTAATGCCATCAACCCTTAGTTTTGGGAAGTCACTGGGTAAATTTCCGACATTATTGGGTCCATTACTTACAACCTGAGGTAGTCCGTGGTCTCGTAAATGCAGAAAATTGCAAAACGGCATGGGGGATGCTCGCTACGAGTCTGCATGATCTTCTCTCCTGTTCATGTCTTCCCGGATCGTCAGCGTAGTTTCGCGCATGCGCGTTGCCCATTTCTTCTTCGGCGTCGTCGTGGAAGGTTCTCCTCATTGCGGCTTGCTCGCTCTGCTCTTCTTCAGATGAGTCGGTCTCTGGTTCGACTTTGGGGGTTCTGGCGACGGTGGCTGTTCTTCCTCTTCTATTGAAAGCGTTGGTGCTTGCTTCGGTCTGCGGCGTAGGGCGGTATCGGCAGGGCTCTCTGGGTTCCGGCGTCAGCGCTCTAGTAGTCAGGATGGGAGCGGGCAGGTCTTGAGTCATTGGCTTGCTCGTTCGCTTTTTTGGTGTCTTTTTAGTAATTTTCAGTTTTGGCCCAAATGCAGCAAAGAGCGTTTTCATCGCTGATTTTATTTGGTGTTTTGTTGGATCTTCCTCGCTTTCTGGTTCTGATTCTTCTGAGGTGTTTGAATCTTCCTTTTCGTTTTCGTTGTCCGATAATATTTTTTCGCGCCAGAAATTTTGAATTGAGCTTGCTGATTGGCTCTTCTTCGTTCATCTTGGAGGCCGGTTGAAACCAAGATGGCTGCCATTCAAATTTTTGCGCGGGATCATCGTTTTTCTTCTTTGTAATGATTTTCTCCGCAGTCATATTACTCACTATTTTTGGATCTTTGGGTTTTTCATTGGTGATGTTTTTCTCTCTCGCTGCTCCGCTGTTCTTTAGCATATCTTGGAGGTTCGCGATGAGGCTTTCATCATTCTTCTGGCTTTTTAATAGTTTTAATATCTCTGACCTGAGTTCGTTATTTTCTATTTCGATTTCCTCCTGGTCATCAATTATTTCTTCGTCTTCAGTGGTGTATTCTTCGGATTCTCTCGAAATTGCATTCGTGGATTCGTTGATTATTTCTTGTTCCGTTTCCATTTCTTTGCTGTAGGCCCTGGTGTTGGGCCTATCTTTCTTAGACATTTTAAAGCTTTTTATTGAGTCAATTAACCATCCTCTGCTACCAGTTTGTTGCAATATTTTCAGGATCAGACTCAATAAGATCAACGAGAGTTAAAGATTTAACTATATATTCTTTTATTTACATTAGGCATTCTATATTCACTGAATATTCACAGATAGAAGCAAGGGAAATGGTGTAGGTAGCTCCTTATATATACAATGGGTGGAGCTATATGTGGGAGTGGTGAATTATGAATACATTAAGAAGTGAAGAATAAGTTAACCCCTGATACCCTGTCTGTACACTATTTACACATTGGAGAATAAGGCATTTATATCTGACAGAGTAGTACCATAAAATTATATATCAATGGAAAGATAATTTAATCAAGAATGTAATGCAATAACTTTTAGAAGGATTTGCTATTGGAATAGCAGTTACAATATAAAGAAGAAAAGGGAAACACGTAGAAAAAATGAGAGATACAAAAACTATCACCATGTCAGTTAATCCTTAGTTGGGTAACCTTTAGCATGAATGACGGGCCTCACAACGTCTTCCCATGGAGTGAACCAAGTCTTTTAGTTCTGCAGCTGTTATCATGTGAAACCAAGATTGAATGATGGCTTCTATTAACTGGGTTTTATTGCTAGGTCGCTTTTGACTAACAAGTTTCTTTAGTCAGCTCCATAGAGTTTCAATTGGGTTAAGGTCTGGGCTATTCCCAGGCCATTCCAGCAGTGGAATAGGATTATCTTGAAACTCCAAAGAAAAAAAAAGTAGTGTTATTAGCCATCAAACTTCAAAAATACACTTTTCCCAAAAGGTTTCCACAATTTTGGCCACTACTGTAGTATTTCATACGTACGGTACTTTTAATCCTGGGCAGCATTTCTGAGTCTCTCCCAAATGAGCAGATCAGAGGAGCCAAGATAAACTGCTGGTCGCATACCATGGGTTCCACCTGCTTTCTAATCCTTTTGGCTGAATTAACCCCAAACAGCCCAGATTTGGAGGCAATATATAATAAAGGTGGAATTGGACATTTCTCCTGAAGGGTTTAACCATGGTTGAGAGTAGTTGATTGGTTGAACAATGGAAGGGTCTGAATTTTAATGTGAGCAAAAAAAGCTTCACTCCTGTAGCAAAACAAGGGCTTGTTAAAAGCTGTGGTGGCGCAGTGGTCAGAAGGCAGTACTGCAGGCTAACTCTGCCCATTGCCAGGAGTTCGATCTTGACCGGCTCAAGATTGACTCAGCTTTCCATCAGCCTTCCGAAGTCGGTAAAATGAGAACCCAGATTGTTGGGGGCAATAGGATGACTCTGTCAACAGCTTAGAGAAGGCTGTGAGGCACTGTGAAGCGCTATATAAGTCTAAACGCTATTGCTATTGGCCAACAAAGGATCCTACAGAGAGACTAGGGGAAGTTTACATCCCTGTTGCATGTATGTCTCTCGAGTGATTTGTTCTGTTTGTCTATTTGTTGAGGGTTGTACATTTTGAGCATAGCCTGGTGATGCTCAAAGTGAAGTACAGGTAGTCCTCAACTTACAACAGTTTGTTTAATGACTCTTTGAAGTTACAACACTGAAAAAAATGACTCAGGACCGTTTTTCACACTTACAACCATGCAGCATCCCCCGTGGTCAAGATTCAGAAGCTTGGCAACTGATTCATAGTTATGTCGGTTGCCATGGCCTGGGCTCATGTGATTCCCTTTGGTAACCTACTGACAAGCAAAGTCAATGGGGAAGCCAGACTCGCTTCACTTAACAACTGCAGCGAATCTCTTTTAACAACTGTGGCAAGAGGGGTCGTAAAATGGGGCAAAATTCAATTAACAAATATGTCTCACTGAAAACAGAAAAGTTGGGCTCAATTGTAGTTGTAAGTTGAGGGCTACCTGTATGAGCTGAAAGTGCCCCTATAGGAGACACTTGCAATTTAAATTTCGTGTGTGTGTATGAAAGAGAGTGGGAGAGAAAGAAAAAGAGAGGGAGAGAAAGAAAGAGAAGGAGAGAGAAAGAAAGAGAGAAAGAGAGAGAAAAAGATGGGGAAGAGAGAGAGAGAGTGAGAGAGAGAGGGAAAGGGAGGGGGAAAGAAAGAGGAGGAAAGAGGGAGAGGGAGAGAGAAAGAGACAGAAAAAGAGAAAGAAAGGGGGGAAGAGGGAGAGAGTGGAGAGAGAGAGAGAAAGAAAGGGACAGAGAGAGAAGAGAGGGAGAGAGGGGGGGAAAGGGAGAGAGAAAGAGAAAGAAAGACAGAGAAAGAGAAAGAGAAAGGGGGGAGAGTGAGGAGAGAGAGAGAAAGAGGGAAAGAGAAAGACAAGGGAAAGAGGGAGAGAGAGAAAGAGAAAGGAAGAGACAGAAAAAGAGAGGAGAAGAGAGGGAGAGACAGAGGGGAGAGAGAGAAAGAGAAAGGGAAAGAGGGAGAAAGAAAGAGAGGGGGAGAGAGAGAGAGAGAAAGAGAGAAGCTCACCCAGAAGTGTTTGGGTTCAGGAAAATAAAATTTTTAATAAGTTTGCATCCTGGTTCCTTCATGGACGTATCTCTGCCATTTTCTTCTTCTTCCACAGTATTTTCTTTCACTTCTCCTCCTAGCCCAGATTCAGGAACTAACCCAGTCCTCCCACTTAGCTTTTGGGAATCTGCTAAGCTTGACCCATTCGCTTTGCACATTGCAGAAAGAAACCATGCGTAAATGCCTTCCCTTCCAATGACCCCAGTAAAGCCGATTGTCTAAATAAGTGCCTCCTCTTGTGTGTGAAAGGAAAAAGAAAACGGCAAGGTCTCCAAATCTCTTGTCTTCTTCCCTCCCTCAAGGCCGGATCATCCCCTTTAACATTGATGTGAGAAGACCTCAAATCTTTCGTGGGCCACGGGAAGCTCAGTTCGGCTACAAAGTCCTGCAGTTCACAGCCCAGGGGAAAAAATGGTGAGTCCCTACAGCTGTTTTGTGGCTCCTTTTTTTTTTTACTCTTTTGGTTGTTGATCGGAGTACCTCTTTATCACAAAGTTTGAAAGCGCACTTGGATTTTCCTGACATTCAATTTTGGGTCATTCAACAACCTTCAGTTCTGCTTCTTTGAATCATTAAGGCAGTGGTGAAATTTTTTTACTACTGGTTCTGTGCGTGTGGCTTGGTGGGTGTGGTGTGGCATGGCGGGCGTGGCTTGGTGGGCATGGCAGGGGAAGGTTACTGCAAAATCCCCATTCCCTCCCCACTCCAGGGGAAGGATACTGCAAAATCCCCATTTCCTCTCCACTCCAGGGGAAGGACACTGCAAAATCCCCATTCCCTCCCCACTCCAGGGGGAAGGTTACTGCAAAATCCCCATTCCCTCCCCACTCCAGGGGAAGGATACTGCAAAATCCCCATTCCCTCCCCACTCCAGGGGAAGGATACTGGAAAATCCCCATTCCCTCCCCACTCCAGGGGAAGGATATTGCAAAATCTCCATTCCTACCCCACTCTGGGGCCAGCCAAAGCTGGTATTTGCCGGTTCTCCGAACTGCTCAAAATTTCCTCCAGAACCTGTCAGCACCTGCTGGATTTCATCCCTGCATTAAGGACACTCTTGACTTGTCTTGCGGATTTCCCCCAGTCAAACATCAACTGTTTTGGGAAACATTGCATAAAGTACAACAGAACCAACTGGCAGACTTCCCTCTGGAAATAAATTAGGGATGAATGCAGGTGGGAGAACACAGCAACTGCTGCCAACCTGTGATTTAGGTCCAAAGATCAATCCAGAGGAGGAAATATACGCTTGGAGGCCCTGAGAGAGCGAGAAGGCAATTTGGGCAGTTGTTCCACTGTGGCAAAAAGCCCCAAGTTTTTTGAGATGGGTTCCGCAGATGGGGCAGGAAATGGATGAGTCACATAGAACAAGCTGGCGGGAACCTGGTGTACAGCTTGAAGATGGGATCCTGCAGAGGAAGAAAATGGAAATATAGTGACCAGCTGATGAGGAAAAAAAAACCCGAAGTATCCTCATGACTGATGATTGTTTGTAATAGGAAATCATTCAGGGGTGAAGTCCAGCAGGTTCTGACAGGTTCTGGAGAACCGGTAGCGAAATTTTGAGCAGTTCGGAGAACTGGCAAATACCACCTCTGGCTGGTCCCTAAATGGGAGGGAATGGGCATTTTGCAGTATCCTTTCCCCTGAGTGGGGAGGGAATGGAGATTTTGCAATATCCTTCCCCTGGAGTGGGGTGGAAATGGAGATTTTGCAGTAACCTTCCCCCCAGGAGTGGGGAGGAATGGGGATTTTACAGTATCCTTCTCCCAGGAATGGGGAGGAATGGGGATTTACAGTATCCTTCCCCTAAAGTGGGGTGGGAATGGAGATTTTGCAGTATCCTTCCCCCTGGAGTGGGGAGGGAATGGGGATTTTGCAGTATCTTTCCCCTGGAGTGGGGTAGGAATGGAGATTTTGCAGTATCCTTCCCCTGCCACACCCACCAAGGCACACCACGCCCACCAAGATACGCCAACAGAACCGGTAGTAAAAAATTTGGATTTCAATACTGAAATTATTGTTTTACAGGTTTACAGATTAACAGAGTTGGAAGGGACCTTGTAGGTCATCTAATCCAACCCCCCGCCCCAAGCAGGAGACCCTACACCAATCTCTTCTTGAAAGTCTCAAGTGATGGGATTGCCAATTTATTGTAATTTTCCAGGGCAGGTAGTCCTCAATTTAGGACCAACAATTGAGCCCAACATTTCTGCTGCTAAGTGAAACATTTGTGATGGGAGTTTTGCCCCATTTTACAAACTCTCTTGCCATGAACACTGCAGTTTTTAAGCTAGCAGCATGGTTGTTAAATGAATCTGGCTGACCCATTGACTTCTGTCATAAACATGAGTCAGTTGCCAAGCTTCTGAATTTTCATCACGTGACCATGGGGATGTTGTAAGGTTGAAAAAATGGTCCTGTCACTTTTTACAGTGTCGTCGTAGCTTCGAACGGTCACTAAAAGAGCTATTGGAAGTCAAGGACTGACTACCTGTATACTTCCGCTCCAGTTAAAAGTCCCCAACTCTTTATTCTTTTGTTTAATTAATTGTTTGGTGTCCTCAAATCAGGCCTGATTTTGGATGAAGAGATGGACAAAACCTGAAAATCACGTGAAGTATTAGTATCGCTTTATAAATTCTTAGTAAGTGGAATACTGCATCCAGTTTTGGTCACCCCATGGCAAAAAAAATAACGTTGAGACTTTGGAAAAAGTACGGAGAAGAGCAACTAAGGTGATCAAAGGCCTGGAGATGAAAACATACAAAGAATGGTTGCAAGATTTGAGTTTGACCAGTCTAGAGAAAAGAAGGACTAGACAGCAGTCTTCCAGTATATTCCACCACAATATGAGCTGTGGTGTCACAGTGGTTAGAGTGCAGTACTGCTGACTGCAATTTGCCAGTTCGAATCTCACCAGGCTCAAGGTTGACACAGCCTTCCGTCCTTCCAAGGTAGGTAAAATGAGGACCCAGATTGTTGGGGGGCAAGAGGCTGACTCTGTAAACCGCTTAGAGAGGGCTGTAAAGGTACTGTGAAGCAGTATATAAGTCTAAGAGCTATTGCTACTGCTACTGCCCCAAAGATGAGGGCTCAGCTTATTTTCCAAAGTACCAGAAGGCAAGACATGAAACAATGGATGGAAACTAATCAAGGAGAGAAGCAACCTGGAATTAAGATGAAACTTCATAACAGTAAGAACAATTAACCAGTGGAACAGCTTACCACCAGAAGTTGTGGGTGCTCCAACACTGGAGGTTTTTAAGAAGAGATTGGACAAGCATCCATCTGAAATGGTAAAGTGTCTCCTGCTTGAGCAGGGGGCTGGACTAGAAGACCTCCAAGTTCCCTTCCAGCTCTATTCTGGTTGGTTTTGATTGATTGAAATGCCTCTCTGGATATTTGATGGTTGCAACCCTGAAAGAAGTGTTTGTAAAAAGCCAGTGCCTTTTTGACTTCCAAAGTTTGGCCGGAAAAAGGAAAAATCAGTTGGAAACTGAGGCGCTCAGGACAATCGGATGGTTTCAATGGGGGAATTTCCAACATTTATCTGTAGTAAAACCAAAATAAAATGACTTCACAGCTACGCTGATAAAAGTAATGGTGCCAGCTGCTCAGAATCCATCTCTGAATCCTCCTTCGTTCACTTAGAATTTATTGGGGTGGGGCGGTATTAAAGGGGTTTCTGCCTCTTTTCTCAGCCTAGAACAGGGGTCTCCAACCTTGGCAATTTTAAGACTTGTGGATTTCAACTCCCAGAATTCCCCAGCCAGCCTCTCGGAATTCTGGGAGTTGAAGTCCACACCTCGTAAAGTAGCTGAAACAGTGGTCTAGCAAAGCTGGCTGAGAAATTCTGGGAGTTGAAGTCCACAACTCTTAAAGTTGCCAAGGTTGGGGACCCCTGCCCTAGAAAGAAAGAAACGTTGCAGTTGTAACCAAAGAGATCCCCCCCCCCAAATAAACAACAACAACAAAACCCCACAGTTTTCACCCAGACATACTTTTTTCTCCCCTGAGATAAATGCGTCATGTTACTTGAAGCCAGGAGGAATATGTGGGTTACATTTTGGCAGCCATGAACAATCAGGAGAATTGCAAATGAAAAGACAAGATGTTTGCATGGCGAATTGTAGGAATGTGGGGGAGGTCGTCTTGTGCACACATGAAAAACGGATCAAACTGTTCAAAAACTTTGTTCTCTTTTATTCTCACGGCCTCGTCCAAAAGCCAACATAAAACTCATCTACGTGAGTGACCAACGGCTCATTTAAGAGCCCCCCCTCCGCATTGCCGACCCTGGGAAATGGGGTTGGGGCAGGGGTGGGTTGCTGGGGGTTCACAGGGGTTTCGGAGAACCTCTAGCTAAGATTCTGTGCAGTTCTGAGAACCCCCAAATCCCACTCCTGGCTGCCCCCCCCTCCCCCTCCCAGGAGTCCCCACGCGGCCTATTTTGGATGCAGGTAAGTGCAGGGTGTGCGCAGAGGCTCGGGGAGGGCGAAAAATAGGTCTATCTACCGGTAGTTCGGGAAGGCCTCCAGAGGGCCTCCGGAGCCCGGCAGGCTTTTTCGCCCTCCCGAGGCTCAAGAAAAACTCCGGAGTCTGGGGAGGGCAAAAACACACCCCCCCCCGCCATGGTGCAGGAAGCCAACTAGGCCACGGCCCACCACAGCAACCGGGCAGAGAACCCCTTGCTAAAATTTTTGAAGCCCACCCCTGGTTGGGGGTCCTTTCTGGGTGTTCCCAGATACAGTTTTCCTGGTACAATTGCAATTTCATGGCAGAGTCCTCTCATTTTTAACCCTCTCGTGTTTGCCCAATGTGCCTTAGGTTGGTTTTTTATTTCTACTTTCGGATGAGGTTTAATTTTACGAAGTCTTTCTAACACAGATGCTTCTCTCGATTAGGATGTTGGTGGGCGCACCTTGGGACGGAACCGAAGGTGATCGGAAAGGTGATGTTTACAAATGCATTGTGGAAGAGAGGAAAAATTCAACATGCACTAAAGTCAATATAGGTACACATTTTGAAGCATCCATAATATGCATTTTCAGAAATATATGGACATATGAATCGTCGGTTTGGTCTAATGGCGAAGGCACCGGGCTAGAAACCAAGAGGCTGTGAGTTCTAGTCCCAATTTAGGCACAAAAGCTGTAGGCCAATTAGGAGGAGTCGTGAAGGAGGAGTGAATTCTAACCCCACCCTTGGGCATGAAAGGCAGCTGGGTGACTTTCGGCCAATCACCGGAAGATAGTGAGTTCTAGTCCCGCCTTAGGCACAAATGATGCCTGGGTGATTTGTGGCCAATCACCAGGAGACTGTGAGTTCTAGTCCCACTTTAGGCATGAAAGGCAGCTGGGTGACTTTGGGCCAATTGCCAGGAGACTGTGAGTTCTAGTCCCACTTTAGGCATGAAAGGCAGCTGGGTGACTTTGGGCCAATCACCAGAAGATAGTGAGTTCTAGTCCCACCTTAGACACAAAAGATGCCTGGGTGATTTGGGGCCAATCACCAGGAGACTGTGAGTTCTAGTCCCACTTTAGGCATGAAAGGCAGCTGGGTGAGTTTGGGCCAATCACCAGGAGACTGTGAGTTCTAGTCCCACTTTAGGCATGAAAGGCAGCTGGGTGACTTTGGGCCAATCACCAGGAGATGGTGAGTTCTAGTCCCAGAGTGCAGAGAAGAGCAACAAAGATGATTAGGGGGCTGGAGGCTAAAACATACGAAGAACGGTTGCAGGAACTGGGCATGGCTAGTCTAGTGAAGAGAAGGACTAAGGATGACATGATAGCAGGGTTCCAATATTTGAGGGGCTGCCACAAAGAAGAGGGGGCTGGTCAGTCTGTTTTCCAAAGCACCAAGGCAAGGGAAGAAACAATAGATGGAAACTAAACAAAGAGAGGAGCAACCTAGAACTAAGGAGAAATGTCCTAACAGTGAGAACAATTAACCAGTGGAACAACTTGCCACATTCAGAAGTTGTGGCTGCTCCAACACTGGAGGTTTTTTTAAAAGAAAAAACTAGACAGCAATCTTATACAATTTCAATCTGCTTGAGCAGAGGGGGGTTGGACTAGAAGACCTCCAAGGTCCCTTCGAACTGTGTTATTCTGTTACTCAGTTCCAATCTTTTCTATTTGGCAGAGCATGGTGGGTTGCCCCCGGTTCGGACCGGTTCTATAGAACCGGTAGTAAAACCGATGGGAGGCTCCGCCCACTGACAACATCAGAAGCGATCTGCGCATGCGCAGAAGCAAGGAGCGTGCGTGAGTGAAGCGAGCAATCGCGCACAATCGCATTGTGAACTGGTAGTAAAGCTAAGTAGAACCCACCCCTGGGCCCCACAAACCACTGGGTGATTATTTTTCTGCCCACCCTTAGGGTGGAGATGTGAGCCCCTTCTGGGAAGCAAAACAAGGTGTGTATCAAAGTTGGAAGGGACCTTAGAGGTCATCTAGTCCAACCAGACATATGGTTGTCCAATCAGGGAATCCAAAAACATCCAGGGACAAGCCTTGGCAATCCATAGATTTAAACAGTACAATCAAAAGACGAACAGTGGTACCACTGTTCGTCTTTTAATTGTACTGTTTAAATTACTAAAGAGGACCAATTGTTTTAAATCCTTAGATTGTTAAACTATCCTTCCCAGAATTTCTTACCACTGGCCATCCTGGCTGGACCTAAACTGTCATCTGCTTAGCAGCTATTATCCTTCTTTCTTTCTTTTTGTCCCTTCTCTGCCGTTTTTTCTTTCTTTTTTCTACTTTTCTTCACTCATATTTGCCCAAAAGACCCCAAAGAGCCAAATCATACTATAGAACAGTGATGGCTAACCTTTTTGCCATTGCATGCCAGGAAGGGGGGAGCAGGGGAGATTCGCGTGCATATATGTTCACACCCATAATTCTATGCACCCTGCCCCATGCATGCGACCCCACTTCCCCCTGCTCCTAGCACATGATGGCCCGGTAGGCCTGTTTTTCTTTCTCACCTGGCTCCAGATCCTCTCTATGCATCTGGAGAGGGCAAAAACAGCCTTCCCCATCTTCTCAGAGGCCCGAAACGGCCCATTTCCCAACTTCTGGTTGGACAAGAAGTGACTTTTTTGCTGTCCCCAGCCTCCATGCGCACCGGAGCTGAGCTGGCGTGCCAGGCGACATGGCTCCACGTGCCACCTGTGACACGCGTGACGTAGGTTCACCAACACGGCCATAGAAAGTCTTCGATTTTACAACCAAATTTTAGCAGATGTCCAGATGATCCAGGCCTAAAAGGAGATGTCTGTGAATTGCAACAGAGGGGCAATTTCCTCCTAACTCCAAAAGGGAAGGAGAGAAGTTTGAACCCTTGGATTTAAAGGGGCCCTTGTGGCCCCACCAATGTCACCCCAAGCGTCTCCCAAAATATATTTATCTAATCAGTTAATAAGGGAGGTCTCTTCACTGCCTGAAGTCAGAGGTGTGCTGACAAAACTGAGGACGTTTTCCCCAAACATGTTATCAGGGTTTGTTTGTTTTTTATGCCTTCGTGCAGCTTCTTCTTTAAAATGTGGTGCCCAGAAGTGGAGGTGGGGTTTGACCAAGGCAGAAAACCATGGAATTATTTTCTTCCCAGGAATTGGAAACTAAAAATGTCTTTGCTTTTTTTAGCAGCTGCCTCATCCTATTGACTCATAGCTGTGATCAACAGTTGTCAGGTCCTTTGCACATAGACTGCAATCATCCCCCGCCCACCCACCCCATCCCCCTCTCCTTCCAGGGCTCTGTGCCTTGAAATCTCTTTCATTTTTTATTTTTTGCAACTACAGAATACAGAATAAGAGTTGGAAGGGACCTTGTAGGTCATCTAGTCCAACCCCCCGCCCAAGCAGGAGAGCCTACACCAGGGGTCTCCAGCTGGCTGGAGAATTCTGGGAGTTGAAGTCCACAAGTCTTAAAGCTGCCAAGTTTGAAGACCTCTGCCCTACACCATTTCTGAGAGGTGGCAGTCCAGTCTCTTCTTGGAAGTTTCCAGAGATGAAGCTCCCACAACTTCCGAAGGCATCTTCTGTTCCATGGGTTGATTGCTCTCACTGTCAGGAAATTTCTCCTTATTTCCAGTTTGAATCTTTCCTTGATCAGTTTCCAGAACAGAATAGAATAATAGAATAATAGAATAATAGAATAATAGAATAATAGAATAATAGAATAATAGAATAATAGAATAATAGAATAATAGAATAATAGAATAATGGAGGGGAGGGGAGCAGAGCAGAGCAGAGTGGAATAGGAATAGGAATAGGAATAACAGAGTTGGAAGGGACCTTAGAGGTCTTCTAGTCCAACCCCCTGCTGAAGCAGGAGACCCTATATACCATTTCAGACAGGCAGCTGTCCAGTCTCTTCTTAAAAACCTCCAGTGATGGAGCGCCTACAACTTCTGGTGGCAAGCTGTTCCACTGGCTAATTGTTCTCATTGTTAGAAAATTTCTCCTTAATTCCAGGTTGCTTCTCTCCTTGATTAGTTTCCATCCATTGTTTCTTGTCTGGCCTTCGGGTGCTTTGGAAAATAGCTTGGCCCCCTTCCTCCTCTCTGTGGCAGCCCCTCCAATATTGGAAGATGCTATCCTGTCTCCCCTGGTCCTTCTTTTCATTAAACTAGACATATCCAGTTCCTGCAACCGTCCATCGTATGTTTTAGTCTCCAGTCCCCTCATCATCCTGGTTGCTCTTCTCTGCACTCTTTCTAGAGTCTCCACATCTTTTTTATAGTGTAGTGAACAAAACTAAAAGGAATCAAATTCATGGAGTGAAGCAGTTAGGCTGAGGGGGCTAAAAACAGACAGGTTGAAGCACATCAGTAATTATATAGGATAAAGCATGATAGAGGTGCACATTTCGCAATTACCCAAAGATTGCATTTTCCATTTTTCTCCTTCCTTCCTCCTCCTCTCCCCACTTCTGAATCTCAACTAGGTGACATGAGCCTCCGAAATGTTTCCAGGCAAATAAAGAACATGCATTTTGGGATGACGCTGATAGCTAACAAAGACGACGGGTTTGTGGTAAGTATCTCTCGTGGTATGTTTTTCTTTCTTTTAAATAAAGCACATACCCAACCGCATATTTAAAAAAAAGAAAAGAAAGAACAAGAGCTATAAAAAGCTAACTCTGCTGCAGTCATTTCAGTTGCCAACCCATTAAATGGTGAGGCTTCACCAGCTGGCTGGACGAAGCAGCCTACAGCAGAACAGGATGAGTTGGGGGCCAGTGGTGAAATCCAATTTTTTTTTTACTACCGGTTCTGTGGGCATGGCTTGGTGGGCGTGGCAGGGGAAGGATATTGCAAAATCCCCATTCCCTCCCCACTCCTGGGGGAAGGATATTGCAAAATCCCCATTCCCTTCCCACTCCTAGGGGAAAGATATTGCAAACTCTCCATTCCCTCCCCACTCCTGGGGGAAGGATACTGCAAAATCCCCATTCCCTCCCCACTCCTGGGGAAAGGATACTGCAAAATCTCCATTTCCTCCCCACTCCTGGGGGAAGGATATTGCAAAATCTCCATTCCCATCCCGCTCTGGGGCCAGCCAGAGGTGGCATTTGCCGGTTCTCCGAACTGCTCAAAATTTCTGCTACCGGTTCTGCAGAACCTATCAGAACCTGCTGGATTTCACCCCTGAATTGGGCACATTTTCGATGATTGCTTGAGTGGTCACCATGTAAACTGTTCACACAACATACTCAACCTTGCTGCTGGAGTGGCCTATGTGCCCTATATATATATATATATATATACACTATGTTATACATCCTAATTACGACCATTTTTCTCTTATTCATACAGTATAGTCCGTAGGGGGGGGGAAAAGAAACTTGATATTATACAACATACTTATATCTATTGTTTCCATGGTTATAAGCTAATTCTCTATATATTTTTTGATTTACAATGATGTGCAGTCTAGTAATTGCAGGGACGTGGTGGCTCAGTGGCTAAGACGCTGAGCTTGTCGATCGAAAGGTCGGCAGTTCAGCGGTTCGAATCCCTAGTGCCGCGTAACGGAGTGAGCTCCCCTGACTTGTCCCAGCTTCTGCCAACCTAACAGTTCGAAAGCACCTAAAACATGCAAGTAGAAAAACAGGGACCCCCTTTGGTGGGAAGGGAACAGCGTTTTCTGTGCGCCTTTGGCATTGAGTCATGCCGGCCTCGTGACCACGGAGACGTCTTCGGACAGCGCTGGCTCTTCGGCTTTGAAACGGAGATGAGCACCACCCCCTAGAGTTGGGAATGACTAGCACATATGTGCGAGGGGAACCTTTACCTTTACAGTCTAGTAATAATATTGCTTGCTTGCTTGTATTCTTCTATATAGCTTTGTATCGGTATTTGTTTCTAGCTTATTGATCCTCTTTCATCATTAATTTTCTAACCATTGCATCTAGCCAATTGTACCATAGGTTCCCTATTAAATAATACTCCTTTGTCTTTAATTTCCATCCTTAACCTGTCCATTTCGGTGCATTCTAATATTTTGTTTATTACCATTTCCTCTAGATACACTCCCATTTTCCCAATTTTGTGCATACGTATATTTGCCCCATATATTCTCACTGATTGATTACTCACATAGTAATCAATAAACTGAGTTTATCCAGCTAAACGATGTCTAAAAATCTAGACTGAAATAACAGAGTTGGAAGGGACTTTGGAGGTCTTCTAGTCCAACCCCCTGCTCAAGCAGGACATCCTCTACCATTCCAGACAAGTTGCTGTCCAGTCTCTTCTTAAAAACCTCCAATGTTGGAGCTTTCACAACTTCTAGTGGCAAGCTGTTCCACTGGTTAATTGTCCTCACTGTCAGGAAATTTCTCCTTAGTTCTAGGTTGCTTCTCTCCTTGATTAGTTTCCACCCATTGCTTCTTGTCCTGCCCTCAAGTGCTTTGGAGAATAGCTTGACTCCCTCTTCTTTGGGGCAGCCCCTGAGATATTGGAATACTGCTATCATATCACCCCTAGTCCTAAATGCCAAAGCAAATAACAATGTGAATATCTCAAAGATGCTCTTCAAAAGATAACTGGACTTTTTTTTTCCCCCTTGAAGACATTTCACTTCTCATCCAAGAAGCTACTTCAGTTCTGACTGAATGGTGAGGAATGGAAGGATTTATATTCATTGCCGTTTTCTGGTTAGCACTCTGAAGGTCATATGAATGGTTGAAGGAACTGGGTTTGGCTAGTCTAGTGAAGAGAAGGACCAGGGGAGACAGGAGAGCATCTTCCAATATTTGAGGGGCTGCCCCAGAGAGGAGGAAGGGGGTCAAGCGATTTTCCAAAGCACCGAAGGTCAGCAAAGGAATAATGGATGGAAACTGACCAAGGAGAGATTCAACCTAGAAATAAGGAGAAACTTCCTAACAGTGAGGGCAATTAACCAGTAGAACAGCTTACCACCGGAAGTTGTGGGCGCTTCATCACTGGAGGTTTTTAAGAAGAGATTGGATAGCCATTGGTCCGGAATGTAAGAGGATCTCCTGGTTGAGCAGCGGGTTGGACTAGAAGACCTCCAAGGTCCCTTCCAACTCTATTCTGATTGATGGATGGATTGATTGAATAAATAAATAATGAACAAATAAGCTGACTTTGTATAAATATACAAAAGTAGGAAGGCTATTGCTTAACGCATTGTAAGCCGCCCTGAGTCTCCAGGGAAGGGCAGCATATAAATCAAATAAATAAATAAAAAAAGGAACAATGAACTGCTGAATTGGGCCCAGAGAAGGAGCAAACAGGATTCCTCTGTAAATGCAGCAGAATTCCAAAGCTTTTCCTCAGTTGCTTTTCTGGCCCTGCTCGCCTTTAATGGATTGCCCAGGAGTGTGAAAAGTTTCATTTCTCCAGTTTCATTTTGGTGGCATTCCAGAGTAGCTGGCTCAGATTTGGAAAACAGGATGTTGGCTCATCGGATCCATGGCTAGTGTTGGGGCAGCCCTGGCCAAGAGGCCTTTTGCTCCTTCATTCCTAAATGTTTCCCCCCCCCAAGTCCTCCTCCTCCCCAACTTTTCTACGGATGATTTTAAGGCTGCGTTCACACAACAGACTGAATACAACTTAGAACTATGCCGACTTCAGTCTGACCTAAGCGTAGGACATAAAATTATCTGTCACAACGTCCTTCCTGTCAATGACTACTTCAGCTTCAACCACAACAACACATGAGCAAATAATAGATACAAAGCAGGGGTGAAATGCTCCCGGTTTGGACCGGATCATCTGATCCGGTAGCGATGGAGGCGGGTGGTTCGGAGAACCGGTAGCAAAAATCCCTGCCCCCCCCACCATACCCAGCTGAGCCGCACAATCATCAGAGGCTTTTTTTTTTTTTTACTTTTAAAAGCATTTTTTCTACAACCTCTTCTTTTTAAAAAGCCTCTGCCGATCAGGCACCTCAGCTTGGACCATCAGAAGCATTTAAAAGAAAAAAAGCCTCTGCTGATCAGGGAACTCAGCTGGGATCGTCAGAGGCATTTAAAAGAAAAAAAGCCTCTGCTGATCAGGCAACTCAGCTTGGACCGTCAGAGGCATTTAAAAGAAAAAAAGCCTCTGCCGATCAGGCAACTCAGCTTGGATCGTCAGAGGCTTTTAAAAGAAAAAAAAACCCTGGAAAGTTTACATGTGCGTGCTGGAAACCCAAAGACCAGGTAGCAAGCATGCGCATGTGCACCGGCCAGCTTGTTTTCGGGTTTCCGGCACTCCGGTGTGTGCAAAGACCAGCTGACGGGTGTGCATGTGCGTGCCGGAAACCAGACGAGCAGCTGGCGATGGTGCGTGTGCCCACAGAGAGGGCTCTGCATGCCACCTCTGGCACCCGTGCCACAGGTTCGCCGTCACAGCACTACAGGTTCCCATGGAGATCTGCTTTCTTTCTGGCAGGCCTGCGCTCCCCTCTGGTCCCAGGAATGTGGCACATCCCTATATAGCATAGGGATGTGTACCAGCTTGGACAAGGACTTCCGGCTGATGGAAAACCTCGCCCCAACGGCTCAGAGTAAGTTTGGCTTTTATTCCTTGGACTTCTAAACTATTTAACTTTGGAAGACCCCCCCTGACTGATTCTACAGGGTCCTCCGTGGGGTGCTATAAAACAGCGGTGCTCCGTGAAATGTGTGGACACGTTCCTTTGTTGTTGTTGTTAGTTGCAAAGTTGTGTCTGACCCATTGCGACCCCATGGACCACGTTCCTCCAGGCCTTCCTGTCCTCTACCATCCTCTGGAGTCCATTTAAGCTCATGCCGACTGCTTCAGTGACTCCATCCAGCCACCTCCTTCTCTGCCGTCCCTTTCTTCTTCTTTTGCCCTCCATCGTTCCCAGCATTGGGCTCTTCCTTCCAGGGAGTCCTTCCTTCTCCTTAGGTGGCCAAAGGATTTGAGTTTCCTCTTCAGGATCTGGCCTTCTAGAGAGCAGTCAGGGTCGATCTCCTCTAGGACTGACAGGTTGGATGGCCTTGCAGTCCAAGGGACTCGCAGGAGTCTTCTCCAGCACCAGAGTTCAAAGGCCTCCATTCTTTGGCCTTCTCAGCCTTCCTTGTGGTCCAACTTTCACAGCCATCCATTGCAACTGGGAAAACCAGAGCCTTGACTAGACGCACTTTTGTTGGCACATTCCTTGGGTGATTGTAAAGCCCAGCACAGATTTATGCTCGCTTTTTGGGTGGAGCAATTCAGGTTTTGCCCAAGTCTGAACTTCCAATGGACTTTTAAAAACTTACAGGTAGTCCTCGACTTACGACCACAATTGAGCCCAACATTTCTTTTCAGTGCCGTTGTAACTTTGAACAGTCACTCAATGAATGGTTGTAAGTTGAGGGCTACCTGTAATAAAGTTCTAAAATCGTAACAAATCTAATTGCGAAGTCCTAAATTCAAAAATTCATTGGTATTGTGAGAAGCCCAACAGTGGTGGGTTTCAAAATTTTTTGCTACCGGTTCAATGGATGTGGTAGGGTGGGGGGGGGGGATGTGACTGAGTGGGCGTGGCCAAGACATCACTCACGCCCACACCCATTCAGTCACATGACCCCCCCCCACCCAGCTAGCCACACCCACAGGAAAAGGTAGGAAAATTTTGGGAATTTCCACCTACCTACCCCAGCCCTCCCTTTGCCAGTCGCTCATGTTTCCCCTCCTTTAGCAGCCCCGGCCCTAGCCCCACTTCCTCCCCCACAACCGCCTCTTTGATTGGGCTTCTTACCTTCCGCAGCAGCTAGTTCAGAGTCCGGAAGGCAAGCTGACTAGAGTTTTCAGTGGCCCCCAGCCAGCTGACACTGCTGGAAAGTGGTTGGCAAAGAAGCTCCCGCATGCCACTGAAAAAGCTGCCGCCATTGCCGCCTTGTTTTTTGCACATGCACATCTCATTGGGCTTGCAAGGCAATGGGATACGCATGCATAAGAACATGGTGGCGATCAACATGGCAAGCGGGGCAAGCGAGTGGCAACCAGGGGACCAGTTCGGGAGCGTGGCCAGCGACCATCGCTACCGGTTCAGCGACCTTGGCCAAATTTCCGCCAACGGTTCGCGTGAACCGGTGCGAACCAGTGAGGAATACCACCTCTGGTTTCCAAGTAGAAATGAAGCTTGATAACCTTTTGTCTTTCATCAAAGTGACTTTCAGCCAGCCAGGCTGGTGGGTAGGACCTCCCATCACTCACGGCCGACTCTAAGTGCAGTCAGCTCTGGCTTCCTCTGAGTCAGGCCCATCATTCGTTCCACAGGAGGGCTGACTAAGTGGTGAGAAACACATCCTGGGGTTTTAGAAAGCCTCACATGTCCATGACTCTCCTGGAAATGGCCAGTGGTGGACTACATATATCAGAATTGCTGGGATTGTTTCCAACAGGATTTGCTTCCTCTCCCAGCAATACCTCCTTGCTGTGGAGCAAACATGGAAGAGAGATCTAACCAATCCATTTTGCACCCACCAATTTCAAACAACACTGAGTGGTGCGGTGGCCTAGAGGTGGAGCTCTCGCCACACAATCAGAAGGCTGTGAGTTCGATCCTACTATTCTGACGTAGACTTCCTTAGAAATTAAACAGCACAAACTTAGTCCCAGCAAACCTCTTTAATTCATACGGTTGTAAAGTACTTTCATTTACCGTCTGCAAGGCTTGATAAACAGTCTTTCAAAGGAAGGTTGTCAACACCCACCTATCTCACGTGGAATGCTGCCAGAGAGCTAATTTCCAGACGCAGGGCAAGGCCAAACTTGGCACAGAGTCACAAACAGAATTTTCAAATCTTGAATCGGCCAGATGAACTAATTGCTTCCTGCAAAAGCTCACGTCTTGTTCGCTTCTTTTTTATGTCTTATGGGAGGGGCCAAATCATCTCCAAGCCTTACTCCTGAGTCGACCCTGTTTCCTTAATCGTTCCTGTCTCCTGGCAGCTCTGCGCATGCACACACTGGGAACAGGCTCCCACTGTTCTGCCTCACTGATGTCTGACTCCGGAGACTCGGGAGGCAGCAAAGAACTACCAGATGGCCTTGGCCCCCTCTCTGCTTCCAACTCAGAGCCATTGTCCGAGCCTTCCCCAGACTCCAGGACTGGCCCACATTCCTCCCCAACCTCCTCACTGTCTGAATCTGCTGCTAGCTCTGCTGGCCGCTGGCGAGCCACAACACTTAAGTAGAGGCAGATATTTCTCTCTCTGGGCACGATGAGTATAACTCCGCATTGGTGACAGGAAGGGCATCTGGCCAGTAAACACTCAGCTCCATTCAGTTGCCCAGACTCCACCCCGCAAGGGATTATTATGGGGTCATTAAAAGATGATGAATTTCAAACAGAACACTCCTCTTGCAACATCAGGGGACACGCTGAAAGATCTACGCAAGGACAAATATAAGGACGACAATCCTTATCAGTCCCAACCAGCATTGTCTGGGGCTGAAGTGAGTCATAATTCCCCCCACTTTCAAAGAGCACCAGCAGAGGGGAAGGCTGGCATAAAGGCCATGTGGTATTCAACAAGCCTCCTTCGAGCACAGATATTCCAAATTGGTTGTCTGGATTTGAGATGGCAGCTTGCGTGTCGCACAAAAAACCCTCCTCAACGGTGGGATGTCCAACGGTGGCTTTGGACCAGTCCATCTCAAGAAGTTCAGAGAAACAAATAGCAGTAGGAGTATTTATTTATTTATTTATTTATTGGTTTGATTTATATGTCGCCCTTCTCCGGAGACTCAGGGCGGCTTACAATGCGTTAAGCAATAGCTTTCATACTTTTGTATATACCTGCTTAGTAGGGCTTTTGGCCCCCCCAAGCGGTGTTCTTTTCTATACAAAGTCAGCTTATTGCCCCCACAAACCGGGTCCTCATTTTACCTACCTCAGAAGGATGGAAGGCTGAGTCAACCTTGAGCCTGGTGAGATTTGAACTCGCAGTAATTGCAGGCAGCTGGCAGCTAAGTGCTACTTTAACAGCACTTTAGTCTGCTGCGCCACCAAGGCTCTTATTGTATGGGCCATCTTCAGCTTCCCAAAGAAAGGCGAGATATAAATCTAATAAATATTAAATATTGCTTTCCTAATTTGGGTGATGTGCTGGGGAAGAGAGGAGGGATAGCCAAATGTTGTTTAGGATTGAAAGCTTAGGGACTTTGTTGCCTATGCAGATAGTCCTCGACTTACAAGCACAATTGAACCCAACATTTATGTTGTTAAGTGAGAAATTTGTTAAGCGACATTTTACGACTTTTCTCACCACTTTTGTTAAGCGAATCACTGCCGTTGTTAAATGAATAACATATGGTTGTTAAGTGAATCTGGCTTCCCTGTTGACTTTGCTTGTCCGAAGGTCGCAAAAGAGGATCTCAGGACACTGCGACCGTCATAAATATGAGTCGGAGGCCAAGCATTCGAATGTACCGTAAATCACGTGACCATGAGGATGCTACGACGGTCATAAGTATGAAAAACGGCGACATCACTTTTTTTCAGGGCTGTTGTAACTCCGAACGGTCACTGTTGTAAGTCGAGGACTACCTGTACTCTTGGGAATTCCTTCTTTGCCACGGCCTGACCTTTGCCGCTTTGTTCTCTGACCTTCGCGCAGGATGTTCAACCTACATGGACATCGTGATTGTCCTGGATGGCTCCAACAGCATTTACCCATGGTACGAAGTGCAGAATTTCCTGAGCAACATTCTCAGCAAATTTTTCATTGACCCAGAGCAGATCCAGGTGAGTTTTGCTTGCTATTTCAATCTCAATCTTTATTGATTGATTGATTGATTGATTAGCCCTTGGGCCATATCAAAGTCCAGATTTTGCTTTTTTCGTTGTTTGTTGTGGTTCTTTTAAGGTTTAAAATCAGGGGTGAAATCCTACCGGTTTGGACCGGTTCGGGCGAACCGCTAGGGATTATGGGCATCAGTTTGTCGAACCGATAGTAATTACCCCTCCTTGGCCCCACCCATGCCCGGCCAGTCACCGCTCACCTCTTCCAGCTGCTCGATATTCCACAGAATTCAATGTTAAATGCAGCAGAGAGAATGCTAACTTTTCTCCCTCCATTCAGAATGGAGCTGCTGCAGCCTGTCCCTTTAAGGTAGACCCCAGGAGGGAGGGGGACGTGGCGAGAGAGCAGCTGAAATGGAGCCATTTTTGTGAAAGGCAAGAAAATGGGGAAGGGGATTTTCCTGCCTGTCATCCATTCCTCAATCTCAGCACAGACTGAGGGAAGGATACCACCAGGAATATTCCTCGCCCCATTTTCCTGCCGTTCGCGACAAGGAGTGGCTGGGAGGGGAGGGGCTGGTGGGGAGCCCCTTGATGTGAGTGATGTCAAGTTGGCCATGCCCACTCAGTCACATGACCTCTCCCCAACAAACCACGCCCACAGAACCGGTAGGAGGAAATTTTAAAATTTCACCCCTGTTTAAAATCAGTGGGACATGAGCCCACATCGTCATCTCTGGAAAAGGGACGTTGGAGAAGGTAGCATAGACCAAGCTGCCTTTATGGGATCGAAGCCTCATGAACTCTCCCCCTCCCTCTTCCAAAGACTCAAGAGGGGTCCTTCTCAGTGGGGGAATAATTTTTTTTTTACTACTGGCTCTGTGGGCGTGGCTTGGTGGACGTGGTGTGGCTTGGTGGGCGTAGCAGGGGAAGGATACTGCAAAATACCCATTCCCTCCTCACTCCAGGGGAAGGATACTGTAAAATCTCCATTTCCACCCCAATCCAGGGGAAGGATACTGTAAAATCTCCATTTCCACCCCACTCCAGGGGAAGGATACTGTAAAATCTCCATTTCCACCCCACTCCAGGGGGAAGGATACTGCAAAATCCCCATTCCCACCCCACTACAGGGGAAGGATATTGCAAAATCCCCATTCCCACCCCACTCCAGGGGAAGGATACTACAAAATCCCCATTCCCACCCCACTCTGGCGCCAGCCAGAGGTGGTATTTACCGGTTCTCCGAACTATTCAAAATTTCCACTTCCACTGCTGGATTTCACCCCTGGCCTTGTCCTCTTGGCCTCACAGGTTGGAGTCTTGCAGTACAGTGAAGTTGCGGTTCATGAATGGACCCTGAAGGATTACAAGACCGCAGAGGAAGTCATCGAAGCTGCCCAAAATATCAGCCGGCAGGAAGGACTCGAAACTCGGACAGCTTCTGCCATCCACAAGGCCTGGTAGGTGGTGGGAGGTGAAAGGGAAGGCGGGAATGTCTATGGAGATTCTCTGTCATCCAGGTCATGGTTGTCCCAAAGGTGCTTTTTTTCAAGAGGCAACTGGACTTTCTGGTTTTTCTTTGAAGACGTTTCGCTTCTCCTCCAAGAAGCTTCTTGGATTTTGCCCAATATACAAGGCTTCCACAAGCAATTTTCCAATATAAAACTTAGTTCTTCCTTCCTTCATTAATGTTGACCATAGACCTTTTCATACTATATAGCCCCTCTGTGAGGAAGATGGGCAGTTAATAAGAGATAGATAGATAGATAGATAGATAGATAGATAGATAGATAGATAGATGGATGGATGGATGGATGGATGGATGGATGGATGGATGGATGGATGGATGGGTGGGTGGGTGGGTGGGTGGGTGGGTGGATGGATAGATGGACGGATAGCTTAGATACTGTGTTTTCCCAAAAATAAGACCCTGTCTTATATTTTTTTGAACCCCGAAATAAGTGCTTGGCCTTATTATCGGGGAGGTTTTATTTTGGGGTGTGTGGAGCAAGATGGGACTCCTCTTGCTGTCTTACCTGATTTCCAGCTCTGCGTTTAAATATTTTCGGGGAGGGCTTATTTTCGGGGGGAGGTTTATTTTAGCACATGCCATCAAAAGCCTGATTAGGCTTATTATCAGGAGATGTCTTATTTTTGGGGAAACAGGGTAGGTAGGTAGGTAGGTAGGTAGGTAGGTAGATAGGTAGATAGATAGATAGATAGATAGATAGATAGATAGATAGATAGATAGATAGATAGATAGAGCGAGCTGTTTGTCGGACCATCTGCAACCAGCAACAGCTTCCCATCGCCCGGTGCGTTCTCAGGGTACTGTCGGCTAGACAATGTCGGCTGGCGGCCCCCAGAGGTAAAGCTTTCTCTGTGGCCGTGCCCACCCTTTGGAACCAACTCCCCCTGGGGCTTCGGTTGGCCCCTGACCTTTGCACTTTCCACCACGAACTAAAGACATGGCTGTTTAAATCGCCTAGCCTGGACTGATGGGGTTTGAGTATTTTAATGAATTTTAATAGACGTTTAATGTTTTTATCTGGTTGATTTTAATTGTTGTGAGCTGTCCTGAGTCCTATGGACTCAGGCATACAAATCAAATCAAATCAAATAAATAAATAAAATAAAAATTTGAAACTGCATTATCAAATGTGCAGAAGTGCAATTTTTGAAAGATAAGTTTGTACAAAGATTCAAAATTGTGAAATTACATGCATGCATGAAGGTACTGTATTTTTCGCACTATAAGAAGCACTTTCCCCCCACCCAAAAAAGTGGGTGGAAATGTCTGTGCGTCATAGAGTGAATATTGCGGCGGGCGTTTGGTGCGGCGGCAGCCTGTCACTGCTGCTGCCGCTGGGGAACACTAGAACCTTCACTGCCAAGCAGCTGATTGGCGGTTGGATCGGCCTCGTGGAATACAATTGATCAGCTGTTCTAGGTGGCGGGCATTGCTATTGCTGCCAAACGCCGCCGCCGTCTGCCACCGCTGCTGATCGCCGATTTTTGTTTTGTTTTGTTTTCCTCCTCTAAAGCTAATGTGCGTCTTATGGTCTGGTGCGTCTTATAGTTTGAAATATACCGTAGTTTCCACCTGAGATTTCCTCTCCTTTGCTACAAGAAGCTCATGGTATAAGGCTTTCTCACACCAGCGTAATTTCAATGCAACCAACATTGTCCAAATTTTACCAAGGCAACTCATTACATTCAGTAAACCAGACCTGTGGCTTCATGAGATCTAAGCTCTAAGACAGGATCAGGACATGGCTTTGTCAGGGAGAAGAACGTTTCCCCAAAGACGTGGTTTCTTTCTGGCTTGTGCCCGCAGCACGGAGGCCTTCAGTCCGGAAAGAGGTGGCAGAGAAGGCGCTACCAAGCTGATGATCGTGCTCACTGATGGGGAGTCCCACGATGGGGAGGAACTTAAAGACGCTCTGGAAGAGTGTGAGGAACGGAACGTGACGCGTTATGCCATCGCGGTAAGTGTGTCAGCAGATGGAGGGACAAAACATAGGGGTGGGATTCAGCCGGTTCTGACTGATTCAGGCAAATCAGATGCTAACTTTACATCTGGTTCACTGAACTGGTAATTGCAAGGACTGGGTGGCCCCACTCACCCCGCCCCATCCCTCCTTTGGATGCCAGGTAAGTGCAGCGCCCACACGAAGGCTCTGAGAGGAGGAAAAATGGGCCTCCTGGAAGTTCCAGAAGGCCAGAGACAGACCTGTTTCCAGCCTCTGGAGGGCCTCCGGAGCCTTGGGGAGGCCATTTTCGCCCTCCCGGAGGCTCAAGAAAAGCTTCTGGAGCTTGGGGAGGGTGAAACACCCCCCCACACCATGGTGCAGGAGGCTGAGTAGGCCATGCCCACCATGGCCACACCCACCCAGCAACTGGGCAGAGAATCGGTTTCTAAAATTTTTGAATCCCACCCCTGGACGAACACACAGGCTGTGGGTGTCTCTCTGTACGTGAGCAAGGGGGAGAGAGTTCCAATATCGTTTTAAATTAAATTGTGTTTATTCTAGCCAGACGTTTGAGCGCCACTTTCTTTGGTTAACATAACTTCAACATCAGGTATCTTGGATCCGGAAGAATGCATCATGCAGAAAGTATCTGTGTTTAGTTAGCATTTTTTTAAAAAAATTAATAAAAGAAAAAGAAAAAGCATTGTCAGAAGAATAATTCGGGGTTCCAACTCGAGCCGGGGTTACCAAAGAATAAATAAAAATGAGATCTTGGAGTGATGGTAGTGGGTGTTGTGGTCCGCCAGCAGCCTGCGGAGCTGGCAGCGGAGTCAGACAGCGATGAGGCTGAGGAAGAACATGGGCCAGTCCTGGAGGCTGGGGAAGGCCCGGATGAGGGCTCTGCATCAGAGGCAGAGATGGGGCCAGGGCCATCGGGGAGTGAGGTGCGGACTCCAGAGCCCCCAGAGACTGATAGGAGTGAGGCAGAGAAACAGGAGGAGCCTGTTCCTAATGCATGCATGAGCAGAGCTGCCAGAAGGCAAGAGCAGCTCAAGCAAAGAGGACGACTCGGGAGTAGGGCCAAGAGATGATTGGCCCCTCCCATAAGGCTTAAAACAGACCAGCAATGGCGTTTGGGCTTTGCCGGAAAACAGCGTTGGTAGCTTCGTTGTCTTCTTCGTCTACGTCTTGCATTTATTTTTGTATCTGTGACTTCTGAACGTTTGCCAAGAAAGGCCTTTGGCAGTTTGCCTAATTGGACCAAGGTTTGCGATAGGACTGAGGAATTTGTGTTGGGAGGAATTTGCTTTAATTTAGTTGAACGACGCTGGGAATGAAATAATTCTCAGCTGTTCGAATAAAGTTTGTTTTTTCACGGACTGATTTTCCTTCTACTTACTTGGGCCTGGGTCACAACAGTGGGTGTCCTTATTTATTTCGCAGTCTAACCTACCAACCTGGATTTCCTGGTGAACTTTTGAGGACTGAGCAGGCCCAATCCTTGTTAGCTTGTTTGACCAGGATTAGCTCTGTTCTGCCACTCAGCTGGGCACATAACTTAATAATCGTGCTTCCCTCTCAATCAATCAAGATGAATTGGTCATCCATCCCTTTGATTTGCTTATCTGTGAGGCATCCTTGACTGATCCTGAGACCATCTTGGTGCTTGGGGAAATACGCTGGTCGTATCCTTTGGGGAAAAAAATCATAGTAACTATGGCTTGTTTTTCTTGGGTGCTTCTGGCCCATGTGCCTGGCTTCTCTTGGGCAGCTTCAATCAATCAATCAATCAATCAATCAGAATACAGCTGGAAGGGACCTTTGAGGTCTTCTAGTCCAACCCCTGCTCAAGCAGGAGACCCTATACCATTCCAGACAAATGGCTGTCCAATCTCTTCTTAAAGACCACCAGTGATGGAGCACCCACAACTTCTGGTGGCAAGCTGTTCCACTGGTTATATCTTCTCACTGTTAGGAGGTTTCTCCTTAATTCCAGGTTGCTTCTCTCCTTGATGAGTTTCCATCCGTTGTTTCCTGCCTTGCCTTCTGGTGTCATAGTGTCATAGTGTTTTGCCATCAGAAGTCCTGAAATGAAGTCTCTGTTCCCATCCACCCCCCAGGTTTTGGGCCACTACATCCGCCGGAAGAAAGACCCCAACTCATTCATCAACGAAATTAAATACATCGCCAGTGACCCCGACGAAAAGTACTTCTTCAATGTGACGGATGAGGCGGCCCTCAACGATATCGTGGACTCCTTAGGAGATCGGATCTTCAGCCTTGAAGGTACTGGGAAAGGATGGGGCATTAGCAACTGGGGGAGGGGCATGGAACCCATTTGTCTGAAATGGTGTCTTCTGCCTGAGCTGGGGGTTGGACTAGAAAACCTCCAAGGTCCCCTTCTAACTCTGTTATTCTGTTAGGGTAAGTAACCATTGCTGGGCTATATGTAAGTCCAGCATAGTTGCAATTCTAGTAATTCTAGTAATTCTGATTGAAGAAAATAATGATAGGATGGGAATGGGAATGGGAATGGGATAGGGGAGGGGAGGAGAGGAGAGGAGTGATGGAGAGAGGAGAGATGGATGGGACCTTGGAGGTCTTCTAGTCCAACCTGCAAGAAACCCTGTACCATTTCAGACAAATACTGTAGTTGTCCAATCTCTTCTTAAAAGCCTCCAGTGTTGGAGCATTCACAACTTCTGGAGGGAAGCCATTCCATTGATTAATTCTTCTAACTGTCAGGAAATTCCTTCTTAGTTCCAGGTTGCTTCTCTCCTTGGTGAGTTTCTACCCATTGGTTCTTGTCCTGCCTTCGGGTGCTTTGGAGAATAGCTTGACCCCCGTCTTCTTTGGGGCAGCCCCTGAGATATTGGAAGACTGCTATCACGTCATCCCTAGTCCTTCTTTTGAATATAATGTAATGTAATTCTAGTCCTCAATTTATGACTGGCAGTTTAGCGACCTTTCGAAGTTAATAGGTACTTGTGACCTAGATTCAAAGTATGTAGGTCTTCATAGGTAATGACCAACACCTTGAATCATACAATACATCTTGCGAAGCAGAGGTGGGTATGCCATGGTTGCAGCTCAGCTACCACATCTTAGGCCAAGTGAAGCTTCTGGGAGGTCTAGAAAATAAGGATAGGATAGGATAGGACAGGACAGGACAGAACAGGACAGAACAGGATTCAGAAAAGAAGAGAAGAAAGAAGAGAAGAGAAGAGAAAAGAAAATAGAATAGGGTAGAAGAGAAGAAATTAGAATAGAAGAAAGAATAGAATAGAATAGAATAGAATAAGAATAGAATAGAATAGAATAGAATAGAATAGAATAGAATAGAATAGAATAGAATAGAATAGAATAGAATAGAATAGAGTTGGAAGGGACCTTGGAGGTCTTCTAATCCAACCCATTGCTTCTTGTCCTGCCCTCAGATGCTTTGGAGAATAGCTTGACTCCCTCTTCTTTGGGGTAGCCCCTGAGATATTGGAAGGCTGCTCTCATGTCTCCCCTAGTCCTTCTCTTCATTAAACTAGACATACCCAGTTCCTGCAACCGTTCTTCCTATGTTTTAGCCTCCAGTCCCCTAATCATCTTTTTTGCTCTTCTCTGCACTCTTTCCAGAGTCTCCACTTCTTTTCAGGGGAACGGGGAGACCCATGTAAAGTACATTGCAGTCGTCAAGGTGTGAAGTGACCAGGGCATGTGTGACTGTCCGAAGCCTACCTCCCCCAATGTAGGAAAGGGCATCCACCAATGGCACCAGATCAGGGGTGGATTCTATTTACCTTTACTACCGGTTAGTTCCCCCACCCAAAAAAAATGATGGACCAGCCTTGAAGGGGTCAAAAGAACCTCAACCTTTCACCAGTCACGGACTTGGGCAGACACATCTGTCAAGACAATAACCAAAATCTTCTTTTCTAAAGAAAAGCTGTTTATCCCCCTTTTCTGATAAACTGACCTCCAAACCAGTGGAACAGCTTGCCACCAGAAGTGGGTGCTCCATCATTGGGGTTTTAAAGAAGAGACTGGACAGCCATTTGTCTGAAATGATATATAGGGTCTCCTGCTTGAGCAGGGGGTTGGACTAGAAGATCTCCAAAGCCCCTTCCAACTCTATTCTGATTGATTGATTGATTGATTGATTGATTGATTGAGTAATGTGTTGATATCAAGAAGGTGACATTTCCCCCCACCCTTTTTTTTTTTTTTAAACAGGGACCCGCGAGTATAATTCTTTTGAGCTGGAAATGTCTCAGGTTGGGTTCTCCACCCACCTGCTGGAGGTAAGAGACAAATCGGGCTTCTCTCGTTTCCAAATGTGAAGCGCTATATAAATCTAAATGCTATTGCTATTTGTATAAACTTCAATAAAGCAAATTTATACAGCCTCCCGACTCGCATACAGAGGACTCCACGAGGCTTACAACAGTCTTTGAGTATGTTGAGTGTCTGGACAGCTGTGGTGTCCAGTGGTGGCTCAGTGGTTAGAGCGCGGTACTGCAGGCTGCTTCTGCTGACTGCCGGCTGACTGCAATTTGGCAGATCGAATCTCACCAGTTCAAGGTTGACTCAGCCTTCCGTCCTTCCGAGGTCGGTAAAATGAGGACCCAGATTGTTGGGGGGGCAAGAAGCTGACTCTGTAAACCGCTTAGAGAGGGCTGTAAGTCTAAGTGCTATTGCCCTTCCTTCCTTCCTTCCTTCCTTCCTTCCTTCCTTCCTTCCTTCCTTCTTTCCATTCATCCATCTATCCATCCATCCTTCCTATTTCCTTCCTGTTCATTTCCTTCCTTCCATCCATCCATCCTTCCTTCCATCCATCCTTCTTGTTTCCTTGCTTTTCATTTCCTTTCTTTCTTTCTTTCTTCCTTCCCTTCCATCCATCCATCCATCCCGTTTCCTTCCTTCCTTCCTTCCTTCCTTCCTTCCTTCCTTCCTTCCTTCCTTGTGGTTAGAATGCAGGATTGCAGGCTGACTCTGCCAACTGCCAGCAGTTCAATCCTGACTGGCTCAAGGTTGACTCAGCCTTCCGTCCTTCCGAGGTGGGTAAAATGAGGACCCAGATTGTTGGGGGACAAGAGGCTGACTCTGTAAACCGCTTAGAGAGGGCTGTAAAAGCACCGTGAAGCGGCATGTAAGTCTAAGTGCTATTGCTATTGTGCTGCTTCTCTCCCTGCAGGACGGAATCCTCTTTGGGATGGTGGGAGCCTACGACTGGGACGGGGCCGTGCTCAAGGAGGGCCGGTCAGGACGGGTCATCCCCCCCCGTGAAGCTTTTGCAAGAGAGTTCCCGCGAAAGCTGAATAACCATGCGGCCTATCTGGGTAAGGAAAACGGCAGAAGGTCAGGACAAAGGTGTGAGCTAAGCTAGCCTTCTGTATCCAACCGTGGTCGGCCCCTGTCTCTGAGAAGCAGTAGAAGAATGCTCTTGTGTAGTTTTCCCAGAGGAGGTAGACTGCCCCAGCAACTGGGAGCTTCATTTCTCCACCATGCCTCACAGAGCTCAATTCTTCTGCGAATGTCTTTCAATTAATCAGAATAGAAGCTGGAAGGGACCTTGGAGGTCTTCTAGTCCAGCAGTCACCAACTGGTGGTCCGTGAGAAAATTTTGGTGGTCCGCAGAAAAATTATTTGCATTTTTTATACTGCACTAAATCAGGGGTCCTCAAACTACGGCCCCTGGGACAGATACGTGCAATGAATGTTTGTGTTGCTGCAGAGAGTCTCCTCCTTTGGGGTCTTTTTGTGAGGGTCAAAGGGGGGCAGAAATTCCAGCTTGGGGTCTGCTTCGGCCTCCTGGTGGGGGGCTTTGGGCGAAGGCTGGAGGGAAGAGCCACTGGTGGGGAAGAACCGGAGGGCCTCGTTCCAGTGGGTCTGCCTCATGGCCTGAAACTGGTTGACCATCTCAGCCCGCTGAGCCTCCAGGCGCCGGTACCTGGCCTTGCACTCCCGCAGGTCTTCCCTCTGCTTGGAAAGCCTATGCTCCTAGTCCTCAGTGAGGTGCTTCTGCTGAGCCTCCTTCTCGGCCAGATCCAATTTGAACTGACCTGTTTTGCCAATTCTTTCTCACGGTGGCTGCTTAGCTCCAACAACTGCTTCCTGTTGGGGCCCTAAGGAGCCCGGGCGGGCAGACAAGGAGGGGCTAGGAGGGGAGGGGCGAGTAGAGGCCCCTTGACATGAGTGACATTGAGTTGGCCACACCCACCCAGTCACATGACCACCTAGCCACGCCCACCCAGCAGGTCATTAGGCAGATCACATTAGTGGTCCGTGGGATTTAAAATTATGAATTTAGTGGTCCCTGAGGTCTGAAAGGTTGGTGACCCCTGCCCTAGACCATTTCAGACAAGTGACTGTCCAGTCTCTTCTTAAAAGCTTCCAGTGATGGAGCACCCAACAACCTCTGCTGGCAAGCTGTTCCACTGGTTAATTGTCCTCCCTGTCAGGAAATTTTTCCTTCATTCCAGGTTGCTTCTCTCCTTTTGATTAGTTTCCATCCGTTGCTTCTTCTCTTGCCTTCTGGTGCTTTGGAAAATAAGTTGACACACACACACTCTCCACTTTGTGGCAGCCCCTCAAATACTGGAATTCTGCTATCACTGTGATGGGGAACTTATGGCACGCGTGCCGGAAGTGGCACATAGAACCATCTCTCTGGGCACGCGAGCCGTTGCCCGTTGCACTCCCGGTTTCCGGTGCGCTGGCAAGGTGGTCTTTACATGCGAAGGGAGTGCCGGAAACCAGAAGAGCAGCCGCCCCAGTGCACATGTGCGCATTGTGTGATAATTCTGTCCAGAATTTCTGAATTTTGTCGTTTTCTTTCTTCTTTCCCTTTCTCAGGCTACGCCGTCTCTTCAATCAGACTCCGGAGTGGCCGAAGGCTCTATCTGGCCAGCGCCCCCCGTTTCCAGCACAAGGGGAAAGTTATCCTCTTTGAGATGGATGGAGATGGCGACGTGTCCATCTCTCAGGCCCTGACAGGAGACCAAGTAAGGCACTCGCAAAATGCAAATGTCATTCATCGCACCTTTTTTTAGCAGAAACCGTTTAAAACAGAAGTAGGAGGGGCTAGAAGATTCCTGTGCAGGGGTGGGCTTTAAAAATTTTAGCAAGGGGTTCTCTGCCCGGTTGCTGGGTGGGGTGGCCTAGTCAGGTTCCTGCACCATGGTGGGGGGGGTTTGCCCTCCCCGGGCTCCAGAGGCGAAAACAGCCTCCCCAGGCTCCAGAGGCCCTCTGGAGGCTGGAGACTGGCCTATTTCCGGCCTTCCCAATCTTCCAGTAGGCCCACCCTCCCTGAGCCTCCGCCCTCCACTTACCTGCATCTAAAATGGGCCGCGTGGGGACTCCTGGGAGGGGAGGGGTGGGGTGGGCGGGGCCAGCCAGGAGTGGGATTTGGGGGTTCTCTGAACTGCACAGAATCCTAGCTAGAGGTTCTCCCGAACCCCGCAAACCCTCAGCAGCCTCACCCCTGCCCCTGTGTGTGTTTTTGTGACCATCTAGCACTGTTGCTGCATTAAAGGCATGTGAGAATATCGTGTATGTGTCTGATTTTCTGGCTGCTGAATACAGATAGTCCTCGTCTTACAACAGTTTGCTTAGTGACGAAAGTTACCACGGCACTGAAAAAAAGGTGACACATAACCCTCTTTCACACTTATGACCGTTGTAGTATACCCGTGATTTACATTCGGATATTTGACAACTGGTTCATACTTATGACGGTGGCCGTGTCCTGGGGTCATGGGATTCCCCTTTTGCGACCAAATGGGGAAGCCAGATTCACTTGCCGACCGTGTTATTAATTTAACTGTGGCAAGAAAACGTGTGAATCTGCTTAGGGCAGGGGTCAGCAACCTGCAGCTCTGGAGCCACATGTGGCTCTTTCACCCCTCTGCTGTGGCTCCCTGTCACTCAAAATATGTGTCACAACCACCAATATGCGACACACGATTTATTGAGCTTTTCCACCCCTGGTAGGCCAACCATGGATAAATCCAAGAAAATAAAAGTTTCAGAAGAAAACAGAAGGTTTAATTCAACTACATATGCTAGTTTTGTGGCCGCTCAAGAAAAAGTCAGGCACGGGAAGGGTTTTTGTGACTCCCGGTGTTTTCTTTTCTGTGGGAAACGGGTCCAAATGGCTCTTTTGAGTGTTTAAGGTTGCAGATCCCTGCCCTAGAGTTGACATAGTCTTCCTTGTTTCCTGCAGATCGGATCCTACTTTGGCAGTGAAGTTTGTCCTGTGGACGTGAATGGGGATGGCATCACAGATATCTTGCTGGTGGCTGCCCCCATGTACCTGGGCCCACAGAACAAAGAGATAGGGTGCGTTTACCTTTACAGAGTTGGCCAGGTGAGTGCTATTGCAGGGCAGGGGTTTATCAGAGTTTGTATTGGATTTTTATTTCGGTAAGACACCCGGAGTTACCCTAAGGTGCTTTTTTTCAAGAGGCAACTGGACTTTCTTGTTTTTTCTTTTGAAGACGTTTCGCTTCTCATCCCAGAAGCTTCTTCAGCTCTGACTGGATGGTGGGGGGAGTCAGAGCTGAAGTCAGAGCCGAAGAAGCTGCTTGGAGGAGAAGCAAAACGTCTTCAAAGAAAAAGGAAGTCCAGTTGCCTCTTGAAAAAATAGCACCTTTGGGACAACTAAAAACCTGGAGGGCTGAGAATCTCCATAGACACCCGGAGTCACCATGAGTGAGTTAAAATAAATAATAAATTATTTATTTTTAAAATAAATAATAAATAAAACTTATGGAGAAACTACTGTACAAAGTGAAATATTTCTTTTTTTTCACCTTGTGGTTGTGCACCCACAACCAATCTCAACATCTGTCTGGCAGTGCAAGAACAATTAATTTCCTGATACGAGTGGATGCAGGCATACGAAAAGAATTTACTTTTTCTATTTACTTTACTTTTATTTTATTTTGTATTTACTTTTTAATAAGCCCTTCTCTCTCTCTCTCTCCTGTTCTCTGTTTTGAAGTCACTCCTGACTTTCAATGGGACCCTCCTTCCTGATCCCAAACCTCAGGATGCTCGCTTTGGCTACGCCATGCTGGCGGTCCCGGATCTTAATCACGACAGCTTTAACGATGTAGTTGTGGGTGCCCCCTTGGAAGACAACCACCAGGGGGCAGTCTACTTGTACCACGGCTACCGTACAACTGTATTACCTCGTTTCAAACAGGTGAGTGAGCACAAAGCATTGCCCAGTTTCAATTTCTAAAGGTAAAGGTTCCCCTCGCGCATGTGTACTAGTCATTCCCGACTCTAGGGGGTGGTGCTCATCTGTTTCAAAGCCGTAGAGCCAGCGCTGTCCAAAGACATCTCCGTGGTCATGTGGCCACCATGATTCAACGCCAAAGGTGCATGGAACACTGTTCACCGGCCTCTACTCACCCCTCTCCTGCCATCCACTCCTTCCTCCCCACCCAGGCTCCTTAGGCCCCCAACAGGAAGCAGTTGTTGGAGCTAAGCAGCCACCACGAGTTAGCAAAACAACTGGCTCAGTTCAAATTGGATCTGGCCGAGAAGGAGGCTCAGCAGAAGCACCTCACTGAGGACTAGGAACATAGGCTTTCCAAGCAGAGGGAAGACTTGCAGGAGTGCAAAGCCAGATACCGATGCCTGGAGGCTCAGCCGGCTGAGATGGTCAGCCAGTTCCACTGGAACGAGGTCCTCCGGCTCTTCGCCACCAGCGGTGCTTCCCTCCAGCCTTCGCCCAAAGCCCCACACCAGGGGGCCGAAGCAGACCCCAAGTCGGAATTTCTGCCCCCCTTTGACCCTCACAAAAAGACCCCGAAGGGGGAGAGTCTCCGCAGCAACACAAACGTTCATTGCACATATCCAGCCCAGGGGCCGTAGTTTGAGGACCCCTGATTTAGTGCAAATCATTTTTCTGTGGACCACCAAAATTTTCTCATGGACCACCAGTGGTCCACGCCACAGACCACCAGTTGGTGACCGCTGCCCTTTACTGTATAACTCTGGTGGGTTTACAAGAAAACGGGGGGATTTTTTTTACTACACAGGGAAAACTTTAGAACTGGCTTCGCTTCTACTCTGGCTATATGGATCTAGCAGTAAAGTCATACTCTTGGTAAACTAATGTCCCAGGAGTTTCTTTTGATGCATATGCCAATGGAATGGTAGACATTATGTCTCTAAGCATACAGGGGGGGCCCTGCCTAGGACCTCCCAGAGCAGTGGTGGGATTCAAATAATTTAACAACCGGTTCTCTGCCCTAATGACCAGCTGGGTAGGTGTGGCTCGGTGGTCATGTGACTGTGTGGGCATGGCCAACTCAACGTCACTCACGTCGATGGGCACTTCGCCTTAGCTGTTACAATGTAACAAGGGTTAACCAGAGAGGCAGTTTCTGTAAGCAGGGCAATAAAGATTAGGCTAGAAACAACACCAGAATGTTGTAATTCCTTACAGGATTAGCCCTGTAAAGTGGAAAAAAACAAAAGGAGATTTATTTATTTATTTAGTTAGTTGCACGTATTTATATGCTGCCCTTCTCCCAAAGGGCGGTGAACACAAGCAAAAACATACAATAAAAATCCGAATTAAAACCAGTTAAAATCAAATAATAATAAATAATAAAACCCAAGAATCTGAATCAGAATCAGCCCATTTGTTGAAATAGCCAAGTCTTCAGATTTCTTCCAACAAGCGGTTCTCTGAACTGCTTAGAAAGTTAATAACCAGTTCTCCTGAATAAGTGCGAACTGGCTGAATCCCACCACTGGCCCAGAGTCCTCAGCTTTGGAAACGCAGGCAAAAAAAAAAAAAAAAAGGCAGCCACGAGTGGCTAAGTCTGTTTCCCCCACCCCCAAAATGGTTGCTTTCTTCCCTGGCAGCGCATCGAATCTGCAGCGCTTCGCTTGGGCCTTCACTATTTCGGCCGCAGCTTGGACGGGCAGATCGACATGGATGGGGATGGCCTGGTGGATCTGGCTGTGGGGGCTCAGGATGCTGCAGTGGTTTTAAGGTGAGGGGCTGGAAAGAGGACCAAGAAAAACTAATCCCATTCAGAGGGTTGGGTGAGAAACGGGGAATGCTGGTGCCCGGCAGAATCTTTGCAAGGACGGCATGGGAAGATTTCTTTTTTTGGGGGGGGGGAAAGGCATTGTTTGGAACTCAGAAGAAGCTTCTTATCCATGAAAGCAGAGGTCAGCCACCCTTCTGGTCTTGAGGCCAAATCTCCAAATTTCTTGAAATGAGTCTATGACAGTGATGGTGAACCTTTTCGGCACCGAGTGCCCGAACTGGAACGCGCACGCCGGAGCACTGGAAACCCAAAGACCAACTAGCTGGCACGTGCATGCCTTTTTTTCCGCCATTTTTTCTGCCCTTTTCAGGCCGTTTTATGGGCCAAAAAACGGCCTGAAAAATGGCCCCAAAATGTCCTGAAATATGTCCCAAAAATGTCCCGAAAAACAGCCTGAAAATGCCCCCAAAACAGCCTGAAAATGGCCAGAAAACGGCCCAGAAAACGGCCCCAAAACTGCCTTTTTTTTGGCCGGTTTTGGCCATTTTTTTGGCCGTTTTCAAGCCGTTTTCCCATGCTCCAGCATCCACGCACATGCCCAGAAAGAGGGCTCTGTGTGCCACCTCTGGCACGTGTGCCATAGGTTTGCCATCACGGGTCTATGATAACTCACTGTGGCCAACTCGCCACGGGACAAGAATTACACTCAAATCAAAGAAATAGTGGAATAGAATCATTAAAGAAAGAATGCCAAAGGAGGGACAGAATGAAATGTGAAGCACAAAAATTAAAACACAGGTAATCCTCAATTTACAACAGTTCGTTTAGTTCAAAATTACACACCGCTCTATGGCAGTAATATAGCATAGATTGTACCCAATTACAGTGCTTAGGTTGTGAAGGTCGGTATGTCTTTTGTGGTTATAATGATATTTGTTGGCAATGAATCAGATCCAGGAGAATCGTGCAGATCAATGCCTCCATCTCAGTCAACCCTCCCTCCATCAACGTGATCCAGAAAAACTGCCAGAGAAACGGGAAGGAATCCCTCTGTGTGACAGCCAACTTCTGCTTCAGCGTGTCTTCGCGGTCTCTGGGTCCCCGGGACAGCCACTTGAGTAAGTGCCTCCCAAACCAGAAGTTCAAGCGTTTCTCATACTGTCCACCTCGGTTATGTGACTTGAACCAAGGTTGGGCACAGCCTTGGGGGCAGGGGTGGGATTGTTCGGTGCCCGATTGCTGGGGGGCATGGCCATGGGGGCATAGCCTATTTGGCCTCCTGCACCATGGTGTGTGGGGGGGGAGTTTTCACCCTCCCCAGTCTCTGGAGGCTTTTCTTGAGCCTCCAAGAGGGCGAAAACGTCCTTCCCTGGGCACCAGAGGCCCTCCGGAGGCCGGAAACAGGCCTGTTTCTGGACTTCCAGTAGGCCCATTTTTCACCCTCCCAGAGCCTTCACGCATGCCCGGCACTTACCTGGCATCCAAAATGGGCCACATGGAGAATCCTGGGAGGGGTGGGGTGGGGTGGGCGGGGTCAGCCAGTCCTTGGAACAACCAGTTTGGCGAACCAGATTAAAATTAACATCCGTTCGCCCTAACCGGTCTGAACCGGCTGAATCCCATCCCTGCTTGGGGGCACCTGGCCAAGGGAATGATGGAGAGGAACGGCAGAAAAATCTGTTTTTTTAAAAAAGCAATGTTTTGATTGTGTAATTTCTGGACGGGCTGTAAGAGGATTTAAGCAGCTATGTCTGGCCCACTGGGACCCATCCAACCTAAAGAAACTCTCTTTGTTATTTGATCATGATCTTCATTTAACGACCCCATAATAATCCCTTGCGGGGGGTGGAGTCTGGGCAACTGAATGGAGCTGAGTGTTTACTGGCCAGATGCCTTTCCTGTCGCCAATGCGGAGTTTTGTTCAGCAGATATATTCTCATGGTGCCCAGAGAGAGAAATATCTGCCTCTACCTAGGATCGAACTCACAGCCCTCCTGATTGTGAGGCGAGAGCTCCACCTCTAGGCCACTGCACCACTCTCTCTTTATCACTTGATCCTAGGTATAAGATACAACGTCTCTCTGGATGACAGGAAGTTTGGCACGAGAGCAGTCTTTGATAGCAGCTCTCAAAAGCTGCTGCAGAAGAGAACTCGGGCCACCGTGGGCAGGACGGCTTGCTCAACTGCTCGCTTCCACGTCATTGTGAGTGTGGGATGGGTTTCTCTCTGGACCATGGGATGTGGTTGGTTCAAAGGCTCAGTTGGTTGTCTAAAGAGGGACTGTAAACATACAATGTGTCTCAGTGGTGAAATCCGAACCGGTTTGCTACCAATTGGCTCACTGTGCATGCACAGTACGAGCCAAAAGGAGACTTGGGAAGGTTAAGTAGAATAGCGAGGGGGGGATCAGCTGTGCCACACGGTTTATCTTCGCTCGAAAGTAGGTAATCCTGCTTTCGACCGATCCAGTAGCTTTTTTTTACTACTGGTTCGCATTTACCGGTCGTTTTTATCACTACCGGCTTGCCCGAACCGGAGCGAACCGGTAGCATTTCATTCCTGATGAGTCTGCTTCAGCCATCTGTCTTCAGATTGCTTTCTTTCAAATGAAAGGAATTTCTTCCTTAGCTGAAGAATCCTAATCATAGATTGAATAGATCATACCTGGATTGAACAGACAAGAAGCAGATGCAGACAGAGATAAAAATCCATGAGAGGAATATGAGAGGCAAACCATTTCCAGACTTCCGGAACTTACAATAGGCCAATTTTTCGCCCTCCAAGAGCATCCGTGCGGGTCCTGCACTTACCTGGCATCCAAAACGGGCTGCGTAGAGACTTCTGGAAGGGGTGGGGTGGGCGGGGTCAGCCAGTCCTTGGAACTACTGGTTCGGCGAACCAGATTAAAATTAACATCTGGTTTACCTGAACCGGTCTGAACCGGTTGAATCCCTCCCCTGCTTATAAGCAGAAGAACACCAACACTGACATCCCTTAAGTTCTGCTGAAGATGTTACCTAACCTGGTAACGAAACGTTTGGAAACCAACAACCCACAAGCTCGGAGAACAAATCTCCACCCTCATCCTACACACGAGCCACAGATATTTGCCACAAGCACAAACTTATAGGCAATATTACATGCATGGCAGGGGTGGGTTCTAAAACAAAATTTTTTTTAATGACATTTTTTATTACCGGTTCTGTGTGCATGGCTTATTTTGTGGATGTCGCTTGGTGGGGGGGTAATGTGATTGGGTGGGTGTGGCCAACATTTTTTTTTTACTTTTAAAAGTATTTTTTTCTACAACCTTAAGAGGTTGCAGAAAAAAATGCTTTTAAAAGCCTCTGATGATCAGGCAACTCAGCTGGGATCGCCAGAGGCTTTTAAAGGCATTTTTTTCCTACAATCTCTTCGGCTGAAGAGGTTGCAGAAAAAAATGCTTTTAGAAGCCTCTGACGATCCCAGCTGAGTTGCCTGATCATCAGAGGCTTTTTTTAAAAGCATTTTTTCAGCTGAAGAGGTTGTAGAAAAAATGCTTTTAAAAGTAAAAAAAAAAAAAGCCTCTGATGAGGTGGGTGGGGTAAGCGACCGGGGACCGGGCCGGGGGCGTGGTCAGCCAATGTTATTACCGGTTCTCCAAACTACTACAAATTTTTACTACTGGTTCTTGGGAACCGGTGCAAACTGGGAGCAACCTACCACTGATGATGGGCTTCAACTCCCAGAAATCGCCAGCCAACCAGCCAGTCCACACATCTGAAAACTGAATTATTCTAGGAGCTGAGGTCCACCCCTCTTAAAACTGCAGACGCTCATCCAGAATGATGGAATGAGCGCGAGAAAAATCACTCCCACCATCTTGCTTGGAAAACGTCTTTTCCAGAGAAAAACTGAACTGCATTTCCACAGCCTGAGATGACCATTCATTTTGAAGGGGAAGGAAGCATCTTAGGAATTTCAGGGCCGGTGTTGGTTCTTCAAAAGGTCTCAGGTCTATTTCTTCCCTGCAGGACACCTCAGATTATCTCCGGCCGGTCACCATCACCATGAAGTTTGCCCTGAGTGAAACTGAGCTGCCTGGGCCTGTCCTGGATGAGAAACTGCCCACCACTGTTAAGAAACTAGTAAGTGAAATAGCCATGCGATATTCACGCACAGCTCCCGTTCCTTGTCCCAGCTTCTGCCAACCTAGCAGTTCGAAAGCAGGTAAAAAATGCAAGTAGGAAAACAGGGACCCCCTTTGGTGGGAAAGGAACAGCGTTCTGTGCGCCTTTGGCATTGAGTCATGCCGGCCACGTGACCACGGAGACGTCTTCGGACAGCGCTGGCTCTTCGGCTTTGAAACGGAGATGAGCACCGCCCCCTAGAGTCAGGAACGACTAGCACATAGGTGCGAGGGGAACCTTTCCCTTTACCTAGGAGTGTGGAATAGCATTTTCCCACATTCTCTCAAATTTAGACTCTGTACGATGGGAACCTTTACCTTTACCCAAGGTTGAGAAATACTAGGCTATTATAATAGAAATACTAGAAATACTTCAACTGCTCGCAATTAAGAGTATTTTTGCAACACCTGAGCTTCTGGAATAAATCCGGAATAAATATGAAGTCTTGGGAGCAGGTCTGGTAGGAAACCTTGGGGTTTGAAAACAGGAAAATATAGTGAGTATGAAAGCTTCAAAGCCAGAAGATAAACTGGACTTTCCTTTCTTAGAGGAAGGAAGGAAGGAAGGAAGGAAGGAAGGAAGGAAGGAAGGAAGGAAGGAAGGAAGGAAGGGCAATAGCAATAGCATTTAGACATATACCGCTTCACAGTGCTTCACAGCCCTCTCTAAGCAGTTTTACAGAGTCAACCTCTTGCCCCCAACAATGTGGGTCCTCATTTTACCGACGGAAGGCTGAGTCGACCTTGAGCCAGATAGGATCGAATTGCTGGCAGCCGGGCAGTCAGCAGAATTAGCCTGCAATACCGCATTCTAACCACTGCGCCACCACGGCTGACAGATATTTCAAGATGACATATCTTGACATACTTTTCTCTATAGAGTAGGCTCAAATGAAAGAAAGACGGATTGTCCTTTCATAATCTTCATAGTTCAATACCTAAGCAATCATTTCAACGTACTTTGAATAGCATTTGCAAGCAATTAGTCATGGTTACCTAAGGTTAGTAATAGTTCTGTTAGTGATAAAGAAGGATGAAGACTAAGAAAAATGGCTGATGCATCACTCCTAGTTTGTGCCACTCCTAATTCAGACATTGCTCAGATCTCAGAATCAGAAACTTATTTTTTAAGAAAAGGGGGGGAGGCAAACTGTTCAGAACCAATCAGCTGGCTGTTTTCCAGATCCCCTTTTTCAAAGACTGCGGTGAGGACGATGAGTGTGTAACAGATCTGGTGCTACAAGCTGAAATGGATATCAGTGGATCCAGGTAAGGATCTTTATCCAGAGGTGGGTTTCAGCAGGTTCTAACCAGTTCTGGAGAACCGGTAGCGGAAATTTTGAGTAGTTCGGAGAAACAGTAGTAAAAATTCTGACTGGCCCCGCCCCCATCTATTCTCTTCCTCCCGAGTCCCAGCTGATCGGGAGGAAATGGGGATTTTGCAGTAAGCTTCCCCTGGATTGGGGAGGGTTGGAGATTTTGCAGTATCCTTCCCCCAGAGTGGGGTGGGAATGGAGATTTTACAGTATTTTTCCCTGCCACGCCCACCAAGCCATGCCATGCCCACTAAGCCACACCCACAGAACCAGTAGTAATATCTGATCCAAGACATTGCAAGTTAGGCAAACATTTAATGGAGATTTTTTTAAAAAAATAAATAAATTCGGGCGCTTGACTGAGCAAAGATTTCAACTTTGGTACCTTAAGTGGCTCTAGGATTCTAGGGTTCCACCAACCAGGCACAACTTAAAAACCACTAACTAAAACCAAATTGGAATATTAACGGCAAGATGTCTTCGATAACACTTCTTGGAAGACCGGAGGGTTCCACAGAATTTAGGCGATCGGTTGGTTGTCCGTGATCAGACCTAGAACCTTGTCACCCATGTTAATCTTAAAGATTGAGAGAAGGACAGATTGGCTAAAGCAGGGGTCCCCAACACCCCCCCCCGTGGCCTGCAGCCCACGACTGGGCCCTGGCTGTTGTGGTCCGCCAGCGGCCTGCAGAGCTGGACAGTGAGGATGTTGGGGAGGAACATGGACCAGTCCTGGAATCTGGAGAAGGCTTGGATGAGGGCTCTACGTCAGAGGCAGAGAGGGGGCCAGGGCCATCTGGTTGTGCTGCCTCCAGAGCATCCAGAATCTGACATCAGTGAGGCAGAAGAACAGTGTGAGCCTGTGCCCATGTACGCATGCGCAGAGCTGCCAGAAGGCAAGAACAATTAAGGAAAAAAAGGGTGACTCAGGAGTAAGGCTTGGAGCTGATTGGCGCCTCCCATAAGACATAAAAGAGGAGCAAACGGACGTGAGCCTTTGCAGGAAGCAATTAGTTCATATAGTCAATTCAAGCTCTGAGAAGATCCGTTTGACTCTGTGCTCCGTTTGGCCTTGCAAAACTAATTGGCAATTAGGTCTCCGGCAGCGTTTCAAGGGAGATAAAGGTGGGTGCTTATCCACATTACCCTGAGAGACTGTGTCAACTCGAGCAGACCTCTGTCGGAATCTGCACAGACTGTTTGTGAATCATTACGGGCTGTGAATGACCATCATTCACAGCCATCTCAATAAAAGAGGGACTAAAATTGTGATTTTATGCTTTCTCAGGAAGCCTAAGTCAGAACACTGGCCTATTCTGAATTGGGCAGTGTGAGAAGCTGGCTGGAGTACATGAAGCTCAACTTGTACGAGTAGCTGGCCGGTGGACAGTTTGCCAGCGCACATGCAGCTAGCAAACGGCTCATGCAAATCAAGCTGCATGCATGTGCGCCAACCTGCCACTTGTGCAAGGACTGCATGCACATGCATGCATCAGCTCACCACCCGTGTGGCCCAGTACCCCTCTCCCGCCCCCTCCAGGCGAGCCTCCAAGCTGCAAAGGTTGGGGACCGCTGGGCTAGAGACTAGTGAATATTTAACCCCTCTCTCTCTGCCTGTAAGCCAAAGCTGGGACCCTCGTTCTCTTCTTGCAAGTCACGTGATTGTCATCGATATTCCTCATTTCCAGGCAGACGCCTCACATCATCCGTAAAGGGAAGCGGAAGATGGTGATTGACGTCCTTCTGGAGAACAAGAAAGAAAATGCCTACAACACCACTCTCCAGATCTGGTTTTCCAGAAATCTCCACTTCTCCAGCCTTGGTCTAAAGGTATGGTGCCCCTAACCCAAGTAGGGTTGTCCATGGGAGGAGCCCACTCTAATTTCCACAGATGGGTTTTCTAAAGAGGCTGGAAGTGCTCCAAAGTGTGTTGAAGTTAATGATTTCGGTTATTTACATATACCAAGAAGTTTGCTTCTAATAACTGAAGTCCCAGAAGGTCTATTTAGTTCATTCAATCATTAAAATTAAATCCGAACTATTTCTTTTAACCATTCCTTGAGCGTTTCATTACTTACCGTAGAAGCAAGATTTCAGTTGAACTTTGGAAACAGGTTCAGCCCTGCAATTGGCAAACTTTGACAGAGTCTAACTGTTGTGACCCAGGCCCACGTAGTTGATATTAAATGCAAAACAGTTCCAAAAAACAAACAAATTTTATTAAAACAGCTGAGCATTAACTCATTCTCAGCGTATTTTAAATGAAATGAAAGCAAAGTCCTTAAAACACCAGTCTTTAGTTTATCTCTGACCTTGGGATAATTAGGCAAACTGCCAAAGGCTTCTCTTGGCAACTGTTCAGGAACAGAAGAAATAACTACAGCAAAACAAGAAACAAATCTATCAACCTTGTGTTCTGACAAAGAGGCCAAAAGCCATTGCTGGTCTTTTAAGCCTTATGGGAGGGGCCAATCATTTCTTGGCCTTACTCCAGAGTCGTCCCTTTTGCTTTAGCTGCTCCTGCCTTCTGGCAGCTCTTCTCATACGTGCATTAGGAACAGCTCCTCCTGTTCCTCTGCCTCTCTACTGTCAGCCTCTGGAGGCTCTGAAGTCTGCACATTATTCCCCGATGGCCTTGGCCCCATCTCTGCCTCTGACGCAGAGCCCTCTTCCGGGCCTTCCCCAGCCTCCAGGACTGGCCCATGGGACAGGACAGGACAGGACAAGTACTTAGACTTACATCCCACTTCACAGCCCTCTCTAAGCGGTTTACAGAGTCAGCCTATTGCCCCCAACAATCTGGGTCCTCATTTTACCGACCTCGGAAGGATGATGGAAGGCTAAGTCAACCTTGAGCCAGTCAGGATCGAACTGCTGGCAGCCGGCAGAATCAGCCTGCAATATGCATTGTAATCACCGTTGTCAGCCCTGGAGGCCCATATGACATCTCTAATAAAATGGAACTTTGAGGAACTTCTAGCCTCGGAGTCTCCTTTCATTGGGGGTATTACTTGGAACCCTGACAACTGTCCCGTTACGGCTCATTATAAAATAACGAGATAAAATCAATGAAAAGAAGCACTGCCCAAAACTTCCCCTGATGCCCAATCAGTTTATTCTAGCCCTTTTTCCTTCCTCCCCACAGGGTGAGAACCCCGTGAAAATAGAGTGCTCAGTTTCTTCCGCTCAGACCCGCGTGTGCCGCGTGGGTTATCCCGTCTTCCGGTCCTCGGCAAAGGTGAGCCAACGTAGACCTGCTAGAGTAGAGATCGCCAATCTTTACGGCTTTGTGGCCCGGCAGGAGGAGAGGAGAGGGGAACTGGATTGTGGAAGCGGCAGCCTGCCACTCCTCGCTCATGTGCACGCCGCCAGCCCACCGCTCATGCAAGTCGAGCTGCCTGTGCATGCACACTGACCCACCACTCGTGCAACTCAAGCTGTGTTGCGCGAATGCCAGCCAGCCTGGTTCTAAACGGGCTGCGGCCCAGGGATGGGAGACCCCTGCGGTAGAGAGTCCGGCGATGTTGGTTGGAGGCCTCTCAGTTTAGGGGTAAAAAGACACGCATGCAGGAGTGGGCTTCAAAAATTTTAGCAAGGGGTTCTCTGCCCAGTTATTGGGTGGGTGTGGCCATGGTGGTCATGGCCTAGTCACTCTCCTGCACCACAGTGGGGGGGGGGCGTTTTTGCCCGCCCTGGACTCTGGAGCAGCAGTCACCAACTGGTGATCCGCAGAAAAATTATTTGCATTTTTTATATTGTACTAAATCAGGGGTCCTCAAACTACTGCCCCCGGGACGGATACGTCCCCCCCGAAGGGGGGTCTTTTTGTGTGGATCGGAGGGGGAGGAGAAATTCTGACTCGGAGTCTGCTTCGGCCTCCTGGTGGGGGGCTTTGGGTGAAGGCTGGAGGGAAGAGCCACTAGTGGCGAAGAGCCGGAGGGCCTCGTTCCAGTGGGACTGCATCATGGCCTGGAATGGTTGACCATCTCAGCCGGCTGAGCCTCCAGGCGCTTGTACCTGGCTTTGCACTCCCGCAGGTCTCCCCTCTGCTTGGAAAGCCTATGCTTCTAGTCCTCAGTGAGGTGCTCCTGCTGAGCCTCCTTCTCGGTCAGATCCAATTTGAACTGAGCTGTTTTGCCAACTCTTTCTCGTGGTGGATGCTTAGCTCCAGCAACTGCTTCCTGTTGGGGCCCTAAGGAGCCCGGTCGGGGAGTTGGCCACGCCCACCCAGTCACATGGCCACCTAGCCACACCCACCCAGCCAGTCATTAGGCAATTCATATTAGTGGTCCGCGGGATTTAAAATTATGAATTTAGTGGTCCCTGAGGTCCGAAAGGTTGGTGACCCTGCTCTGGAGGCTTTCTTCGAGCCTCTGGAAGGGCGAAAACAGCCTCCCCAGGCTCCGGAGGCCCTCCAGAGGCCCATTTCCGGCCTTCCTGAACTTCTGGTAGGCCTGTTTTTCACCATCCCTGAGTTCCCAGCACACCCTGCACTTACCTGCAACCAAAATGGGCCGCATGGGGATCCTGGGATGGGCGGGGCGGGCAGGGCCAGTCAGGTGTGGAATTTGGGGGTTCTCTGAACTGCACCAAATCTTAGCTAGAGGTTCTCCCGAACCCCTGCAAACCCCCAGCGGCCCACCCCTGCACACATGTCGGCTTTAAAGAATCACCTGATGCACTAAATGCATCTCGGTAAATGCATAATGTATAATGTATGCCACTTATACAATCCATAATGGAGACTGCTCATTAGGGCTGTAGGTCATGATGATTGTAAAAGTAACCTGACTGACACAATTTTTTTTTTTTTTTGGTGGCAAATACCGCGGGGGTTAAGTGACCCGCTGTTGGCTACGGCATGGTTTTTCAAAAATGGTCATAAAAGGTATCACGTGACTGCAGGGATGCTGCAAACGGCTGCAAATGTAGCTCTATGTCGCTGACCACCCAAAGTGTCACAGTGATCAGAGGGGAGCTACTATCGGAACTTTGGAACGGTGTCGTAACTCCCTTTTTTGCAATTAGTCGTAACTCAAGGACTAGCTGTAGTGCTCTCTCACAGCGACAGCTGTCGTGCCCTTTTTAAACCAGCTCCTGGTCCTTCGTAGTTTCCATCTGAAAACTTAGGGGAGATGTGATAGCATCTTGCAGTATTTGAGGGGCTGCCACAAAGAAGAGGGGGGTCAAATTATTCTCCAAAGCACCTGAGGGCAGGAGAAGAAGCAATGGGTGAAAACTCATCAAGGAGAGAAGCAACCTGGAATTAAGGAGAAAGTTCCTGACAGTGAGGACAATTAATCAGTGGAACTGCTTGCCACCAGAAGTTCTGGATGCTCCATCACTGGAGGCTTTCAAAAAGAGATTGGACAGCCTCTTCTCTCAAATTGTATAGGGCAGTGATGGCTAACTTTTTCCAGACCAAGTGCCCAAAGCGTGCGTGAGTGCGTGCAAATGCGTGAGTGCGTGCCCGAACCCCCAAAATGCAATGCGTGTGCGGCTCTTGTGCATGCGCCCCAAACCACGTGCATATGTGCATGGCCCCCTGCATGCGCCCCTCCACGCCCCCCCGCATGCACATGTGACCCCCTGCATGCCCCTGCACATTGGCAGCAGAGACCCAAAGACCAGCTGGCTGGCCGGAGGCGCGTGCACATGCCCAGTGGAGCTGAACTGGGGCGACGGCTCACGTGCCCACAGAGAGGGCGCTGCATGCCATAGGTTCGCCATCATGGGTATAGGGTCTATTTCTTGAGCAGGGGGTTGGACTAGAAGACCTCCAAGGTCCCTTCCAGCTCTCTTATTCTGTTATTCACTTTCCTTTGCAGGTGGCCTTTGCCCTTGAGTTCGAATTCAGCTGCTCCTCCCTTCTGAACAAAGTGCAGGTGAAGCTTACAGCCAGCAGGTGAGAACTGGGGCTGGGGGGATTAAGGAAGCCCATCTGCACTTGATGGCAAAATGTTGGGAAGGATAAAATAAACTAGTCCAAAAGGGGAGATACAGGTAGTCCTCAACTTACAACAGTTCATTTAGTGACCATTCAACGTTACAAAGTATTCTGCCCCAGCTATGGACCCCAAAGAACGCAGCGCACACAAACTCTATACAAAGTTTATTTTACTCAAATAACTTAGTCTTTATCAACCAAAGGCTGTTAATAAACTGTCTTAACAGCCTACCTGAATTCTAAGATAAGGTAATCACAATCTTACTAGAGTTGGCAGAAAGCCCAGAAACAATTTTGCAGAGAATCCAGACGCAAAGGAGATTGAACTAAAGTTGTTCCCTACAGCTTGCTGCAAGCGGCGTTCCTCCTTAAATAGGCTAAGGGAGTGGCCAATTAGCCCCAAGCCTTACTCTCGAGGAGACCTCCTCCTGAGGAGCCACTCCTGCTTTTTGGCAGCTCTGCGCGCTCGTGCATCGAGAAGAGTCTCCTCCTCTTCGTCCTCTTCACTTAAGGGAGCTTCTGGAGGTTCTGAAGGTCCTGGCTGAATCCCCGCCTCCGGCACCACATCTTCTCCAGCCTCCTCATTGTCCGACTCGAGCGCCAGCTGCACAGGCTGCTGACGCAGCACCACACCAGCCTCCTTGCTGTCGGAATCAGCTACAATCTGCACAGGCCGCTAACGGGCCACAACACAAATGCACTGAAAAAAGTGACTTATGACCGTTTTCACACTTATGACCGTTGCAGCATTTCCATAGTCACATGGTTTACATTTGGATGCTTGACAACTGACTCACATTTATGACGGTCACAGTGTCCCGGGGTCGGGTGATCCCCTTTTGTGACCTTTTGACAAGCAAAGTCAGTGGGGGAACCCAGATTCATTTAACAACCGTGTTGCTAACTGAATAACCGCAGTGATTCCCTTAACAAATGTGGCAAGTAAAGTCATAAAACGGGGCAAAACTCACCTAACACATTTCTCGCTTCGCAATGTAAATGTTGGGCCCAAATTGTGGTTGTAAGTTGAGGACTACCTGTACCTGGAAGTCTTTTGATTGTGAAAAGCCCCTGTCTTGAGAAGGGCTTCCACCAACCCATTCAAAACCCTTCGGTTGTGGCCTGCCAGCAGCCAGTAGAGCTGGCAGCAGATTCGGACAGTGAGGAGGTTGGGGAGGAACATAGGCCAGTCCTGGAGTCTGAGGAAGGCTCTGATGAGGGCTCTGCATCGGAGGCAGAGAGGGGACCAGGGCCATCTGACAGTTATCAGCTGCCTTCAGAGTCGGACATCAGTGAGGCAAAAGAACAGCTGGCAAAAGAACAACTGCCCCAATGGGGCAGAAGAGGGTATAGTTAAGGACTGGTATAAGGACTTTTCAAAGGGTGAAATAAAATTGATATTGTATATGGTGACAGCAGCTAGGTTACTGATTGGGCAATATTGGAAAAGGGATGTTATGCCTACTATTGAAGAATGGACTTTGAAGGTGGCCAGTTTTGCAGAAATGGCGAAGATATCAGCATACTTAAAAGACCGGACTCAAGAGACTTATGCACGGGAGTGGAAGAAATGGATAGATTATGTGCAGAATAAATATCAAACTAGGAAGTACCAGATAGCTTTTAGTTGAATGTTGTGTAGAAATGTATAGTATATAGGGGGTAGAATAGTTCAATGTCATGTAGAAATGCATAGTACACAGGGGGCAGAATAGACGGGCGGTAAAGTATGATATAATATGATTTGGATTTGGATTTCACCTTGGGGAAGTCATGGGAGGAGGGGAGGGTTAGGGAGGGAAAGGGGGGGGGAATGGGAAAATTTGTATTTGTAAAACTTTTTTAATAAAAAAAAAATGGGGCAGAAGAGCAGCTGGAGCCTGTTCCCAGTGTGAGCATGCGCAGAGTTGCCAGACGAAGGGAACAGCTAAAGAACAAGGGTCGACTCAGGAGTAAAGACACAGGTGGACGGTGAATGGCCCCTCCCATAGGGAATAAAAGAGGAGCGAAAGGGGAGTTTGCAGGAGACAATTAGTTCACCTAATTGGTTCATGACTCTCCGAGACGCCTTGCCAAGTTTTGAAGATATCGGCCTGGCAGCTCTCCAAGCCAGATGAGGTCTGTGACTGTAAATTCTCCCTTGAAAGACTTTGCTGGATGTGAATGAGAGGAATTCACAGTAACTTAATAAAAAGGGTTTTTTTGGTCGGGACAAGGAGTGTGTTTAGTGGTCTTGGGAATGCCTAGGTCAGAACACTTTCTTCTTCCTTTCTGCTGCGCAGTGACAGCAGCGAGTTGAACCAAACGCTGACGGACAACACGGCCCAGCCCACCGCCTTCGTCTCGTATGAGCCTGACCTCTTCCTGACCAGGTGAGTCCCTGTAGGTGTCTCTGTGTGTGTTTGTGTGTGTCCCTGTTAGGGATGGAAAGACATCCCAACAAGTCAGGCCTGCAGACAAATGGCCGCGTTGCTTAGCAGCTTGGCTCATTATTCGTTGTGTTTGTCCAAGAGCACGTCACTCTTGGAGGGCTTATAACAAACAATTAAAATAATCACTCAGAACTGATTTGGGAGGGAGTGCCTATTGCTAAAATGGACTACAGATAGTCCTCAAATTATAACAGTTCATTTAGTGCAGTGTTTCTCAACCTTGGAAGCTTGAAGATGGGTGGACTTCAACTCCCAGAATCCCCCAGCCAGCGCTTGAGTTGAAGTCCACCCATCTTCAAGCTTCCAAGGTTGAGAAACACTGATTTAGTGACTGTTTGAAGTGAGAACGGCCCTGATAAAGTGACTTAGGACCGTTTTTGACGCTTATGACCGTCGTAGCATTTCCCCCATGGTCATGTGTTCTACATTCAGGGCGCTTGGCAACTGACTCGTGTTCATGACGATCGCGGTGCCCTGGTGACCCCTTTTTACTGGGGGGGGGCAGATTCACTTAACAACCATGTTACTAACTGAAGAACTGCAGTGATTCGCTTAACCCCTGCGGCAGGGAAGGTCGTAAAACGGAGCAAAACTCACTTAACCAATGTGTCACTTACCACGTACATTTGGGACTCCATTGTGATCATAAGTGGAGAGCTACCTGCAGTGGTGGGATTCAACCGGTTCGCACCACTTCGGCCGAACCGGTTGTTAAATTGCTGGCTGGCCCCGCCCCTCCCTGCCCTGCCCCTTCCAGAAGTCCCCACGCGCCCTATTTTGGCTCCCAGGTAAGTGCAGGGAGGCCTACTAGGCCCAAAATGGGGTGCGGGAGGGTGCAGCACGGTCCTCCTGCGGCCCGTTTTTGCTCCCAGGAGGCTGCAGGGAACGCTACTTGGCCCAAAACGGGGCGCGAGGGAGCGGTGCCCCCCCTGGCAACCCATTTTTGCTCCCAGGGGGGTGCAGGAGGCTGAGTGCTGCCTTTCAAACCCCTTAGTCACACCCACCATGGCCTCGTCCACCCAGCTGGTCATTGGGGCAGAGAACCGGTTGTTAAATTATTTGAATCCCACCACTGGCTACCTGTATTTTGAACTTGCAACTCAAAGGATGTCTCCGATTTAGGTTTTTCCATGTTTTCTTTTAGTGAATCTACCCTGAACCGCTATGAAGTACATCCTGTGGGGACCTTCCCGAGCGACATGAGCCCAGAGTTTCGGACATCCATCAAAGTAAAGATGTGGAAAAGAAGGAGCAAGACCTGGGAGGAATGGCCAACTTTGGTTCAGCGTTTCTGGCAGGGGCAGTGGGTGGGGGCATCCAGGATCCAGCACTGGAGCCTTGGACCCAGGTGCAGCTCCTTTCAACTCACCATGGTCAACTCTCCATGGTCAACTCTCCACGGCCAACCCTCCATGGCCAACTTCCATGGTCAACTCTCCACGGCCAACCCTCCATGGCCAACTCTCCATGGCCAACTCTCCATGGCCAACTCTCCACGGCCAACTCTCCACAGCCAACTCTCCACGGCCAACCATCCATGCTCACTCAGACTTGTACTAGGGATTTGAACCGCCGACCTTGTCCCAAAAGAGAAATTAAAATGCTTCTTTTTTGGGGGGGTGGGATGGAAATACCCCAGAATATTCACATCCACATTTTTAATTTTTTTTTTTTATTTTCTTGTTCTTGTAGATACAAAATCTTGCCTGTTACGCGGTGTCCAATCTGTCGCTCCGGATGGCGTTTCCTGCCACTGGCTATCAAGGGAGGGAATTCCTCTGGGTGACTCGCATCCTTGCGGATAATGTAAGTGGCTTAGCTTCACTTATGCGCCAGTTCCCACGGCCCAGCAGTTCTCTTCTCAGATCAGCCACAACTCCGAAACCAAGGTTTCTCAGCCTTGCCGGCTTAAAGATCTCTGTGATATGACCAGAGGGGTGGGATTCAAAAATTTTAGCAACCGGTTCTCTGCCCAGTTGCTGGGTGGGCGTGGCCATGGTGGGCGTGGCCTAGTCAGCCTCCTGCACCACAGCGGGGGGGGGGGGGTTTGTTTCACCCTCCCTAAGCTCCAGAGGATTTTGTCAAGCCTCCGGGAGGGTGAAAACTGCCTCCCCCGGGCTCTGGAGGCCCTCCAAAGGCCGAAAACGGGCCCGTTTCTAGACTTTCAGAACTTCCGGGAGGCCTGTTTTTCACCCTCCCAGAGCCTCTGTGCAGGCCCTGCACTTACCTGGCATCCTAAACGGGCCACATGGAGACTCCTGTGAGGGGCGGGGTGGACGGGGCCAGCCAGTTCTTGGAACTACCGGTTCGGTGAACCAGATGTAAAATTAGCATCCGATTTGCCCAAACCGGCTGAATCCCACCATTGGTTATGACCCAGTTCGCCTAGGCAGAGGCAGGCTTCAATAGAGTCCTTTATTGCTCTGTTAATTTCCACAACAAACGGCCCTACAACGGCTGTAAGGCTCCAGCTCTAATTTCCCGGAAGGCAGCCACCTACAGTCCAACCAACAAAAACCAGTATAAAAGTAACAAAACCAATTTACGAAAGCAGAGAGAGAAAGTTGAAAGACAAGGTGCGAGCTCACGGGGTCAAGTTCCAGAGTCAAGGTCCATGGGGCAAGGCAGGTCCACAAGGCAAAAGGCAAGTCCACAATCAAAACGTAAGTCCACAAGGCAAAACGAAAATCCACACATGGTAGGTTTCTACTGGTTCACCCCAATTCGGGAAAACAAGTAGCGGTGGTGGCGGGAGGCTCCACCCACCCGCTCAGACATCATCAGAGACGCTCTGCGCTTGTGCAGAATGTTCTGTGCATGCACAGAAGCCCCATGCATGAGCAAAGCACGCACAAATGCACTCTCACAGTTCCGAACCTGTGGCAAAGATAAGTGAAACCCACTATTGGTCCACACTGGAAAAGGCAGGTCCACAAGGCAAAGGCACAGGCGGAAACAAGCGTCAAGGCGGGGGAGTGTATGCCAAAGCAAACAATTATTCACAACCCACACCAGGGTTAAATCAACCCACACCAGGTGTTCCTTATAAGGAGGGGCAGGCGACCTCCTCCCGAGCAGCCTCACAGACCTCCTTTGAGCTTGCCTCCGCTCTGCTCCCTGTGCCATCGGATCGAGTGGGGGAGGCAGCTGTTCCTCATTAGAGGGGATCGGCCGCCTATCAGCCCCACAGCCTGTCGGCAGCCGATCCTCCCCTGTGTCTGTGAGGTCAGGCAGCTCCCCATCTGGTTGACCACCTCCCCAAATGCCCGAGGGGCTTGGGACAGCATCGTCCTCAGCCCTTGACCTCTCCAAACATGCCAAGGTACATATGTCATCCCCGTCATACGGTCCTAGTTACAACTCCTCCTCTGAACTGGGATCTGATGGGACCATGACAGTCTGGATTTCAACTCCCAGAATTCCCTAGCTACGCTTTCTTTTTTTTTAGCCCTCAACTAAAGAAAAAGAAGCCAGAGTCCAATCTGGATGTTCACAATAGCCAGCATTTTTGAAATGATTCTTAACTAAAAACAGTTTCCAGAAAATTCTGTTGAAACATTACAAAAATAGCCCACGTTCTGGGGGGAAATTGCAATCCAAGCAGCAATTTGATGTTTCATTCTTTTAACTCTAAGGTGACCTGCAGCTTGCCAAATCGTACCGAGTTTGGATCGGCTAATAGTGTGATTCCACTGCACCCAGAAGAATTGGTACACACAGACAGAGTGGTAAGTCCAGGGGTGAAATGCTACCAGTTTGGAGCAATTTGCTCGAACCGGTACTGAAAATGCTAGTGGTTCACCAGAACCGGTAGTAAAAAAAATGCTTTAAAAAGTAAAAAAAAGTTCCCGCGATCGCGCAGCACAGCTGATCGTGTGAACTTATTTTTTTACTTTTTAAAGCATTTTTTACTACCTATTTCCCGAACCGTTTTTTGTGTGTAAAGTGTGATAGTTTGTTTTTGAGCTCTCCGTGACTCTGCGAGGTTCCCGCTAGTTACTGCATGGGCCATTTTGTGTGAAGTCCGGCTGCTTTTGCATTGTGTGTGACTCAGTTGTGTAGCTTTTGGGATATTTTTGTGTAAAGTGTGATCATTGGTTTTCCCGGTCACATGCCCACCAAGCCACGCCCACCCAGTCACATGACCAAGCCACGCCCACCAAGCCATGCCCACAGAACCGGTAGGGAAAATTTTTGAATTTCACCACTGGTTAAGTCCCCATGTTTGATTCAGATGCTGACCTAGAAACTGAGAGATTGTGAGTTGGATCGGCCCAAAACAAACCAAGATTGGGATTTAATTGGCAAGACTTAAACTCCAGCATGCCAGTAGTTGGGCACCCATAAGATCTTCTTACCAAACTTGGAATATTTCACACAGTTTTGGTCACCACAATACAGAAAAGAAAGAGTGCAGAGAAGAACAACATGTCAACTTGCAAAGCTTTCAAGTTGCCATGAGCAGGAGGGAGGGAGAACTGAAGTGCATTCCATACATTCTTCCTGACCGCAATCAGAAGGAGGGTGTTAGGTTTCACAGCCAGCCAAAGTGGGTAATTGGCGAATGTGATTTATGACATGGCCAGAGAGGAGGGGAGAGACAGGGTCATAGGGGAACGTAAATCTACGCAGGATCAGTCCTAACTGCATCCCAGTATTGCCAGAATGGTGCTCCTAATAAATGACTATATTTCCTTTGAAGTTTGGATCATGGCTCATGAATTAATTAGGGCATCTTTCAGAAACTTGACACAACGATGATGATTAGGTGGCTGGAGGCTAAAACATACGAAGAACGGGTTCACTGATCCTGTCAGTACCTGGGTGTGTTTAAAAAATTTAAGTAGGGCAGACTTAGTCAGTATGTGAATGGGAGACCCCTAGGAAATCCCAAGCTGGAGGCCTCATTGCAAAGTAAAAAAAACAAAAACCATCAATCAGAACAGAGCTGGAAGAGACCTTGGAGGTCTTCTAGTCCAGCCCCTCTACCATTCCAGACAAGTGGCTGTCCAGTCTCTTCTTAAAAACCACCAGTGATGGGGCACCCACTACTTCTGGAGGCAAACTGGTTAATTGTCCTCACTGTCAGGAAGCTTCTCCTGAATTCCAGGTTGCTTCTCTCCCTGATTAGTTTCCATCCATCGTTTCTTGTCCTGCCTTCTGGTGCTTTGGAAAATAAGTTGACCCCCTCCTCTTCTTTGGGGCAGCCCCTCAAATATTGGCATACTGCTATCATGTCACCCCCTGGTCCTTCTTTTCTCTAGACTAGCCATACCCATCTGTCAAATCCCAAAGAAGGCAGGATCCAATCACACTGCTGCCAAGGAAATGGGGCGAATCTCCCCGTGAAGAGACCCCCGAGTAGCATTCAAGCCAAATCAGGCTTCTCTGCCTTTTTTTCTGCTTTGGCATGTGGTGGGAATCCAGCCTTCGCGATACAAGCCTCTTAGGTGAAGAAAACCATCCCTAAACCAGAATCTGTTTGTTTTTTCTTTGGGCGAAGCATGTTCTATGAGCCCAGCAATCACCTTTTCTTCAAGGAGATTCGGGGTTAAAGCCAGGGGTGGGCTTCAAAAATTTTAGCAAGGGGTTCTCTGCCCAGTTGCTGGGTGGGCGTGGCCATGGTGGGCGTGGCCTAGTCGGCCTCCTGCAGCACGGCAGTGTGTGTGTGTGTGTTTTTGCCCTCCCCAGGCTCTGGAGGCTTTTCTCGAGCCTCTGGGAGGGCGAAAATGGCCTCCCCAGGCTCTGGAGGCCCTCTGGAGGCTGGAAATGGGCCCGTTTCTTCCTGAATTTCCAGTAGGTCCGTTTTTCGCCCTCCCCGAGCCTCTGTGTGTGCCCTGCACTTACCTGCATCCAAAATGGGCCGTGTGGGGACTCCTGGGAGGGACGGGGTGGGCAGGACCAGCCGGGAGTGGGATTTGGGGGTTCTCCGAACTGCACAGAATCTTAGCTAGAGGTTCTCCCGAACCCCCAGCAGCCCACCCCTGGTTAAAGCCCCAGTTCCTTTCCTCCCCTGCAGAATTGCACCAACGCCGGCTGCCAAGTCGTGACCTGCCAGCTGCAGCGTCTCGAGAGGAGCTCCGAAGTCACCATCCATTTGCTCAGAGCCGTCCGGAACGAGTTTTTCCGGAAGGTGAGTGCCGCCGCAGTGCCTCCTGCCTTGTGTGTGTTTATGTGTGTTTGTGAAGCAAGCGAGGCATTTTTCTCTTTGATCTCAACCATCCGTGGCCTTATTAGCACAGCCTGTGAAGCTACTGAAGCTTTGCAGGGTTGTGGTTTTCATAGGTTGGGCAAACTCTGCCACTGAGCTGTGTGCCCTGTCTTAGCTAGTTGCGGTTTATTCTTTCCAACTTTCCGGACTGGTGAGGGTGGGAGAAGGAATGGTTCTCAGCGCTGTCTTAAGGCATGGGCCCAATGGGTACTTTCCCGTGGAGCCCCACGAGCACACTAATCTGTGTATGTTGTTAACCCTTCAATGCACCTTGTATCATATAAATACAGCAACATATTTATTACATATTTATTTGTTGGAAGTGCCGATAAAATAAACATATGTTTAGTTTCATCAACCATTTTACATTTTTATTCCTGTGAGTAGTTGTCGTAGGGGCCCCAGTACACAGCTTTGCCCAGGGCCCATAATGCTGTTAAGAGAGTCCTGATGGTTCTGCATGAGTGGCTGGTAAGCACACACACGGACACATGCACACATGCAGCTCCATTTGCGCAAGCGGCAGGCATGCCCACCTGTGAGTGTGCTTCTGCAGCCCAGTTCCAAATGGCTGATGGGGATCCCTAGTTTATTCTGTAAACCACTGTAAGAAAGTTCAGGATATTGCATAAATGCACATCGTGAAAAGAAAGAAAGTGTTGTAACTTCGACTCCCGAGCCTGTCCTCATGGAGGAAGAGGACTCAGAAGGTGAGGGGAAGAAATGGACAAGGCCTCCCTCTCCAGGACCCTCCTCTCTGGCAATGCCTCAGGTTCCATCCGAAGGCCAGGAGGAACAGCCTGGGATGGGCCAGGAGGAAGGCATTTCGGAGCACCCATTGATAGAATGATAATGATGAATCCTGGCTTGATCCCAGGCAGCGTCGGAGGGAGAAGTGTGCGCAGCAAAGGAAGAGGCGTGGGAGGGCCATGGATTGAGCTGAGTCACTGAGCCACGCCCCACAAGGGATAAAAGGGGGCGTGATTGCTCAGCAGGCTTTGTGACGGACAAAAGTTTAAACTCTAAAGAGTCACATCGTGAATCCTGCACTTCGGCTCAGATATATTTTGGACTAAACTCTTGTGGATAATTTGTCGCTCTGGAAACGGACTGCAGAAAAGGCCTCTCCTGCTTTTTGGGGAGTACTAATTGGACTTGGCAGGCGTTTTACAGTTAGCTGCCAGAACTCTCGTCTGCCAGGAATTCTGGTCTGTTTATACAATAAATTATTGGCAGGCGTGTTTGATGCTGCATTTGTCTGTGTGAGGACGGGGGACAGAACCGAAATAGAGAGAAAATGAAATAGGTGTCCGTGGGGAGGTCTCCAAGGAGAGTCAATCACCAGGAGACGGTGAGTTCTAGTTCCACCTTAGACATAAAAGCCAGCTGGGTACTTTGGGCCAATCCCCAGGAGACGGTGAGTTCTAGTCCTGATCTACGCATTAAAACCAGCTGGGTGACTTTGAGCCAATCACTGTGAGACTATGAGTTCTAGTTCTGCCTCAGGCATGAAAATCAGCCAGCTGACTTTAGGCCAGCCGCTCTTTCTCAGCCCACCTCGCAAAGTTGATGTTGTGGGGAAAACAGGAGGAGGAAAAAGCATTAGGTATGTTCCCTCTCCCCTTGACCTATTTATAAAAACAATAAAGGCGGGTCTCCTTGGGGGGTCTCCTTGGGGGGGGTGGAGGGGGAAACAGTCTGCTACAAGGAGTGTTTCTTGGATTTTAGTTTAAGGATTTAATTAATTTAACTTTTGTATCCTTTGTGTTATGGCTTAATTCAGTGTTGGCGAAAACTTTTCGGCACTGAGTGCCAAAATGGAAGCGCCCAGAAACCAGAAGAGCTGCCGCCTGGCACGCAGGTGTGCGCTGAGCGGCTGCTCTTCCAGTTTCCAGCACACGCATGCACCTGGTCTTTCGGTTTCTGGCATGCGTGCGCTGGGAAGATGATCTTCCAGTTTCCAGCATGCGCATATGCACCGGCCAGCTGGTCTTTGCATGCGCATGCGTGCCAGAAACTGGAAGACCAGGTGGTGCATGCACGTGTGAAGACCAGCTGGGCAGTGCGTCGGAGCCAAAAAAGCAATGGGCAATAGCTTGCGTGCCCGGAGAGATGGCTCTGGGTGCCACTTCCGGCACGCGTGCCATAGGTTCGCTATCACGGGTCTAATTGCATTCCATAGTTTTGAATGCCATCGTTTTGAACTTAGGCACGCTCTCTTATTTTTTAATCACTTTTCTTGGATCAGACGGGATTGCGATCTGGGTGCTTGGCAATCCATGCACAGCTACAACCAGTTGCCAGGCATCCCACAATCCTGTGATTGTCTCTTGTGACCGACTTTTCTTCCTTCCTTCCTTCCTTCCTTCCTTCCTTCCTTCCTTCCTCCCTCCCTCCCTCCCTCCCTCCGTTCCGTCTTTCCTTCCCTCCTTCCTCCCTCCCTCCCTCCCTTCCCTCCTCCCTCCCTCCCTCCCTCCCTTCCGTCTTTCCTTCCCTCCTTCTTTCCTTCCCTCCCTCCCTCTCCCTTCTTTCCTTCCCTCCCTTCCTTCCTTCCTCCCTCCCTTCCTTCCTTCCTTCTTTTCCTTCCCTCCTTCCTTCCTTCTTTCTTTCCTTCCCTCCTTTCTCCCCCCCTCCCTCCCTCCCTCCCTCCCTTCCGTCTTTCCTTCCCTCCTTTCCCTCCCTCCCTCCCTCCTTCCTTCCTCCCTCCCTCCCTTCCTTCTTTTCCTTCCCTCCTTCCTTTCTTCTTTCTTTCCTTCCCTCCTTTCTCCCTCCCTCCCTCCCTCCCTTCTTTCCTTCCTCCCTCTCCCCTCCCTCCCTCCCTCCCTCCCTTCCTTCCTTCCTGTTAGAATGCAGCATTGCAGGTAACTCTGCCCACCGCCAGCAGCTCGATCCTGACTTTAGGATTTCAACAACATAGTTTGTTATTTATATTGGAAAGAGATGGCGTAGATATTCCAGGAAAGAACCGTGGTGGCACAGTAGTTAGAATGCAGTATTGCAGGCTGACTCTGCCCACAGTCAGGAGTTCGATCCTGACTGGCACAAGGTTGACTCAGCCTTCCGTCCTTCCGAGTAAAATGGGTAAAATGAGGGTAAAATGAGGACCCAGATTGTTGGGGGCAAGAGGCCGACTCTGTAAACCACTTAGAGAGGGCTGTAAAAGCACTGTGAAGCGGTATATAAGTGTTATTGCTATAAGGATGCGCCCTTAATTTTGTGGGACCCTCATCACACTTCATTTTGTGGATCTAGGCTAAATTCAAGACAGTGAAGATAATCAGTAGCATCACCCTGAATGTCCAAGAAGAAGACAACCTGTTTCTTCTACCAAAAGCTGCTCACCAGCGGCAGGTAAGAGACGGGACTGACACAGGGCCTGGTGTCCGGCGCTGTTGTGGTCTGCCAGCGGAGCCGGTGGCAGACTCAGACAGTGAGGAGGTTGGGGAGGAACATGGGCCAGTCCTGGAGTCTGGGGAAGGCTCTGATCAGGGCTCTGCGTCGGAGACAGAGAGGGGACCAGGGCCGTCTGACAGTTGTCAGCTGCCTTCGGAGTCGGACATCAGTGGGGTAAAAGAACAGCTGGAGCCTGTTCCCAATGTGCGCATGCAGAGTTGCCAGGAGAAGGGAACAGCTAAAGAACAAGGGTCGACTCAGGAGTAAAGCCACAGGTGGACGGTGAATAGCCCCTCCCAGAGGGAATAAAAGAGGAGCGAAAGGGGAGTGGAGTTTGCAGGAGACAATTAGGTCGCTTAATTGGTTCTCCAAGACGCCTTGCCAAGTTTTGAAGATATCGACCTGGCAGCTCTCCAAGCCAGATAAGGTCTGTGACTGTAAATTCTCCCTTGAAAGACTTTGCTGGATGTGAATGAGAGGAATTCACAGTAACTTAATAAAAAGGGGTTTTTGTCGGGACAAGGAGTCCGCTTCCTTCTCTTGGGAATGCCTAGGTCAGAACAGGCGCAAGCAGTCAGATCCACATGTGGAAAGTTCAAATTGACTCCTTTTCGTAGTCTTGCCTTCCCTTGGAAACAAACAGATGGGGTGTGTGGGTCAGGCTTATGTGTCTTGTGGCTGCACATGGACTCGAGGTGAGCTTCCCACTTGATCCCTTCCCCCTCGCCTGGCTGGGATTGTCCCAACACCCGGCTGATTGTGTAAGCTGTGTAGAGAGGGCTGTAATGCACCGTGGTCTATAAGTCTTAAGTGCTCCTAGTGCGAAGGTCTTCAGAATCACGGCCTCCTCAGGAGTTTGGTCTCCCTGCAGGTTGTCTTGGAGATTATCCAGTCCAAACTGGTCCCTCTTTCCCTCTGGATTCTGATTGGCAGCATCCTTGGCGGTCTTCTGCTGTTAACCGTGGTCATCCTCTTCTTATGGAAGGTAAGTATCTGATGGGATCCACACAGACAGGCATCTCTCGGGGATGCTTGGATTTGGGTTCCTGTACTGAGTGGACGTGGGTGTGTCTGGGGGTTGACTAGAGCAGCAGTCACCAACTGGTGGTCCGTGGAGCATTGCTGGTCCGTGAGAAAATTTTGGTGGTCTGCAGAAGAATTATTTGCATTTTTTATATTGCACTAAATCCGGGGTCCTCAAATTACGGCCCCTGGGACAGATACGTGCAATGAACGTTTGTGTTGCTGCGGAGAGTCTCCCCCTTCGGGGTCTTTTTGTGTGGGTCAAAGGGGGGCAGAAATTCCGACTTGGGGTCTGCTTCAGCCTCCTGGTGGGGGGCTTTGGGCAAAGGCTGGAGGGATGGAGAAGAGCCAGAGGGCCTCATTCCAGTGGGACTGCATCAGGGTCTGGAACTGGCTGACCATCTCAGCCGGCTGAGCCTCCAGGCGCCGGTACCTGGCCTTGCACTCCCGCAGGTCTTCCCACTGCTTGGAAAGCCTGTGCTCCTAGTCCTCAGTGAGGGGCTTCTGCTGAGCCTCCTTCTCGGCCAGATCCAATTTGAACTGAGCTGTTTTGCCAACTCTTTCTCGTGGTGGCTGCTTAGCTCCAACAACTGCTTCCTGTTGGGGGCCTAAGGAGCCCGGGAGGGCAGGCGAGGAGGGGCTGGGAGGGGAGGGGCGAGTAGAGGCTGGCAAGGTGTCCCTTGACGTGAGTGACATCAAGTTGGCCACACCCACTCAGTCACATGACCACCTAGCCACACCCACCCAGCCAGTCATTAGGCAGATCATATTAGTGGTCCGTGGGATTTAAAATTATGAATTTAGTGGTTCCTGAGGTCCGAAAGGTTGAGGACCCCTGGACTAGAGGATCTTAGGACACCCCTCAAATCTGTAATTGACTCTGTAAAGGTATAAATGATCCTATCTGCCTCCCAGCTAGGACAATGGTTGAAAATAAGGAGCAAATAACAGGAGGATTGAAAGCTATTAAGTACATCGGGATTTACTTTCGATTGAAATTTTATTGATTAAAATTACAGGTTGCTGTTTTATTTTAACAATCCTGAAATTAAATCCTATCGAATTCAGTTTTGAGCTCAGCCTCCAATGTTGGGAAACAGGTTGCCAATTTATGTCTCCCAGAGAAGCCCCTTTCCCCAAATGTGTTCTGCTGAAGTTGCAGTTTCTGCACTGAGATAAGGGGTCTGTTGTGAATACAGATTCACAACAGACTTACAACGGTTCATTTAGTGACCGTTTGTAATTTGCAACCTCACTGGAAAAAGGGGCAGGGCCATTTTTCACACTTATGACTGTTGCAGCATCCCCATGGTCACGTGATCGAAACTCAAAGACGCTTGGCAACTGGTTCATATTTATGACAGGGTCACTTTTTGTGACAAGCAAAGTCAATGGGGAAGCCAGATTCACTTAATTTAAGAACTGCAGTGATTCACTTAACAAACGCAAGACAAGAAAAGTTGTAAAATGGGTTAAAACTCACTTCACAGATTTCTCACTCAGCAATATAAATTCTGGGCTCAATTGTGGTCATAAGCCGAGGACTACCTGTACAGAAAAATTGCAGGATGCCAATTTCGCAAGGCTGCCCCCACTTGGATATGGACAGTGGGCAGGGGTGGGCTGCTGCGGGTTCGCAGGAGAACCTCTAGCTAAGATTCTGTGCAGTTCAGAGAACCCCCAAATCCCACTCCTGGCTGGCTCCGCCCACCCCACCCCACCCCTCCCAGGAGTCTCCACGCGGCCCGTTTTGGATGCAGATAAGTGCAGGGTGTGCGCGGAGGCTCAGTGAGGGCGAAAAACAGGCCTACTGGAAAACTGGCCCGTTTCTGGCCCCCAGAGGGCCTCCGGAGCCTGGGGAGGCCATTTTCACCCTCCCAGACTGGCCCCTCTTCCTCCCCAGCCTCCTCACTGTCCGAAGGCTGCTGGCAGACCACAACAAATACCACCACTGCTGTTAAGTGAATCACTGTAGTTATTATATTATTGACCCGGTTGTTAAGTGAATCTGGCATCCCCATTGACTTTGCTTCTCAGAAGTCACAAAACGTGATCAGCAAGACCTTTGCAACTGTCATAAACACAAGTCAATTGCCAAGCGTCTGGATTTTGATTGTGCGGCCATGGGGATGCTGCAACGGTCGTATGAAAATCGGTCATAAGTCACTTTTTTCAGTGCCGTTGTAACTTTGAATGGGTCACTAAATGAATTATTGTAAGTCAAGGACTTACCGGTGTTAATTGTGCACTTAATTCACCACAGGTCTTGAAAAATTAGAGTCTAAATTTGAGAGAATGTGGGAAAATGCCATTCCACACTCCTAGGTAAAGGGAAAGGTTCCCCTTGCATATGCGTGCTAGTCGTTCCCGACTCTAGGGGGGCGGTGCTCATCGTTTCAAAGCCGAAGAGCCAGCGCTGTCCGGAGACATCTCCGTGGTCATGTGGCCGGCATGACTCAACGCCAAAGGCCCACGGAATACTCTTACCTTCCCACCAAAGGTGGTCCCTATTTCTTCTACTTGCATTTTTTTTTTACGTGCTTTCGAACTGCTAGGTTGGCAGAAGCTGGGACGAGTCACGGGAGCTCACCCCATTATGCGGCACTAGGGATTTGAACCGCTGAACTGCCAACCTTTCGATCGACAAGCTCAGCGTCTTAGCCACTGAGCCACCGCGTCCCTCCACACTCCTACGAGTGGGGATAAAAACTTTTCTTAGCAAATAATTCACATTTTCCCACTTAGCTGCTAGAGCTGAAAAAGGAAACAAAGCTTAAAATTTGAGTTGCAGTTGAATTTTGAAAATTCAGAACCGAAAGAATTTAAACCTCCGATTCTCTGCAGTGTAATAACCTCTTTTTGTCTACTTCCTTCTTCATCCCAATCCCAGGTTGGATTTTTTATACACAAAAAGCCTGGGGAAGATGAAAAAGAAGAATAAAACAGAGTCGGTCGGACAAAGACTCTTCGCGCAAGGAGGAGCATCTGTGGGTTAAAACCCAGGAGGAGAGTTGTAATTTTTCTGTCCTAACCACCTTCGAACCAGAGACGTTCAGGCTGCTCCACAAGAATTGCCTCAAAATCTTACGGCAGCGTCTTCGAAATTCGGGAATAAGAAAGCACAACCTCCTCTCCCCTTCGGTGTATTTCGATAGACGCCCGTCTAAATATCGCCAGAACTGATACATTCAGGTGGTTTATTCAGGCAGATCAAAAATCACCTTTGCCTGCAAGATTTGCGGACGGAAGACGACAGATAATCAAGTGGGTGGATTTTTAAGCGGGTCACATATTTCCCCCCCCATGGAAATCTTTTATTCCAGATGCTTTTTCCCCCCCACCCCAAGAGGAAGATATTTTGGGGTTCAGTCTGGCATTTGCAATGCTGCCACATGGCACCGGAAGCTGCTGCTGGGATTGCCTGTTTGGGAATCTGGCTGAATTTGGACTTTTACTCCCAAGAGAAAAGCTGAGACGGCAGGTGGTTTTCGTCCTACAGAAGGAAGACTGAACAATTTTATAAATCGGGAAAGTCCTTTAAAAAAAAAAAAAAGCATTGTGTGGAAGAGGGTTAAGCTCTAGTCGCCCAAAGTTAGCAAAAAACATTGGTGGTAGTTGGGTCCCGGTCCCCCCTTTTGGCTAAATAATTGGCTCTCCAAATCCAGAACTCCTAAAAATTAACAAACACTTGGGAGATCACGTGAGATCACATCTAGGACAACAGAAATGGGAGCGAAGACAGACTTCCTCTCAAGTTGTAATCAAAACTGAATGAGGAGCCTTGTGGCTGGACTCCAACTCCCATCAACCTCAGCCAATGCAGAATAAGGGGAATTGCAACCTCCCAATTTCCTGCTCTGACCTAGGCTTCCCCAGCAGCACGAAGCCAAGTCCTCGTCCCGATAAACCCCTTTTTATTTAATTGACAGTGACTTCCTCTCCAGCAGTCTTTCCTCTCCCACAGTCTTTCAAGATAGTTCACAATTACCGACCTTTATCAGGCTTGGCGAGTGGCCAGGCCGATATCTTTCAGACGCCGCAATGCTTGGCAAGAATGCAGGAATGAACTGTCTCCTGCAAACTCCACTCCCCTTTTGCTCCTCTTTTATTCCCTCCGGGAGGGGCCATTCATCTTCCACCTGCAGCCTTACTCCCAAGTCGACCCTTGTTCTTTAGCTGTTCCCTTCATCTGGCAACTCTGCACATGCGCACACTGGAAACAGGCTCCAGCTATTCTTCTGCCTCACTGATGTCTGACTCCGAAGGCAGCTGAAAACTGTCAGACGGCCTTGGCCCCCTCTCTGCCTCCGACGCAGAGCCCTGATCAGAGCCTTCCCCAGACTCCAGGACTGGCCCATGTTCCTCCCCAACCTCCTCACTGCCCGAATCTGCTGCCAGCTCTGCTGGTGGGCCACAAGGCCCTCCAGTTCTCAACGGCAGCTTCTTCCTCCCCGGTGAAGTCTGCAGCCAAATGGAAAGACTTGGAAGGGGTAGCGGGCAGATCTCTCTGCCAGTTGCTCTACGTCTTTCTGAACTGGCACGTCCTGTAGAGAGAAACCTCCATGGGTAACCAAGACTTGGGGAGAGTTCTAGGGCAACGAAGAATTTTGCAACGTCCTCTGGGTCTTAAAGGCCCCTTTGGCCACAAGGAGCTCTTAATGGCGCTGGGCCTGGAGGCGGCCTTGCCTTCCAAGCGCCAATGCTGCCAGGTGGGCAACGCTACTGCTCTCTTGATTCTATTTCAAATGGCCTGACCCAGCCTCAATGAGCCTTGCCTGCGAAGTTGAGCCGTGCCAGCCTTGTCCTACACATCTCGGTTCAAACATCCTGCCAAAAATTTATCTTCACTGTCTCGTCGTTTCTTATTAAAGACTTTATTTGATAGCAAAAGGCACACTTTTTAAACAACTGTGAAGCTGGCAACGATGCTTCTTTCTTTCCTTGTCTTGTGTGTGGGGTTATTTTTGCTTTTTGTTTAATCCTTTTTCTTTTGGCAACCTTGACCTGGCTAACTCACCTTGCCTGCCTCACTTTCCTGCCCTTGGAAGGCGAGACACTGATTTTGGCTGATTTTTAAGGAGAGGGGTTTTTTTCTCCTCGATTGTGGGGGTGGGTAGGAAGGAAGTTCAGACATGATCGAGAGCAGTGGTGAAAATTTTTTTACTGCCGGTTCTGTGGGCGTGGCTTGGTGGGCGTGGTAGGGGAAGGATACTACAAAATCTCCATTCCCTCCCCACTCCAAGGGAAGGATACTGCAAAATCCTCATTCCCTCCCCACTCCTGGGGGAAGGATACTGTAAAATCTCCATTCCCTCCCCAGGGGAAGGATATTGCAAAATCCCCTTTCTCACCCCACTCCTGGGGGAAGGATATTGCAAAATCTCCATTCCCTCCCCACTCCAGGGGAAGGATACTGCAAAATCTCCATTCCCACCCCAGTCTGGGACCAGCCAGAGGTGGTATTTGCCGGTTCTCCGAACTGCTCAAAATTTCCACTACCGGTTCTCCAGAACCTGTCAGAACCTGCTGGATTTCACCCCTGATCAAGAGCCTCCAATAGTGAGATTAGGATTCCAATAAGGAGGTTCTGAAAGAAGTATTCTTTCAGGCACAATGGCTTCAAGGATTTTAAAAATAAAAATACTATTTTGAGGGAATTCAAAATTACCACCAGGCATCTCACCTTCTGAAGCTTCATATTCTCATCCAAAGAATTACTGTGGCTGCAGGAGGCTTGTTTTCGCATACGATGTCTGGGAAGAGAAATGAATAGAATCAATAAGAAAGAAAGAAAGTAAATAAAACCACATGCACAGATACAGAATAGGTGAAACTTGGCTCAATACCAGTAACTGTGAGAGGAATCTTGGAATCCAAAACGGCAATCACTTAAATATCAGCCAGCAGTGTGCGGCGGATGCCAAAAAATGGCCTTTATTAGCACAGCCTGTGAAGCTACTGAAGCTTTGCAGGGTTGTGGTTTTCATAGGTTGGGCAAACTCTGCCACTGAGCTGTGTGCCCTGTCTTAGCTAGTTGCGGTTTATTCTTTCCAACTTTCCGGACTGGTGAGGGTGGGAGAAGGAATGGTTCTCAGCGCTGTCTTAAGGCATGGGCCCAATGGGTACTTTCCCGTGGAGCCCCACGAGCACACTAATCTGTGTATGTTGTTAACCCTTCAATGCACCTTGTATCATATAAATACAGCAACATATTTATTACATATTTATTTGTTGGAAGTGCCGATAAAATAAACATATGTTTAGTTTCATCAACCATTTTACATTTTTATTCCTGTGAGTAGTTGTCGTAGGGGCCCCAGTACACAGCTTTGCCCAGGGCCCATAATGCTGTTAAGAGAGTCCTGATGGTTCTGCATGAGTGGCTGGTAAGCACACACACGGACACATGCACACATGCAGCTCCATTTGCGCAAGCGGCAGGCATGCCCACCTGTGAGTGTGCTTCTGCAGCCCAGTTCCAAATGGCTGATGGGGATCCCTAGTTTATTCTGTAAACCACTGTAAGAAAGTTCAGGATATTGCATAAATGCACATCGTGAAAAGAAAGAAAGTGTTGTAACTTCGACTCCCGAGCCTGTCCTCATGGAGGAAGAGGACTCAGAAGGTGAGGGGAAGAAATGGACAAGGCCTCCCTCTCCAGGACCCTCCTCTCTGGCAATGCCTCAGGTTCCATCCGAAGGCCAGGAGGAACAGCCTGGGATGGGCCAGGAGGAAGGCATTTCGGAGCACCCATTGATAGAATGATAATGATGAATCCTGGCTTGATCCCAGGCAGCGTCGGAGGGAGAAGTGTGCGCAGCAAAGGAAGAGGCGTGGGAGGGCCATGGATTGAGCTGAGTCACTGAGCCACGCCCCACAAGGGATAAAAGGGGGCGTGATTGCTCAGCAGGCTTTGTGACGGACAAAAGTTTAAACTCTAAAGAGTCACATCGTGAATCCTGCACTTCGGCTCAGATATATTTTGGACTAAACTCTTGTGGATAATTTGTCGCTCTGGAAACGGACTGCAGAAAAGGCCTCTCCTGCTTTTTGGGGAGTACTAATTGGACTTGGCAGGCGTTTTACAGTTAGCTGCCAGAACTCTCGTCTGCCAGGAATTCTGGTCTGTTTATACAATAAATTATTGGCAGGCGTGTTTGATGCTGCATTTGTCTGTGTGAGGACGGGGGACAGAACCGAAATAGAGAGAAAATGAAATAGGTGTCGTCGTGGGAGGTCTCCAAGGAGAGTCAATCACCAGGAGACGGTGAGTTCTAGTTCCACCTTAGACATAAAAGCCAGCTGGGTACTTTGGGCCAATCCCCAGGAGACGGTGAGTTCTAGTCCTGATCTACGCATTAAAACCAGCTGGGTGACTTTGAGCCAATCACTGTGAGACTATGAGTTCTAGTTCTGCCTCAGGCATGAAAATCAGCCAGCTGACTTTAGGCCCAGCCGCTCTTTCTCAGCCCACCTCGCAAAGTTGATGTTGTGGGGAAAACAGGAGGAGGAAAAAGCATTAGGTATGTTCCCTCTCCCCTTGACCTATTTATAAAAACAATAAAGGCGGGTCTCCTTGGGGGGTCTCCTTGGGGGGGGTGGAGGGGGAAACAGTCTGCTACAAGGAGTGTTTCTTGGATTTTAGTTTAAGGATTTAATTAATTTAACTTTTGTATCCTTTGTGTTATGGCTTAATTCAGTGTTGGCGAAAACTTTTCGGCACTGAGTGCCAAAATGGAAGCGCCCAGAAACCAGAAGAGCTGCCGCCTGGCACGCAGGTGTGCGCTGAGCGGCTGCTCTTCCAGTTTCCAGCACACGCATCACCTGCACCTGGTCTTTCGGTTTCTGGCATGCGTGCGCTGGGAAGATGATCTTCCAGTTTCCAGCATGCGCATATGCACCGGCCAGCTGGTCTTTGCATGCGCATGCGTGCCAGAAACTGGAAGACCAGGTGGTGCATGCACGTGTGAAGACCAGCTGGGCAGTGCGTCGGAGCCAAAAAAGCAATGGGCAATAGCTTGCGTGCCCGGAGAGATGGCTCTGGGTGCCACTTCCGGCACGCGTGCCATAGGTTCGCTATCACGGGTCTAATTGCATTCCATAGTTTTGAATGCCATCGTTTTGAACTTAGGCACGCTCTCTTATTTTTTAATCACTTTTCTTGGATCAGACGGGATTGCGATCTGGGTGCTTGGCAATCCATGCACAGCTACAACCAGTTGCCAGGCATCCCACAATCCTGTGATTGTCTCTTGTGACCGACTTTTCTTCCTTCCTTCCTTCCTTCCTTCCTTCCTTCCTTCCTTCCCCCTCCCTCCCTCCTCCCTCCCTCCGTTCCGTCTTTCCTTCCCTCCTTCCTCCCTCCCTCCCTCCCTTCCCTCCTCCCTCCCTCCCTCCCTCCCTTCCGTCTTTCCTTCCCTCCTTCTTTCCTTCCCTCCCTCCCTCTCCCTTCTTTCCTTCCCTCCCTTCCTTCCTTCCTCCCTCCCTTCCTTCCTTCCTCTTTTTCCTTCCCTCCTTCCTTCCTTCTTTCTTTCCTTCCCTCCTTTCTCCCCCCCTCCCTCCCTCCCTCCCTCCCCCTTCCGTCTTTCCTTCCCTCCTTTCCCTCCCTCCCTCCCTCCTTCCTTCCTCCCTCCCTCCCTTCCTTCTTTTCCTTCCCTCCTTCCTTTCTTCTTTCTTTCCTTCCCTCCTTTCTCCCTCCCTCCCTCCCTCCCTTCTTTCCTTCCTCCCTCTCCCCTCCCTCCCTCCCTCCCTCCCTTCCTTCCTTCCTGTTAGAATGCAGCATTGCAGGTAACTCTGCCCACCGCCAGCAGCTCGATCCTGACTTTAGGATTTCAACAACATAGTTTGTTATTTATATTGGAAAGAGATGGCGTAGATATTCCAGGAAAGAACCGTGGTGGCACAGTAGTTAGAATGCAGTATTGCAGGCTGACTCTGCCCACAGTCAGGAGTTCGATCCTGACTGGCACAAGGTTGACTCAGCCTTCCGTCCTTCCGAGTAAAATGGGTAAAATGAGGGTAAAATGAGGACCCAGATTGTTGGGGGCAAGAGGCCGACTCTGTAAACCACTTAGAGAGGGCTGTAAAAGCACTGTGAAGCGGTATATAAGTGTTATTGCTATAAGGATGCGCCCTTAATTTTGTGGGACCCTCATCACACTTCATTTTTTGTGGATCTAGGCTAAATTCAAGACAGTGAAGATAATCAGTAGCATCACCCTGAATGTCCAAGAAGAAGACAACCTGTTTCTTCTACCAAAAGCTGCTCACCAGCGGCAGGTAAGAGACGGGACTGACACAGGGCCTGGTGTCCGGCGCTGTTGTGGTCTGCCAGCGGAGCCGGTGGCAGACTCAGACAGTGAGGAGGTTGGGGAGGAACATGGGCCAGTCCTGGAGTCTGGGGAAGGCTCTGATCAGGGCTCTGCGTCGGAGACAGAGAGGGGACCAGGGCCGTCTGACAGTTGTCAGCTGCCTTCGGAGTCGGACATCAGTGGGGTAAAAGAACAGCTGGAGCCTGTTCCCAATGTGCGCATGCAGAGTTGCCAGGAGAAGGGAACAGCTAAAGAACAAGGGTCGACTCAGGAGTAAAGCCACAGGTGGACGGTGAATAGCCCCTCCCAGAGGGAATAAAAGAGGAGCGAAAGGGGAGTGGAGTTTGCAGGAGACAATTAGGTCGCTTAATTGGTTCTCCAAGACGCCTTGCCAAGTTTTGAAGATATCGACCTGGCAGCTCTCCAAGCCAGATAAGGTCTGTGACTGTAAATTCTCCCTTGAAAGACTTTGCTGGATGTGAATGAGAGGAATTCACAGTAACTTAATAAAAAGGGGTTTTTGTCGGGACAAGGAGTCCGCTTCCTTCTCTTGGGAATGCCTAGGTCAGAACAGGCGCAAGCAGTCAGATCCACATGTGGAAAGTTCAAATTGACTCCTTTTCGTAGTCTTGCCTTCCCTTGGAAACAAACACAGATGGGGTGTGTGGGTCAGGCTTATGTGTCTTGTGGCTGCACATGGACTCGAGGTGAGCTTCCCACTTGATCCCTTCCCCCTCGCCTGGCTGGGATTGTCCCAACACCCGGCTGATTGTGTAAGCTGTGTAGAGAGGGCTGTAATGCACCGTGGTCTATAAGTCTTAAGTGCTCCTAGTGCGAAGGTCTTCAGAATCACGGCCTCCTCAGGAGTTTGGTCTCCCTGCAGGTTGTCTTGGAGATTATCCAGTCCAAACTGGTCCCTCTTTCCCTCTGGATTCTGATTGGCAGCATCCTTGGCGGTCTTCTGCTGTTAACCGTGGTCATCCTCTTCTTATGGAAGGTAAGTATCTGATGGGATCCACACAGACAGGCATCTCTCGGGGATGCTTGGATTTGGGTTCCTGTACTGAGTGGACGTGGGTGTGTCTGGGGGTTGACTAGAGCAGCAGTCACCAACTGGTGGTCCGTGGAGCATTGCTGGTCCGTGAGAAAATTTTGGTGGTCTGCAGAAGAATTATTTGCATTTTTTATATTGCACTAAATCCGGGGTCCTCAAATTACGGCCCCTGGGACAGATACGTGCAATGAACGTTTGTGTTGCTGCGGAGAGTCTCCCCCTTCGGGGTCTTTTTGTGTGGGTCAAAGGGGGGCAGAAATTCCGACTTGGGGTCTGCTTCAGCCTCCTGGTGGGGGCTTTGGGCAAAGGCTGGAGGGATGGAGAAGAGCCAGAGGGCCTCATTCCAGTGGGACTGCATCAGGGTCTGGAACTGGCTGACCATCTCAGCCGGCTGAGCCTCCAGGCGCCGGTACCTGGCCTTGCACTCCCGCAGGTCTTCCCACTGCTTGGAAAGCCTGTGCTCCTAGTCCTCAGTGAGGGGCTTCTGCTGAGCCTCCTTCTCGGCCAGATCCAATTTGAACTGAGCTGTTTTGCCAACTCTTTCTCGTGGTGGCTGCTTAGCTCCAACAACTGCTTCCTGTTGGGGGCCTAAGGAGCCCGGGAGGGCAGGCGAGGAGGGGCTGGGAGGGGAGGGGCGAGTAGAGGCTGGCAAGGTGTCCCTTGACGTGAGTGACATCAAGTTGGCCACACCCACTCAGTCACATGACCACCTAGCCACACCCACCCAGCCAGTCATTAGGCAGATCATATTAGTGGTCCGTGGGATTTAAAATTATGAATTTAGTGGTTCCTGAGGTCCGAAAGGTTGAGGACCCCTGGACTAGAGGATCTTAGGACACCCCTCAAATCTGTAATTGACTCTGTAAAGGTATAAATGATCCTATCTGCCTCCCAGCTAGGACAATGGTTGAAAATAAGGAGCAAATAACAGGAGGATTGAAAGCTATTAAGTACATCGGGATTTACTTTCGATTGAAATTTTATTGATTAAAATTACAGGTTGCTGTTTTATTTTAACAATCCTGAAATTAAATCCTATCGAATTCAGTTTTGAGCTCAGCCCTCCAATGTTGGGAAACAGGTTGCCAATTTATGTCTCCCAGAGAAGCCCCTTTCCCCAAATGTGTTCTGCTGAAGTTGCAGTTTCTGCACTGAGATAAGGGGTCTGTTGTGAATACAGATTCACAACAGACTTACAACGGTTCATTTAGTGACCGTTTGTAATTTGCAACCTCACTGGAAAAAGGGGCAGGGCCATTTTTCACACTTATGACTGTTGCAGCATCCCCATGGTCACGTGATCGAAACTCAAAGACGCTTGGCAACTGGTTCATATTTATGACAGGGTCACTTTTTGTGACAAGCAAAGTCAATGGGGAAGCCAGATTCACTTAATTTAAGAACTGCAGTGATTCACTTAACAAACGCAAGACAAGAAAAGTTGTAAAATGTGGTTAAAACTCACTTCACAGATTTCTCACTCAGCAATATAAATTCTGGGCTCAATTGTGGTCATAAGCCGAGGACTACCTGTACAGAAAAATTGCAGGATGCCAATTTCGCAAGGCTGCCCCACTTGGATATGGACAGTGGGCAGGGGTGGGCTGCTGCGGGTTCGCAGGAGAACCTCTAGCTAAGATTCTGTGCAGTTCAGAGAACCCCCAAATCCCACTCCTGGCTGGCTCCGCCCACCCCACCCCACCCCTCCCAGGAGTCTCCACGCGGCCCGTTTTGGATGCAGATAAGTGCAGGGTGTGCGCGGAGGCTCAGTGAGGGCGAAAAACAGGCCTACTGGAAAACTGGCCCGTTTCTGGCCCCCAGAGGGCCTCCGGAGCCTGGGGAGGCCATTTTCACCCTCCCAGACTGGCCCCTCTTCCTCCCCAGCCTCCTCACTGTCCGAAGGCTGCTGGCAGACCACAACAAATACCACCACTGCTGTTAAGTGAATCACTGTAGTTATTATATTATTGACCCGGTTGTTAAGTGAATCTGGCATCCCCATTGACTTTGCTTCTCAGAAGTCACAAAACGTGATCAGCAAGACCTTTGCAACTGTCATAAACACAAGTCAATTGCCAAGCGTCTGGATTTTGATTGTGCGGCCATGGGGATGCTGCAACGGTCGTATGAAAATCGGTCATAAGTCACTTTTTTCAGTGCCGTTGTAACTTTGAATGGGTCACTAAATGAATTATTGTAAGTCAAGGACTTACCGGTGTTAATTGTGCACTTAATTCACCACAGGTCTTGAAAAATTAGAGTCTAAATTTGAGAGAATGTGGGAAAATGCCATTCCACACTCCTAGGTAAAGGGAAAGGTTCCCCTTGCATATGCGTGCTAGTCGTTCCCGACTCTAGGGGGGTGGCTCATCGTTTCAAAGCCGAAGAGCCAGCGCTGTCCGGAGACATCTCCGTGGTCATGTGGCCGGCATGACTCAACGCCAAAGGCCCACGGAATACTCTTACCTTCCCACCAAAGGTGGTCCCTATTTCTTCTACTTGCATTTTTTTTTTACGTGCTTTCGAACTGCTAGGTTGGCAGAAGCTGGGACGAGTCACGGGAGCTCACCCCATTATGCGGCACTAGGGATTTGAACCGCTGAACTGCCAACCTTTCGATCGACAAGCTCAGCGTCTTAGCCACTGAGCCACCGCGTCCCTCCACACTCCTACGAGTGGGGATAAAAACTTTTCTTAGCAAATAATTCACATTTTCCCACTTAGCTGCTAGAGCTGAAAAAGGAAACAAAGCTTAAAATTTGAGTTGCAGTTGAATTTTGAAAATTCAGAACCGAAAGAATTTAAACCTCCGATTCTCTGCAGTGTAATAACCTCTTTTTGTCTACTTCCTTCTTCATCCCAATCCCAGGTTGGATTTTTTATACACAAAAAGCCTGGGGAAGATGAAAAAGAAGAATAAAACAGAGTCGGTCGGACAAAGACTCTTCGCGCAAGGAGGAGCATCTGTGGGTTAAAACCCAGGAGGAGAGTTGTAATTTTTCTGTCCTAACCACCTTCGAACCAGAGACGTTCAGGCTGCTCCACAAGAATTGCCTCAAAATCTTACGGCAGCGTCTTCGAAATTCGGGAATAAGAAAGCACAACCTCCTCTCCCCTTCGGTGTATTTCGATAGACGCCCGTCTAAATATCGCCAGAACTGATACATTCAGGTGGTTTATTCAGGCAGATCAAAAATCACCTTTGCCTGCAAGATTTGCGGACGGAAGACGACAGATAATCAAGTGGGTGGATTTTTAAGCGGGTCACATATATCCCCCCATGGAAATCTTTTATTCCAGATGCTTTTTCCCCCCCACCCCAAGAGGAAGATATTTTGGGGTTCAGTCTGGCATTTGCAATGCTGCCACATGGCACCGGAAGCTGCTGCTGGGATTGCCTGTTTGGGAATCTGGCTGAATTTGGACTTTTACTCCCAAGAGAAAAGCTGAGACGGCAGGTGGTTTTCGTCCTACAGAAGGAAGACTGAACAATTTTATAAATCGGGAAAGTCCTTTAAAAAAAAAAAAAAAGCATTGTGTGGAAGAGGGTTAAGCTCTAGTCGCCCAAAGTTAGCAAAAAACATTGGTGGTAGTTGGGTCCCGGTCCCCCCTTTTGGCTAAATAATTGGCTCTCCAAATCCAGAACTCCTAAAAATTAACAAACACTTGGGAGATCACGTGAGATCACATCTAGGACAACAGAAATGGGAGCGAAGACAGACTTCCTCTCAAGTTGTAATCAAAACTGAATGAGGAGCCTTGTGGCTGGACTCCAACTCCCATCAACCTCAGCCAATGCAGAATAAGGGGAATTGCAACCTCCCAATTTCCTGCTCTGACCTAGGCTTCCCCAGCAGCACGAAGCCAAGTCCTCGTCCCGATAAACCCCTTTTTATTTAATTGACAGTGACTTCCTCTCCAGCAGTCTTTCCTCTCCCACAGTCTTTCAAGATAGTTCACAATTACCGACCTTTATCAGGCTTGGCGAGTGGCCAGGCCGATATCTTTCAGACGCCGCAATGCTTGGCAAGAATGCAGGAATGAACTGTCTCCTGCAAACTCCACTCCCCTTTTGCTCCTCTTTTATTCCCTCCGGGAGGGGCCATTCATCTTCCACCTGCAGCCTTACTCCCAAGTCGACCCTTGTTCTTTAGCTGTTCCCTTCATCTGGCAACTCTGCACATGCGCACACTGGAAACAGGCTCCAGCTATTCTTCTGCCTCACTGATGTCTGACTCCGAAGGCAGCTGAAAACTGTCAGACGGCCTTGGCCCCCTCTCTGCCTCCGACGCAGAGCCCTGATCAGAGCCTTCCCCAGACTCCAGGACTGGCCCATGTTCCTCCCCAACCTCCTCACTGCCCGAATCTGCTGCCAGCTCTGCTGGTGGGCCACAAGGCCCTCCAGTTCTCAACGGCAGCTTCTTCCTCCCCGGTGAAGTCTGCAGCCAAATGGAAAGACTTGGAAGGGGTAGCGGGCAGATCTCTCTGCCAGTTGCTCTACGTCTTTCTGAACTGGCACGTCCTGTAGAGAGAAACCTCCATGGGTAACCAAGACTTGGGGAGAGTTCTAGGGCAACGAAGAATTTTGCAACGTCCTCTGGGTCTTAAAGGCCCCTTTGGCCACAAGGAGCTCTTAATGGCGCTGGGCCTGGAGGCGGCCTTGCCTTCCAAGCGCCAATGCTGCCAGGTGGGCAACGCTACTGCTCTCTTGATTCTATTTCAAATGGCCTGACCCAGCCTCAATGAGCCTTGCCTGCGAAGTTGAGCCGTGCCAGCCTTGTCCTACACATCTCGGTTCAAACATCCTGCCAAAAATTTATCTTCACTGTCTCGTCGTTTCTTATTAAAGACTTTATTTGATAGCAAAAGGCACACTTTTTAAACAACTGTGAAGCTGGCAACGATGCTTCTTTCTTTCCTTGTCTTGTGTGTGGGGTTATTTTTGCTTTTTGTTTAATCCTTTTTCTTTTGGCAACCTTGACCTGGCTAACTCACCTTGCCTGCCTCACTTTCCTGCCTTGGAAGGCGAGACACTGATTTTGGCTGATTTTTAAGGAGAGGGGTTTTTTTCTCCTCGATTGTGGGGTGTGGGTAGGAAGGAAGTTCAGACATGATCGAGAGCAGTGGTGAAAATTTTTTTACTGCCGGTTCTGTGGGCGTGGCTTGGTGGGCGTGGTAGGGGAAGGATACTACAAAATCTCCATTCCCTCCCCACTCCAAGGGAAGGATACTGCAAAATCCTCATTCCCTCCCCACTCCTGGGGAAGGATACTGTAAAATCTCCATTCCCTCCCCAGGGGAAGGATATTGCAAAATCCCCTTTCTCACCCCCACTCCTGGGGGAAGGATATTGCAAAATCTCCATTCCCTCCCCACTCCAGGGGAAGGATACTGCAAAATCTCCATTCCCACCCCAGTCTGGGACCAGCCAGAGGTGGTATTTGCCGGTTCTCCGAACTGCTCAAAATTTCCACTACCGGTTCTCCAGAACCTGTCAGAACCTGCTGGATTTCACCCCTGATCAAGAGGTTCAAAAGCAGAGGAGAAAACAACGGCGGCGTACGAAAGTTGAAGAGCGGGGGGGGGGGTGTGCGGGGGGGGGGGGGAGAGAGAGAAAAAAAGAGACAAGTCGTGTTCTTCTTGATATTTTAAGTAATGGTATTCGCGTTTTCGATATGGAGGAATACCTGACAAAAATCATTTCTGCCGTGAAAGACAAATGGAGTCCGTTTGACAGCAAGGAATTCGAACTGGACCGGTGGATATTTCAGTTCGAGCAAAGGAATCCAGCCACAGCAACACCTTCCTCGCTCGGAGAAGCGTGGCCCGTTTGCTTCCACGGAAACCTGGAGTGAGGGGAGGGCGGGGGGAGGGGGCTTCCCTTCTCCTTTCCCCCCCACTTCTGAACCCAAGACACCCATCGGCCAAACACAGAGGGAGCCCCCACCAGCCCCTGCCAACCATGCCACGTTTTAAAGCCCAAAAGGCTCTCTTGAGCTTTTGTGTTCCCTTGTCCACGTCCAGAAAAGGACGTTAAGGTGGACAGCCAGCAATCAGTACAGATATCAGAGGGGGGGAAAAAAGTCCACAAGCTTTAATAGACGCCACTCCCACCCTGCAAGCACTAACGTGGCCTCTCCGGACCTGAAGCTTCAAGAGGTGTTTCCTCGGTGGCCGTTTTTCAGAAGAGGGGGGGTGGCCAGGCTTCGATGGGGGGGGGGGGGGGGGGAAAGGCCGCTTGGGCCCGCTTTCTCTCTTCTCGCTACTCGCTTTGTGTGGTTGAGTTATCGTACAATTTACATCTGTAGCCAAGAAGGCGACGGGCTCCTCGCTTTGCCCTTCGCTCGCTCTCTCTCCCCCAGCGGCCCTGGGGGATGGAGGAGGCCTTCAGAAAGTCCATCGGTCATGCAGGTGGCTCGGGCTGCTAAAGGAGTTGCTGGTGGAGGCCTCCGTGTTCGCGGCTCGCTGAGCGGAGTCTTCCCCGTTCAGGCTCTTCCGGCACACGGGACACGTGTCGTGCTGGCGAAAGGAGAAGGAAAAACAAGCACGCGGGTGAGCGACTGGGACCGAAAACCAAATTCCCCCCCTGGGAGGAAGGATGTTCTCTTCTGGTGGCTTCTTAGTGGTTCAGATACAGAGCCGCAGTGGCACAGTGGTTAGAGTGCGGTACTGCAGGCTAACTTCTGCTGACTGCCGGCTGCCTGCAGTTCAGCAGTTCAAATCTCACCAGGCTCAAAGTTGACTCAGCCTTCCGTCCTTCTGAGGTGGGTAAAATGAGGATCCAGATTGTTGGGGGGCAAGAGGCTGACTTTGTAAACTGCTTAGAGAGGGCTGAAAAAGCACTGTGAAGTGGTATATAAGTCTAAGTGCTATTTCCTTCCTTCCTTGCTTCCTCCCTCCCTCCCTCCTTTCCTCCCTCCTAAAGGTTGACTCAGTCTTCCATCCTTCCGAGGTGGGTAAAATGAGGACCCAGATTGTTGGGGGTAATAGGCTGACTCTGTAAACCACTTAAAAGAGGGCTGTAGAAGCATTGTGAAGCGGTATATAAGCTCCCTTCCTTCCTTCCTTTTAGAATGCAATATTGCAGGCTAACTCTGCCCACTGCCAGCAGTTCAATCCTGACTGGTTCAAAGTCGACTCAACCTTCCCGTCCTTCCGCGGTGGGTAAAATGATGACCCAGATTGTTGAGGGGCAAATATGCTGACTCTGTAAACCGCTTAAAGAGGGCTGTAAAAGCACTGTGAAGCGGTATATGTCTTAAGTGTTATTTTTATTTGCTGTGGTGGTGCCTCACATTTCCTGCCCCAGAGCCAGGGATAACGCCTCCCCCCACCCCCCCAACATCCCATCTGCCCGTGCAGAGACTCACCAGTTCCAGCCATGGCACAATGCAGCTGCTATGGAAATAGTGATTGCACGGAAGTTGCCGGACCTGCTCCGCCACGGTGTAGTCTTCTTTGCACACGGGACACTCCAAACCCGTATCTGTGGGAAGGTGGTGGTGGGGGGGGAAAGGTTAGTGCCAGCGGCCAGAGGGAGGGGGTTTCAAAAGCAAAAAGAGATCAACGGAAAACGGAAACGTTTCAGGGGGACCGAGGCATTTAAGCAGAGCAAGGATGGCGCCAGAAGGATGCCGGCTGCTAAAGAGACGAAAGCAAAAGTTTATTTATTTATTTTATTTATTAATTCAATTTGTATGCCGCCCCTCTCCAAAGACTCAGGGCGGCAGTTGGTGAGAAGCAGAGGGAACAATGTGGCTTTGGAGTTGTAACTCCCAGGAAAAGCAAAGAGACAGAAAAGCATCCCAAAAGGAAAAAAAAAAAAAAAAAGATACGGAAAGGAAAAGGATGAAGAGGTTCAGGAGGCGATGAGAGCAAAGGAGCTTGGGCTGTCACACACGAGTGATAAAATTTAGCAATCGGCAATTGGGGTGTTTTTTCCTCAAAGAGACCTAAGCTCCGACTTCCTTTGAAATGCAGCCTTAGAGTTGCCCTTAGGAGCCTGGATAGCTCAGCAGACTAATGCATTGGAATTAACATCCAGCTGTCTGCAATTACTGCAAGTTCGAATCTCTCCAAGGCTCAAGGTTGACTCAGCCTTCCATCCTTTCTAAGGTAGGTGAAATGAGGACCCAGTTTGTGGGGGCAATAAACTGACTTTGTATAAATATATACAAAAATATGAAGGCTATTGCTTAACGCATTGTAAGCCGCCCTGAGTCTCCGGAGAAGGGCGGCATATAAATCAAATTTTAAAAAAAAGAAGAAGAAGAAGAAGAAGAGGAGCCTGTAGTACAGTGGACTAAAGCACTGTTATTAACATCTGCTGCTTGCAATTACTGCAGGGTTCGAATCTCGCCAGGCTCAAGGTTGACTCAGCCTTCCATCCTTTCTAAGGTAGGTGAAATGAGGACCCAGTTTGTGGGGGCAATAAGCTGACTTTGTATAAATATACAAAAGGATGAAGGCTATTGCTTACACGCATTGTAAGCCGCCCTGAGTCTCCGGAGAAGGGCGGCATATAAATCAAATTAAAAAAAAAAAAAAAAAAAGATCATGGGTATCAAACTCAAGGCCCTGGAGGCAGATCTGGCCCGTGGGGTGCTTTGATCTGGCCTGTGGGGCCGCCCTGAAAACATCGAAGGACCAGCCTGCAGTGCCTCTGCCAGCAATAATGGAGCTCGCAAAGGCTGTTTTCGGCCCTCCCAAGCTCTGTTTTCGCTGGCAGAGGGTTGCAGGAGGCCGTCGCAGCCAAAAATGGAGCTCGGGAGCCCGTTTTTGCTGGCAGAGCGCTCGGGCTGCCACAGGCACCGCCAACATAATTGACATCGAACTGGCTGTGCTCATCCTGCCCCCCCCCCAAAGCTCAAACACAACCCTGATGCAGCTCTCAATGAAATTGAGTTTGACACCCCTGCTTAAGACCCCTCCCAGAAAATGACTGGTGTGTTCTATCGCATGCTGGTGGGATGAAAAAGAAAAGAAAGAGAGAGAAAAGAAAAGTGGGGAGGGGAGGAGAGGAGAGGAGAGGGAAGAAGGACAGGAAAGGAAGGGAAGGAAAAGGAAAGGGGAGAGGAGAAGAGAGGAAAGGAGAGAGGAGAGGAGAGGAAAGGAAAGCAGAGGAGAGGAGAGGAGAGGGGAGAGGAAAGGAAAGAGGAGAGGAGAGAAAAGGAAAGGAGAAGGGAAAGGAAAGGAAAGAAAGGAGAGAAGAGGAGAGAGGAGAGGAAAGGAAAGAGGAGAGGAAAGAGGAAAGAAGACTAATGCAGACTAATGCTACTGTTAAAAGATAGTATTTAGCTTCCAGCTGCCTGCAATTACTGCAGGTTTGAATCTCGCCAGGCTCAAGGTTGACTCAGCCTTCCATCCTTTCTAAGGTAGGTGAAATGAGGACCCAGTTTGTGGGGGCAATAAGCTGACTTTGTATAAAATATACAAAAGGATGAAGGCTCTTGCTTAACGCATTGTAAGCCGCCCTGAGTCTCCGGAGAAGGGCGGCATATAAATCAAAAAAATTAAAAAAAAAGGAAAGGAAAGGCTTGTCAAACTGGCTCTGGAGAAGCCCAAAAAATTGACAAAAACCGGAACTTACCCACTTGTTCCTGAGTGACGGTCACTGTCGGGAGGGAAGAAATTTTCTCCTTCTCCGCTGGGGGAGGCCCTGTATTTTCCAAGTGTCCCATAAGCTGCAAGAGAGGAGGTGGTGGTTACCCAAGAGGAGAGGCCTTAAGGCTGGGGTGCTGACCGTTGCAAAGTAGGTGGGAGGCACCTTTCTCTGCACCCGAAGAGGACAGGTCGGAGGGCCCCTCCCAGCACACACCTGCATGAGAATCACTTGCCGAAAGCTTTTAAAAAAATGCACGTTCCTTCAGAAGGCAGGAAGTCTACGGAGATTCTCAAGCCCTCCAGGTCATGGTTGTCCCAAAGGTTGAGGCCACTTGGAGGTTTATCTGTGACCTCAGGGCCACTTGAGTAGTGCAAATGGAGTGTGGAAGGACCCATTTACCTGAGGACAAAGATAAACCTCCAAGTGGCCTCAACGGCTCTCTCAAAGGATGCAAACGACCAGCTGTCTGCAAGGAGTATCAATCCTTCCATTCTCCACCATCCAGTCAGAGCTGAAGAAGCTCCTTGGATGAGAAGTGAAATGTCTTCAAAGATAAACAAGGAAGTCCAGTTGCCTCTTGAAAAAAAGCACCTTTGGTCCAGAAGGCAGAAGCTTCCAGATCTTTGGGTCTCAACAGTCAGTAGGACTCTACGGCAGCACTGCACTCAAAATCCTAAGAGGGCCTATGCCCGTGATGGCGAACTTATGGCACGGGTGCAATAGGTGGCACACGTAGCCATATCGGAGGGCACGCGAGCTCAGCTCTGGCACGCCAGCTAATTTTCGGGTCTTCTGGGCCCATTGGAAGTAGGGAAACAGGCTGTTTCCTGCCTCCGGAAGGCCTGGGGAGGTGGTGGGGAAGGACCATTTTTCTCTCTCCCCCCAGCCTGCAGAGCCTTTCTAGGAGCTTGGGGAGGGCGAAAACGGCCTTCCCCACCCCACGGAGGCAGGGAATGGCCCGTTTGCCAACTTCCGGTGGGACCGGAAGGCCCGTTTTTTGCTCTTCCCCAGCCTCTAGAGTCTTTCTAGGAGCCTGGTGGGACCGGAAGTTGGCAAACAGGACATTTCCTGCCTCCAGAGGGCGGATTGGGGATGGCTGTTTTTGCCCTCCCCAGCTCCTAGAAAGGCTCTGGAGCTTGGGGAGAAAGAAAAATGGGCCATCGCGTGCCAGGAGTGGGGAGGGGAGGGGGGTCACGCGCACATGTGCAGGGGTGGGGCGCAAACGCGCCCTCCCCCCCCCACTCCTGGCATGCGATGGCAAAAAGGTTCGCCATCACAGGCCTAGGCAGCTCTTCCAGGACGTTAACCAGACAAAGACTCTCGGAGTAGTTCTGGCTGAACCAACGTCCCCTCCCTGTTATTCCCAGCAGATCAAAACTGTACAGGTGGTCCTCGATTTACCACAGTCCACTCAGTGAACGTTCAAAAGTTACAATGGCACCGAAAAATGTGACTGATGACCATTTTTCACACTTATGACCCACTGCAGGGTCACCTGATTAACATTCGGAGGCTTGACAACCGACTCACATTTGTGATGGTCGCAGTGTCCCCCCCCCGGGGGGGGGGTAGTCATGTGATCCCCTTTTATGACCTTCTGACAAGCAAAGTTAGTGGGGGTGGGGAGGCCAGATTCACTTAACAACTGTGTGACTAATTTAAGGACCGCAGTGATTGGCTTAAATTTGGCAAGAAAAGTCCAAAAAAAACCAAAAACAATAACAGGACAAAATTCACTTAACGAATTTCTCACTTAGACAAATATGGGCTCAATTGTGGTCGTTAAGTCGAGGACTACCTGTATTTCAGAGGAATTTGACTGGCGGCCATCTTTTTAAGACCTGATCTTAAAAAGCCTGCGACGACACAGATCGCCTTCAAGGACGACGTTAAACCAGAATGGTTTCAGTTAGTTGAATAATCAGAGTGGCTCAATTGTCACACAATGATACCAAGCCCAAGTAGGTGGATCTGTATATCATGCCAAATTAGAAATCAACACTGTGTGCCAGCGTCAAGTGTCGATCGGGCCACTTGTTTCAGTATCTGCATTCACACAACCTACTTATCCGGCTCATGAACTAGTCCACAACGTGTATAGCTTTGTTAGCGTCACCTTAACTACCCTGTTTCCCCGAAAATAAGACCTCCCCGGATAATAAGCCCAATCAGGCTTTTGAGCGCATGTGCTAAAATAAGCCCCCCGCCGAAAATAAGCCCTCCTCGAAAATATCTAAACGCACGCACAGCCAGTCCCCGCCATTTCCTCTGGTTAGGGTTAGGGAGACAGAGCTGGAAATCAGGTAAGACGGCAAGAGAAGCCCCGTCTTGCTCCACCGCCCCCAAAATAGTAAGATCTTCCCGAAAATAAGGCCAAGTGCTTATTTCGGGGTTCAAAAAAATAGAAAACAGGGTCTTATTTTCTGTGAAACACAGGTGTGTTTTATTTTGTGTCTGTATGTGCGCGCATGTTTGTATACCCATGGCTTAGCACAGTGATGGGTAACCTTTTTGCCATCGTGTGCCAGGAGGGAGGGGCGTGGGAGGTTGCATGCGTGCTTGCCCACACCCATAATTTCCCCGCGGCTCCCCGTTACTGGCACGCGATGCCCTGGTAGATCCGTTTTACTCCCTCACCTGCCTCCAGAGCCTTTCTTGGAGCCTGGGGAGGGCGAAAACAGCCTCCCCTCCCCCCACCCGGAAGCCCTCCGCAGGCCAGAAACAGTCCATTTGCTAACTTCTGGTGGGACCGGAAGGCCCGTTTTTTGCTGTCCCCAGCCTCCAGAGCCGCTCTAGGAGTCTGGGGAGGGTGAAAACGGCCTCCCCCATTCCCCCGGAGGTGAAAAACGGCCCGTTTGCCAACTTCAGGACCGGAAGTTGGTGCCGGAAGCTGTTTTTGGCCTGGAAACTGGCCTGTTTTTTGGCCATTTTCCAGGCTGTTTTTCGGCTGTTTTTTCGGCACTTTTTGGCCTGAAAAATGGCCTGGAAAACGGTCTGGGTTTTTTTGGCCGTTTTCTGGGCTGTTTTCAGGCTGTTTTCCGGCGAGCAGCTAGTGACGGCACGCATGCCCACAGACAGGGCTCTGCCATAGGTTCGCCATCACGGATCTAGCCTGTGTGCTAGTCGGTGTTAGTCTGCTTTCGGTGCTGAGCTCCAAATGACGCAGGTTCCCTTTTGCAATGGCCAGCGAGAGAGACGGGCCGGCTGAGGGGATGTGGACAAACAAAAGGGAGACCGTGTGGCAAGGGAAGAGAAGGCCCAGCACTGCCCCAGGTGCCAGGACAGGTGCCCCACAGGTGTCCCTGCCGGAGGAGAAGGGCAGCCTCGCCCGGGGCCCGCTGGCCGGTGCCTTTACCTGGGTCAAGACAGCATCGAGGCCGTTCTGGTCCCACGCGTAGTCCCCAAAGCTAGAGTGCAGCCTGCCCTGCATGCCTCCCCTGGAGGGAGTGAAAGAAAAGGGAGCTCAACGGAGGGTCCTGGGGGAAAGAGCTGCTTTCCCTCCCTCAGCTTACAAGCCCCATATGGTGGACAAGGAACTTCCAGCCACCCCCTCCCCCGGCAAGCCGTCATTTTCTGCAACTCCTAGTCAGGAAAACGACACTGGGAGAAGAAGTTCCGGGTCCGAGGAGGAACTGCAATGGTCAGCACAATTCTCCAAGGATAACTAGGATGCAGGAGTTGTGGAAATAGGGGAGGTTGGCCAGGCCTGGAGCAGGACCAAAGACCCGGAGACGAAGAGGAAGGGGAATCGTCTGGCTGAAATTCAAGCCATCTTCCCTCAAACAAGCTTCCAGACCTCCGTTCTGGGTCTACGACTATGCGCCATGGCCAACTCGCCGCAGCCAACTCGTCAAAGGACAAGTCACTGCAGGACAAGAGTCATGCCAATATCTAAAAAATAGTGAGCAGAATCATGAAAGAAAGGATGCCGAAGGAGGGACAAAATGAAATCATCATCATTTAACAACCCCATAATCCCTTGAGGGGTGGAGTCTGGGCAACTGAATGGAGCTAGCTGAGTGTTTACTGGCCGAATGCCCTTCCTGTTGCCAGCGCGGAGTTTTGTTCAGCAGGTATATTCTCATCATGCCCAGAGAGAGAGAAATATCTGCCTCTACCTAGGATCGAACCCACAGCCTCCTGATTGTGAGGCGAGAGCTCTACCTCTAGGCCACCGCAGCACTCCAGGGACAAAGTGAAATGCAAATGACAAAAATTAAAATATTTTTTTAAAAAAATATTGTTAAATAATTGAATTGTTGAATTGTCTCGCAAAGTTATTCCTGTGGTGAGTTGGCTGTGGAATTGGCTGTGGCGAGTTGGCCGATTCTGCAAAGCCACTCCTGGAACGGGACCGAAGACCCAGAGACGAAGAGGTGGGGGAAATTACCTGCCTGAGATTCAAAGCATCTTCCCTCTTGAAGCTTCCAGTCCTCCCTTCCTAGGGTCGGAGCCGAGAAGCGGCTTGAACAGGTCCCCCCGATTAGAGTCCCAGAGCAACCTCAACTTCACATATTCACCCCACGCCTAAATCTAAGCGCTGAAGGGCACACAATTGTCGCCAGGAGTTAGATGTCACTCACCAGGAGAAAGACGGAGGCGGCGATCCAGGAACTGCTGAATTTGCAAAGAAGCCAGCGAAGATCTGCTGAATTATTCTGCTCCGGGGGGTGGGTGATTTATCAGGTGGGAACAACAGAGGAAAAAGTCACAGGTAAGAAAGGAGCAGCTGTATTCAGGGAGGTTGCTACCTGGCCGAGAGGAAGCCCATCTGCTGATACCACAAAGATGTTTTTTGGCTGTTGTGGCCCGCCAGCAGAGCTGGCAGCAGATTCAGACAGTGAGGAGGTTGGGGAGGAACATGGGCCAGTCCTGGAGTCTGGGGAAGGCTCTGATCAGGGCTCTGCGTCAGAGGCAGAGAGGGGGCCAGGGCCATCTAACAGTTATCAGCTGCATTCGGAGTCGGGTATCAGTGGGGCAGAAGAACAGCTGGAGCCTGTTCCCAGTGTGCGCATGCACAGAGTTGCCAGACGAAGGGAACAGCTAAAGAACAAGGGTCGACTCAGGAGTAAAGCCACAGGTGGACGATGAATGGCCCCTCCCAGAGGGAATAAAAGAGGAGCGAAAGGGGAGTGGAGTTTGCAGGAGACAATTAGTTCGCTTAATTGGTTCGTGACTCCTTGCCAAGTTTTGAAGATTTTGGCCTGGCAGCTCTCCAAGGTCTCTGACTGTAAATTCTCCCTTGAAAGACTTTGCTGGATGTGAATGAGAAGAATTTAATTTAATAAAAAGGGTTTTTTGTCAGGACAAGGAGTCTGCTTAGTGGTTTGGGGAAGCCTAGGTCAGAACACTGGCAGCCGAACAAGTTCATCTTAAGAGATTCAGGAAGCAATACCCCCTCTTTGGGCAAAGGGCACGACGACTAATATTGGTTGTACAATGCTGAGCAGGCTGTCCGAGCCCAGGTAGGATCATTATGAAAACTACAGGTTGTCCTCAACTTACAACGGTTCATTTAGTGACCGTTCAAAGTCACAACAGCACTGAAAAGGGGCTTAGGACCACTTCCCACCGTTACAACCTCCGCAGCAATCCCCACAGCCACGTGATTCAAAATTCAGAGAGTTGGCAACTGGTTCATATTTATGACGGCTGCAGTGTCCCCAGGGTCACGTGATCCCTTTTTTGCGACCTTTTGCTTGAGTAGGGGGGCTGGACTAGAAAGACCTCCAAGGTCCCTTCCGGCTCATTCGTTCTAAAACAGACCTTCTGGGAAGCAAAGTGAATGGCTGTTCTGCCCTACCTACGGACCCCAAAGAACGCAGCACACACAAAATCTGTACAAACCTTAGTTTTACTAAATTAAATCGGGTTTTTTCCCCAAACAAAGGCTGTTAATGAACTTTCTTAACAGCCTACAAGAATCCAAAGAATAAATAATCGTAATCTTACTATGGTTGGCAGAAAGCCCAGAAGCAATTTGCAGAGAACTAAGATCCAGACGCGAAGGAGAGTGAACGAAGTTGTTCCCTGCAAATTACTTCAGTTGGTGTTCCTCCTTAAATAGGCTAAGGGAGTGGCCAATTAGCCCCAAGCCTTACTCTCGAGGAGACCTCCTCCTGAGGAGCCACTCCTGCCTTTTGGCAGCTCTGCGCACCCGTGTATCAAGAAGAGGCTCCTCCTCTTCATCCTCTTCACTTATGGAAGCTTCTGGAGGTTCTGAAGGCCCTGGCTGAATCCCCACCTCTGGCACCACATCTTCTCCAGCCTCCTCATTGTCCTACTCGAGTGCCAGCTGCACAGGCTGCTGGCACAGCACACCAGCCTCCTCGCTGTCCGAATCAGCCACAGGCCACGTACGGGGAAGCCAGATTCACTTAACAAAACCGTGTTACTAATTGAACAACGGCAGTGATTCACTTAACAAATGTGATTGAGAAAAGTCATCAAACGGGTTTCAAAATTCACTTCACAAATGTTTCACTTAGCAACAGAAATGTTGGGCTCAATAAATGGCCGTTGAGGACTCCCTCTACTGTCCCTTGTTTTTACCTTCGCTCGGGGAAATAACCCCCTTTCTTTAACAAGCTGGACAGACCCCTCTCTCTTCCGCACAGAGAGCTGGACTCGCCCCTTCGGTTCTTACCCTTCAATGGCCGGCGACCGATCTGGCCGTGTGCTGAGGCGGGGCCGATACCTCCGGGCCATGGGCAGTCGCGGGGGTCGGCTTGGTCCCCAAAGGTCCGCATGGGCTTGGTGGCCCCTCTCGTTGTCCCTGCCGTTGTGGTCCAGAGAGCTGCTCAGGAATGGAAAGACCATGGAACGATCCAGCTGGTCCCAGAACTGAGGGAAGGGAGACGGAAAGTTTAGGAAAAGAGTCAGAACCGGCGTAGAGGCACAACGAAAACTCCGCCCGAGGGGAAAGCACGTTTTTCTTTTACCAGAAAGCAATTTTTATACAGGTAAGTTCGTTTAGCGACCCTCCAAAGTTACGACGGCACTGAAAAAAGTGACCAATGACCGTTTTTCACAGTCACCACCGTTGCAGCATCCCCCAAGTGATCAAAATTCAGGCCCTTGACAACGGACTCGTATTTTTGATGGTCGCAGTGTCCCAGGCTCACGTGATCCCCTTTTGCGACCTTCCGACGAGCAAAGTCAACGGGGGAATCCGGGTTCACTTAACAACCGGGTGGCTAACTTTATCAACAGCAGGGATTTACTTAAGAAATGTGGCCAGAAAAGTCACAAAATGGAGCAGAACCCACTTAACGAATTTCTCACTTAACCACATAAGTGTGTTGTTGTGGTTGTAAGTCAAGGACTATCTGTAGCTGTCCTGTTGGTCCCTCAACTTGTCAGAGAGCTCTTTGTGCAGCCATGCTGCTCCTGCCTAGAGTCTCTTGTTTTTCTTTCTCTGTGGTATCGTTTTCGTTTGGGCTTTTATCTTATTTTTCAGAGTATCCCAAGCATCCTGTATTGTTTTTCTCTCTATGTTTTCCATCCACGGAATCCTTCCTAGGCACTCTCTTAGCTTGTTGAAGTCGGCTCCCTTAAAGGCTAAAACACTAGTTACTTTTGCCTGCATTATGGTGAATTCTAGCGCAGGTAGTCCTTGACTTACAATAGTTCATTTAGTCATTATCTTTTAATGATCCCATAATCCCTTTGCGAGGTGGAGTCTGGGCAACTGAATGGAGCTAGCGGAGTATTTACTGGCTGGATGCCCTTCCTGTTGCCAATGCGGAGTTTTGTTCAGCAGATATATTCTCATTGAGCCCAGAGAGAGAGAAATATCTGCTTCTACCTAGGATCGAACTCACAGCCTCCCGATTGTGAGGCGAGAGCTCCACCTCTAGGCCACCGCACCACACCCTACAACAGTTCATTTAGTAACCGTTCAAAATTACAACGGCAATGAAAAAGGTGACTTAGGACCATTTTTCACACTTATGACCTTCGTGCCATCCCTATGATCGTGTGATCAAAATTCAGATGCTTGGCAGCTGGTTCATACTTACGACCGTTGTTGTGTCCCATCCTTTTCCTCAATTCGGTTGGGCGTCTGGCAGTGGTTCTTTGACCATGGATGAAGCCAGAAGGCTGCCTCCAACTGATCGGTCCCTACTCGGCCAAGGAGCCTTCCTGACTTCCTCACCACATTACAAAATAAAAATAGAAATGCTGAAACTTTGGAAAAAGTGCAAAGAGGAGCAACTAAGACGATTAAGGGCCTGGAGGCTAAAACATCGGAAGAACGGTTGCAGGAATTGGGTATGTCTAATTGATTGAAAAGAAGGACTAGGGGTGACGTGATAAGCAGTATTCCAGAATTTGAGGGGCTGCCACAAAGAGGAGGGGGGGTCAACTTATTTTCCAGAGCACCAGAAAGCAAGATAAGAAACAATGGATGGAAACTGATTAAGGAAAAAAGCAACCTGGAATTCAGGAGTGAACAATTGGTTAACAGTTGAGGACAATTAACCAGCGGAACAGCTTGCCACCAGAAGTTGTGAGCGCTTCAACACTGGAGGTTTTAAAGAAGAGACTGGACAGCTACTTGTCTGGAATGGTGTAGGGCAGTGATGGCTAAACGTTTTGCTGTCGCGTGCCAAAAGCAGGAGGAGTGCGGGGGGTAGGGGGTTGCACGCGTGCGTGGCCACACCCGTAACTGAATGCCCACCCATGGCCCGACCCCCTGCGTTCCCCCTGATTTTGGCACACGATGGCAAAAAGGTTACCAGTTGGCCTGGTAGGCCTGTTTTTCACCCTCCCCAGGCGCCAGAGGCTTTCTTGGCGCCTGGAGAGGGCGAAAATGGCCTTCCCCACCATCACCCCCTAGACGCCAGAAACAGCCCGTTTCCCGACTTCCGGTAGGACCGGAAGGCCCGTTTTTTGCTCTTCCCAGGCTCTAGAGGCTTTCTTGGAGTCTGGGGAGGGCGAAAACAGCCTTCCCCACCCCCCTGGAGGCCCTCCGGAGGCCGGAAACGGCCTGTCTCCCAACTTCCGGTGGACCCGGAAGGCCTGAAAATCAGTTGGCCAGAGCACGCATGCGCGCTGGAGCTGAGCTAGGGCAACGCTCGCATGCCCACAAATATGGCTCCACATGCCACCTCTGGCACGCGTTCCATAGTTTCACCAACACGGGTATAGGGTCTTCTGCTTGAGTAGGGGTTGGACTAGAAGACCTCCCAGGTCCCTTCCAGCTCTATTCTGATTGACTGATCCTGGTTCAACCAGACTCAAGAGTCAGCCTAAGGTGGGCTGGGAGGGCCAGGGACTTCCCCCCTTTTGCGACCGAGACAACATGAAGCAACACGTCTGAGCCAGTTGAGTTCAAATGTAAGATGAGCTCAGGGAAAGCGGCTGGCTTGAGGTCAAGAGTGACGGCGGCTTGACACGCTGAGCCTGAGGGCTAAATTCAGAATCAACAGATGGAGGTGTGGGGGGAACCAGCTTTAAAAGAACTGCCTACAGACCCAAACATCTGAATTGCTCTGAGCCAGAACTCCCAAAGGGACCAAAACATCGTAGCTTGAAATAATTATTTCAGTATGTTTATTCCGGGGGTAGGGGGTGGGGGGCGCAGGGTGGTGCTAGAGGTGGCATAGATTTATTTCAATTGATATAATATTGGTCCATCTGACCAGTAAGATCCTGAGCAACTAATAAGAATTGAAATACCACATAAATATAGGCATTTTAATGTATATATATATTTACCGTATTTTTCGGACTATAAGACACACCTAAATTTAGAAGTTGTCCTACCTTTTTTCGGGCCTTTTCCAGCTTTTTTTCAGCCTGTTTTCAAGGCTTTTTTTGGCCTGTTTCAAGGCTTTTTTGGCCCATTTTCGAGGCTTTTTTCAGCCCGTTTTCAAGGCTTTTTCAGCCTGTTTTCGAGGCTTTTTTCGGCTGTTTTTTTCAGAAAAAAATCGGCCAAAAAAAAGACCTCAAAACCGGGCCAAAAAAGCCCTGAAAACGGACCGAAAAATGCCTCAAAAACAGGCTGAAAAAGCCTCAAAAACAGGCTGAAAAAAGTCCCTAAAATGGGCCAAAAAGCCTCAAAAATGGGCCAAAAAAATGCTTGAAAAAGGCTGAAAAAAGGGCTGAAAACAGGGCGTGTGGAGGCCAAAAAAAATGGCTGGCGGGGCTTCGGCAATATTCAGTCTATAAGACGCACAGCCATTTTCTCCCCCTTTTGGGAGACAAAAAAGGTGCGTCTTATAGTCTGAATGACCGCTGCAGCATCCCCACCGTCACAGGATCAAAATTCAAATGCTTGGCAACTGGTTCCTATTTATGACGGTGTTTCCCAGAGTCATGTGATGCCCTTTTGCGACCTTTTGACCAGCCATGGGGAAGCCAGATTCACTTAACAACCATGCTACTAACTTATCAACTGCAGTGATTCACTTAACGACAGTGGCAAGGAAGGTCATAAAATGGAGGCAAAAACCCACTGAACCAATGTCTCACTTAACAACGGAAATTTCGGGCTCCATTGTGGTTGTAAATCGAGGACTACCTGTTGGCAGCCACATCAAGAGCGTTGACTGCTCAAGTGGGCCCAAGAGCCTTCCAGATCCGTCCGAGAGGATTGTAAAAGATATTTTAAATAACAGCGTCAAAAGGCGGAATTCAAGGGGACACGGAAGGAGGCTCTGCGTGAGTCAGAGCAGCCTGTCAAAGATAGCATCAGGCCACGCAAGCAATCCCCAAGCACAGCAGGAGAAACATCCAAGGACTAATTATAACGTTCAGACCAAAGCGGCTGCGTGAGCTCAGGCCGCTAATTATAATATAATTATCATAGATGTGGGCTTGGGCAGAATTCTGTAGTCATTACTTTCTTCTGTCATGGATATGTCGGGTATACTGGAGGCGGTAACCCTTTGAGAGCTGAATGCAACGGAATTTCATTATATGGTATGCTGATTATTGTACAAAGTAATAAAGTTATTATTCTATTCTATATTTTACATTTTATTCAATATTTTCTATTCTATGTTTAACATTTTATTCTATTCTAAATTTTACATTCTATTCTATTTTTTTAAGTTCTATTCTATATTTTACATTCTATTCTATATTATTCTACTCTATATTTTGCATTTTATTCTATATTTTCTATTCTATATTTGACACTTTATTCTATTGTATTTTTTACATTCTATTCTATTATTCTATTCTATATTTTACATTCCATTCTATATTATTCTATTCTATATTTTACATTTATTCTATATTTTCTATTCTCTATTTAACACTTTATTCTATTCTATATTTTACATTTTATTCTATATTTTACATTTTGTATTCTATTCTATATTTAACATTTTATTCTATTCTATATTGCATTTTATTCTATATTTTCTATTTTCTATTCTATATTTAACACTTTATTCTATTCTATTTTTACATTCTATTCTATATTTTACATTTTATTCTATATTTTCTATTTTGTATTCTATTCTATATTTAACATTTTATTCTATTCTATATTTTACATTCTATTCTTTATTATTCTATTCTATATTTTGCATTTTATTCTATATTTTCTTTTTCTATTCTATATTTAACACTTTATTCTGTTCTATTTTTTACATTTTCTATTCTATTATTCTATTCTATTCTATATTTTACATTCTATTCTATATTTTCTATTTTGTATTCTATTTTATATTTAACATTTTATTCTATTCTATATTTTACATTCTATTCTATTCTAGTCTAGTCTACTATTCTATTCTATTCTGCACTCTAATTCTGCGTTCTAATTCTGCGTTCTAATTCTGCTCTATTCTATTCTATTCTATTCTATTCTATTCTATTCTATTCTATTCTATTCTATTCTATTCTATTCTATTCTTTGCCAGCACATCTTCATAACCCTCTAAACCCCGGTGAAGAGACTCAGCTTACTGAATTAACCCCATTGCCTGGGTTCTCAAAACACAGGAAGCATCGATCGGTTCATGCCACACATAAAGCCACCGACCAGCCAGCCAGCCAGCCACCCACCCACCTGGGCACCCTACGGGGGTCTGCAAACTCAACCTCCAAAGAGAGGGACAAGCCCAGCCTGGAGACAGGCAGCCTCTATCCATGCAGGATGACTGCCTCACCCTGCAGCAGAGGCCAGGATAGGACGCTTACCTCCTGCTGAAGCATGTGTCACACCTGGCTGGTTCGGGGGTCCCTGCCAGGCTTGGCCCCAAAACAGGTGGGAGGGCCAGCAATGTCCTGGCTGAGGGGTAGCGGGAGGCAGACGGGCAGCTGAGATGGTCGGGAAGGCTCCGAATAGCTTCCCTCTTCCAGCGTCTGCCCACTCAAAAGCTTGTCTCACACAACAGCATCTTGGGGTATCCAGTCACCCATCTAAATATAAAGTGTCTTGGATCCAATGCTATACTTGGTCTGACTTACAACATGTTTGCAAAGGCCAAGAGTCAGCCCCTTCTTTGCTTGAAGATGCTACTCGTACGCTTGGCTTTTGCTAAAAATCTATATATATAAAAGCGAAATACCACTCAAGCATCATCACAAAATCTCCAGAACCGTAAAGCCTACAAAACTTGAAATTTGCCACATACGTTCCTCTTGGCTTCTAGGTGCTCGCTAAGAAAGGATTTTTCGAAATGACCATCAGAGCATTAGTATTTCCTATATTATGATGAACAGGCTCTGATGCTAAGGAGTTCTACTCCCCCCCTCCCCATCTGAAAAGAAATCTGTTCCAAATGCAAAACACAAGCAGAGGAGAGGAGTTTCCGTTTCAGTTTTACTTTCACAGCAGCAACCAGGGGATAGGATAGGGGAGGCTTCTGTGGGGCTTTTGCTGTAGACTGTTTTTTTTGCTGGGAAACCAGATGTAAACATTGGTTTCTGGCCCAATCATTGTAAATCATGGTCATATGACGGCAGGACCCTCTAAAAATCTGTAAATGTGGACCGGTTCCGAGCACCCATTGTCACCGGAACTTCAAAACCAGAGTAAGTCCCTTTTGAAGGCCTCTATCATAACTTTTAATAGTCACTAAACAACCCATCGTAAATTGAATAGAATAACAGAGTTGGAAGGGACCTTCGAGGTCTTCCAGTCCAACCCCCTGCTTAGGCAGGTTACCCTACACCACTTCAGACCAATGGTTATCCAATCTCTTCTTTAAAAAATCCAGTGTTGGAGCATTTATAACTTCTGGAGGCAAGTAGTTCCACTGGTTAATTGTTCTCACTGTCAGGAAATTTCTCCTTCGTTCTAAGTTGCTTCTCTCCTTGATTAGTTTCCATCCATTGCTTCTTCTCCTGCCCTCAGGTGCTTTGGAGAGTAGTCTGACTCCCTCTTCTTTATGGAAGCCCCTGAGATATTGGAAGACTGCTATCATGTTACCCCTTGTCCTTCTTTTCATTAAACTAGACATACCCAGTTCCTGCAACCAATCTTTATATATTTAAACCTCCAGTCCCCTAATCCTCTTTGTTGCTCTTCTCTGCACCCTTTCTAGAGTCTCTACATCCTTTTTACATCGTGGCGACCAAAACTGGATGCCGGATTCCAAGTGTGGCCTTATACCAAGGCATGATAAAGTGGTATGAACCCTTCCCGTGATCTTGATTCTATCCCTCCATTGATGCAGCCCAGAACTGTGTTGGCTTTTTTGGCAGCTGCTGCACACGGCTGGCTCCTATCACGCGCATTATCGGTATTTGTTGACTGGTTTATTGAGGAAAATGATCCAAAGCTTTATCTAGTTTTTTTAAGCATCCCATTGAGGGTTATACTTCCTCAACTGTCCAACAGGGTTCTTTTCACACCCGTGCCTTTTTCAAACTAGGGGTCCCCCTGAAATCTACGTCCCCTAAAAAGAGCCACACCCCAAACCAGACAAAAGTAGTTCAAGGAGGGGGGGGAGAGAGATAGACAGAGAAGGACCCCTCCCTGACACAGCTGTAGAAAGCTGAAGAAAAAAAAAAAAGAGAGAACAGGAAAACTCACCTCTGCAAATGGGGTGGAAGGACTTTCATCGTTGCCGCTGCTGTTGCCTTCTAAAAAACTAGAGAGAGAGAGAAAAAAAAAATAGGTTGGGGAAGAACACCGGGACTTAAAAGGATTTCCAACGTTACCTTGGCAACATTTAAGATAGGTGGACTTCAACTCCCAGAAATTCCCACCTTCCTGGTCACCAACTTACCAGGGAGCGAACTAATAGGGGGGTCTAGGATACCTCGCCAAGGCCAACTCGCCGCGGGACGAGAGTTAAGACTAATATCGTTAGAAACGGTGGAAGAGAATCGTGAAAGAAAGGATGCCAAAGGAGGGACAGAATGAAAGGTGAATGACGAAAATTAAAATACCGTATTTTTCGGACTGTAAGACGCACTTGTCTCCCAAAAGGGGGTGAAAATGTCTGTGTGCCTTATAGATCGAATATTGCCGAAGCCCCATACACCCGCCGGCCGTTTTTATAGTTTCCGCACACACCGTTTTCGTGCCTTTTTTCGGCCTTTTTCAGGCCTTTTTTTGGCCTGTTTTCAGCCCGTTTTTCTGGCTTGTTTCAGCCCGTTTTTTGGAAAAAAACAGGCAGAACAAAGCCTTGAAAATGGGCCAAAAAGCCTCGAAAATGAGCTGAAAAAAGCCTCAAAAACGGGCCAAAAAAAGCCTCAAAAACGGGCCGGAAAAAGCCTCAAAAATGATCCAAAAAAAGCCTCAAAAATGGGCTGAAAAAAGCCTCAAAAATGGGCCGAAAAAAGCCTCAAAAACGGACTGAAAAAAGCCTCAAAAACGGGCCGAAAAAAGCCTAAAAAATGGGCGAAAAAAGCCTCAAAAACGAACTGAAAAAAACTCAAAAACGGGCCGAAAAAAGGCTCAAAAACAAGGCGAAAAAAGCCTCAAAAATGGGCTGAAAAAAGCCTAGAAAACGGACCAAAATAAGCCTCGAAAATGGGCCAAAAAAAGCCTCGAAAATGGGGCACGCAGAGGCCAAAACCTTTTTTGTTTTGTTTTGTTTTGCTCTTCTAAATTTAGGTGCGTCTTGTAGTCCAAAACATACTGTAATGTTTTAACTATTTAAATAATTAAACTGAATTGTCGAATTGTCCCTGCAGTGGGTTGTCCCATTCCGACCTGATACGAGGTCTCTCCCCCCAACCCAAAAAGGAAACTTTTTCATGGAAGATCCGTATGGGGCAAGAGGAACTCCAGAAGCCTCTCAGAGCCTTTTTTCAAGAGGCAAGTGGACTCCATTTAGTGACCGTTCAAAGTTGCATCACGGACAAAGGGACGTATGGCCACTTTTCACAGTTACGACCATTGCAGCATCCCCCATGGTCAGACGCTTGGCAACAGGCTCCCATTTTATGACAGTTGCCGTGTCAAGGGGTCATGTCATCCCGTTTTGCAACCTTCTGACCAGCAAAGTCGATGGGGAAGCCAGATTCACTTAACAACCGTGTTACTAAATGAACAACTGCGGCGATTCACTTAGCCACAGAAAGTCATAAATCGAAGCAACATTCACTTAGCAAAGTGTTTTGCTTAGCAATAAAAAAGTTTGGGCTCAAATGTGGCCGTAAGCCACGGACTACCTGTTCCTGGATTTCAACTCCCAGAATTGCACATATTTTAAATTTGCCGAGGTTGAAAAACACCCTTCAAAAGAGGAGGAGAGGATATATATATATAAAAGGACATCTTGTTGTTGCTTGTCAGGAAATGGAAGATACCTGGAATCATCTGTTACTTCTTCAATAAAGCCAGATTCACATCGGGGACATGTGTATTCCTGCCAAGAAAGAAAGAAAGAAAGAAATGGGGCCATAAGATTTCAGCTGATAATAACCACGTGTCACCCATCCCACTTAGTTTTAATTAGCAAAGAAAGACTCCTGGTTCATTTCTTTTTCCAAGAGTATCCTTCACGGAGAACAAAGCAGGTACAGATTTTAGAGCAAGGCAGAATCTGTCGGCTTGGCCTGAAAAAGATGCAATTAATAGCCACAGCAATAGCTTCACAGTGAATTGGAATGGAATGGAATGTAGATTATAATAGAATTAGAATGAATAGGAATAGGAATAGGATAGAATAATAAATATGGAATAGAATAGAACAGAACAGAATAGAGAATGTAAAATAAAACATGGAATAACTATAGAATAAAATATAGAATAAAATGTAGAGTAGAACATAGAATATAGAATAGAATAGAATGGAATAGAATAGAAAATAGGAATAGAATTGTATAGAATGTAAAATAGAGAATAGAATAGTAGAATAAGAATAGAATAAAATAGAATAGCAAGAGCACTTAGATTTATATACCACTTTACAGTGCTTTTACAGCCCTCTCTGAGTGGTTTACAGAGCTGGCAACCTGGGTCCTCATTTTACCGACCTCGGAAGGATGGAAGTCTGAGTCAACCTTGAGCCGGTCAGGATCGAACTGCTGGCAGTGAGCAGAGTTTAGCCTGCAATCCTGCATTCTAACCGTTGCGCCACCACAGAATTAAGTTCCCCTTTTCCCTGGCCACCTCCCTGTTACCATTCAACGTCCAATTAAAAAGTGCTCAGGTTATTTTGGAAACAGACCGTGTTCGAGCATTTCCCATGTCCGCAGTCCTTGACACCACGGACGGAAAAGCTACCGATACGAGTTCCCCCACTCCAACGCTCAATTGAATACGTCGAACTACAATGCCTGTTAAATGCTGTCGTGATATCCAACAAACACAGAGATTATCGTATTGGGGGAGGCTGACCATCCAGCAAGGGACAAGTGGACAATTTGTTAGTCTACTTGTTCTCTAGATGGGAAAACCTGTGTGGTAGTCCTTGTCTTACAACCGTCTTACAACCGTCCATCTGACCAATAAAATTCAGAGCAACTAACAAGAACTGAAATACAACACAATAAACGTATGTATTTATATATAGAGAGAGAAATATAGATATAGATATATATAAAAATTTTAATTCTTTTAAAATTTTAAAATCTTAAGTTCCGGAGTTCACAGTATGTTTGCTTCTTTTTTTACTAATATACCTGGAACTTGTATTTTTAGAATTGTTTGTAATATATAAGTTATATATATATATATAAAGAGCCCAGTTATCATCTGACTAGCACAAAGTGGCCTCCACCCTTCCCGTACAGCTTGGCCTTTTGACTACAGAGAGTCCTTGATTTACGGCAGTTCATTTAGTGACCGTTCAAAGTTGCAACGGCACTGAAAAAAGACATTTTTCACACATTTCGACCGTTACAGCCTTCCCTGTGGGGTCACGGGAATCAAAATTCAGACGCTCGACAACTGACTCATATTTATGACGGTTGCGGTGTGCCCAGGATCACGGGATCCTCTTTTGTGACCTTCGGACCAGCAATGTTGATATGGGGAAAGAAGCCAGATTCGCTTAACGACTGCGTGACTAATAACCGCAGGGATTCTTTGAACAAATGCGGCGAGATTAAAATCGTAAGACGGGACAAAACTCTCAGTTGTTTCACTCAGCAACATAAATTCTGGGCTCAATTGTGGTCGTACGTCGAGGATTACCTGTATCATGACAGGGCTTGCAAAATATTGTCAAATATGTGCTTTGTGGTCTGGTGACTTCCAACAAGCCAGGTCTTACGTTAGCCGGTTGCTTGAACTAGGTCATCAGATTAAACCGGCATATACCTTAGCTGCTCGGGCTCTGGGAGTGACCTGTCCTCTACCATCTCAGAATGTGGGACATGCAATAATCCTACGTACTACAAGACAGCCAGATTCCAATTAAATGTTTTTAAAAATCCTGCCTAAACGGGGAGAATTCTACGTATACATTTCCAAGCACAGACTAGACCAGCAAAGCTGGCTGAGGAATTCTGGGAGTTGAAGTCCACAAGTGTTGGACTGTGAGGATTGTAGCTGATTCCGACAGCGAGGAGGCTGGTGTGGTGCTGTGCCAGCAGCCTGTGCAGCTGGCGCTCGAGTCGGACAGTGAGGAGGCTGGAGAAGATGTGGTGCCAGAGGCGGGGATTCAGCCAGGGCCTTCAGAACCTCCCTTAAGTGAAGAGGAAGAAGAGGAGGAGCCTCTTCTTGATGCACGGGTGCGCAGAGCTGCCAAAAGGCAGGAGTGGCTCCTCAGGAGGAGGTCTCCTCAAGAGTAAGGCTTGGGGATAATTGGCCACTCCCCTAGCCTATTTAAGGAGGAACACCACTTGCAGCAAGCTGTAGGGAACAACTTTAGTTCACTCTCCTTCGCGTCTGGATTCTCTGCAAAATTGTTTCTGGGCTTTCTGCCAACTCTAGTAAGACTGTGATTACCTTATCTCAGAATTCTGGTAGGCTGTTGAGACAGTTTATTAACAGCCTTTGGTTGATAAAGACTAAGTTATTTCAGTAAAATAAGCTTTGTATAGAGTTTGTGTGTGCTGCGTTCTTTGGGGTTCGTAGCTGGGGCAGAACAAGACTTGCTATCATGTCACACCTAGTCCTTCTTTGGGATCTCAATAGGTGGTGATACAATAAAGGAAATTGAATGGAGGATTGAATGTGGCCGACAGGTATTCGGCAAGATAAATGTAATTTTCAAGAACCACCTCTCGCTATGCCCGAAAAGATTTCAATCAGTGTTTGTGCCACCTACTCAAACATATGCCAGCGAAACCTGGACAGTAACCTCACCACCGACACAAAAACTACGAGCGGCACAAAGACCATGGGAAGACAAGATAAGAAGACCTGCAGGTGGATTAGATAACAAACGAAAGTATAGGATGCCATCAAGAGAGTAAAAGAATTGAAACAGAAGCAGGCTGGTTCCATAGCAAGAAGAACCGATGGCAGGGGGGGACCAAGGCCGTCATATAAAGGATCCCACTGGATCAAAAGCGTCCACGAAGAGACCTAAAGCAAGAGGGATCGATGACATCAGCAAGTAGGGTAGACCCAATTGGCAAAGAAAAGCCCAGGAACTCTATTGGTTGGAAATATGCAGAAGAGGCCTTCATCCTACATTGGATAGACCATGGTTCTGCAACCTTAAACACTCAAAGAGCCATTTGGACCCGTTTCCCACAGAAAAGAAAACACCGGGAGTCACAAAAACCCTTCCCATGCCTGACTATTTCTTGAGCGGCCACAAAACTAGCAAATGTAGTTGGAATTAAACGTTCTGTTTTCTTCTGATTTCTTCTTCTTGGATTTATCCATGGTTGGCCTACCGGGGGTTGAAAAGCTCAATAAATCGCGTGCTGGCGGGTGTCACACATTGGCGGTTGTGACGCATATTTTGAGTGACAAGGAGCCGCAGCACAGAGGTGAAAGAGCCACATGCGGCTCCAGAGCCACAGGTTGCTGACCTCTGGGATAGACCATGCCTAGAATGGGGATGATGATTATCCATACTCAATTCCTTCAATTGTACTTCAAAAGGGCCTGGTGGCTCAGCAGACTAAAAGCATTGTGATTAACATCAGCTGCCTGCAATTACTGCAAGTTCGAATCTCTCCAAGGCTCAAGGTTGACTCAGCCTTCCATCCTTTCTAAGGTAGGTAAATTGGGGACCCAGTTTGTGGGGGCAATAAGCTGACTTTGTATAAAATATACAAAAGTATGAAGGCTATTGCTTAACGCATTGTAAGCCGCCCTGAGTCTCCGGAGAAGGGCGGCATATAAATCAAATTTTTTTAAAAAAATTGTACTTCAAGACTGGTTTTTCAAGAAGAGACGGGACAGCCATTGGTCCAGAGTGGTATAGAGTCCCCTGCTTCAACAGGGGGTGGGACTAGAAGACCTCTAAGGTCCCTCCCAACTCTGCTACAGGTAGTCCTCGACTTAACAACAGTTCGCTTAGTGACTGTTCAAAGCCACAATGGCCCGGTTTTTTTCACCACCTTTAGCAGCATCCCCGCCGTCACGCGATCAAAATTCAGGCACTTGGCAAACGTAAACTCCCATTTAGGACGGTGGCAGCGCAACCTGGGATCACGCGATCTCCTTTTTGCAACTAAACCAAGTCAACGAGGAAGCCAGATTTCACTTAGCGACCGGGGGTAACCGACGGTGGCGATTCGCTTTAACGAACGAGGCAAGGAAAGGTCGTAAAGCAGGGCCCAAATTCAACTTAGTAGAGGTCTCGCTTAGAGCAACAGAAACGTTGGGGGGGGGGGGGAATGGTAGTAATAAGTCGAGGACTTACCTGTATGGCGCCTCCCTGCTCCAATGGAATAGAATAGAATACAATTCTTTATTGGACAAGGGGGTTGGACTAGATGACCTCCAAGGTCCTTTCCCACCCTCTTATTCGGCTATATGTTATCAAACTCCGCCTTTCCCAAGCTGCTGCTGCTGGTGCCTTCCGATTCCTTGGACACTCCCCTCCCCTCCAGCATCCCCACCCTCACCCCAAATCTGGGGACAACCAAGCCAAGTCAAATGAGGAAGCCAGATTTCACTTAGCGACCAACGGCGGGGATTCGCTTTAACGAACGAGGCAAAGGGAAGTCGTAAAGCGGGGGCTGAACTCAACTCAGCAGAGGTCTCACTTAGCAACAGAAACGTTGGGGGCCTCTCCCTGCCCCGGGTGGTCGTAAGTCGAGGACTTACCAGTCTGGAGCCTCCCTGCTTCAACAAGGGGGTCAGACTAGATGACCTCCGAGCTCCCTTCCCACCCTGTTATTCTGCTATATGTTATAAAACTCCGCCTTTCCCAAGCTGCTGCTGCTGTTGGTGCCTTCAGATTCCTTGGACCCCCTCCTTTCCAAATCTGGCCACAACCAAGCCAAGTCAACGAGGAAGCCATATTTCACTTAGCGACCGAAGGTAACCGACAGCAGCGATTCGCTTTAACAAAACGAGGCAAGGAAAGGTCGTAAAACGGGGGCGCCGAACTCAACTCAGCAGAGATCTCGCTTACCAACAGAAACGTTCCCCCCCCCAGTGGTGGTAAGTCAAGGACTTACCTGCACGGAGCCTTTCCTGCTTCAACAAGGAGGGGAGGGTTCGGACTAGATGACCTCCATGGGCCCTTCCCACCCTGTTTATTCTGCTACATGTTATAAAAACTCCGCCTTTCCCAACTGCTGCTGCCGCCTTCGGATTCCTTGGAAACCCCCCTCCCCACTCCAGCATTCCTCCCCCCCCCCCCGCACCCCAAATCTGGGCACCACCGAGCCAAGTCAAACGAGGAAGCCAGATTTCACTTAGCGACCAACGGCGGGGATTCACTTTAACGAACAAGACAAGGAAAGGTCGTAAAGCGGGCCCCAAATTCAATTTAGCAGAGGTCCCCTTTAGAGCAACAGAAACGTGTGGGGGGAAGGGTGTCTGGTGGTCGTAAGTCGAGGACTTACCTGCCTGGAGCCTTTCCTGCTTCCACAAAGGGGGGGGGGGCTCGGTCTAGATGACCTCTAAAGCCCCTTCCCACCCTGTTTATTCTGCTACCATGTTATAAAAACTCCGCCTTTCCCAACCTGCTGCTGCTGCCTTCGGATTCCTTGGACCACCCCCCACCCCCACCCCAAATCTGGGCACATCTGGAGGGGGGGAGGGGGCGCCAAGTTGGGGAAAGGGGCTTGTGGCCCCCCCCACCCCCCACCCCCACCCAGGCCTGGGGGGGCAGAGAGCGGGATTTGGGGGAGGGGATTTCGCTGCCCCGTCGCCCCTCCCCTCGTTTTGCAAGGGGGGGGTTGCAGCCTTCCCCTCCCCCCCCACGAACCCGGGTCGCCCCTCCCCCCCTCCCAGGTCTTTCGCGAGGGGGGGGTCCCTGCGCTCACCGGCAGCTTTGGGCTGACCTCGCCCTTGCAGCTGTGGCAAAAGAAGCGGTGCTGGGAGACGGCGGCCGTCGCGGCAGCCGAAGAGGCCTCCGCCATCCTCCCGCCCCGCCGAAGCCTCCGCCGGGCTTGGAAAAGCGAAACAGAGCCGCTGGGCCGACGCCGCGGACACAAGAGAGACGCGGGCCTAGAGCGGCCAGCGGCCAAAGCCGGGTGGGACGCTCTAGCCGCGCACCGCTTCCGGGCCTTGTCGACCCCTGAGTGGGAGGAGCCGAGGCCGGTGATTGGCCAGAAGGAGAGAAGGCGCTTCCGGTGAGGGGTGCGGGGGGGGCTCCGTTGCCATGGGGACCGAGGGACGGGCTTGAGGCCTAGGTGGAGAAACCTTCAAGAAGCGGAAAAAAAGAAGCGTGGGGGGATTTTTTTTGTTTTTGTTTTCCTTCCCCCGCCTGCACGTTGAAGGTCTCCGGCTAAGGAGAGGAAAAAAAAACCGAGGAGAAGGTAACTCTAAGGAATCCTCGGTTTACGGCGGTTCGTTTAGTGACCGCGTTCGAAGCGACCACGGCACTGAGGGGGGAAAAAAAGGACTTTTCGGACCATTTTTTCCACACTTAACGTGGTCGCGTGATCAAAATAAAGACGCTGGGCAAGTGACTCATAGTTACGACGGCTGCCGTGGCCTAGAGTCACGTGATCCCCTTTTTTTGATCCCGGGGCAGGGGGTGGGGGAGAGGACCGTCTGACCAGCAAATGGGGGAAGGGAGCCAGATTCGCTTAACGACCGTGTGAGTCACTGAACAACGGCACGGATTCACTTCACTTAATTGTGGCAGGAAAGGTCGAAAAATGGGGCGAAATTCGCTTAATGTCTCACTTAGCGACGGAAATGTCAGGCTCCCGTTGTGGCCGTAAATCGAGGACTAGCTGTAAAGGTGTGAGGGGGTGCTCTGTAGGGCTGGAAGAGGAGTGGGCTGTGGGTCGGATGTGGGGGGGTGGCGTCTCTGGGTGGCATTTCTGATAGAAAAGGAAGGAGGAGAAAAAACATTCTCTTCCTTACTGTTCGTAATTGTGCTACTTATTTTCATTTGTTTTCCATTTTGTTAATTGATAAAAATAATTTATCAACACTTCTCTTTCTGAAAGTATTTGAAAGGATTAGAGCCGTGATGGAGAACCTATGGCACATGTGCTGTCACCAGATGGACTTTGCAGGCGCCGGAGTGCCAGAAAATGGCCTGAAAACAGCCAAAAGAATGGCCAAAACCAGGCTGTTTTGGGGACCAAAAACGACCCAAAAAACAGCCCTGAAAACAGCCTGAAAGCAGCCCGAAAAAGGCCAAAAACAGCCAAAAAACAGGCATGCACACGCCGGCCATCTGGTCTTCAGGTTTCTGGTGCTCCAGCGCACGCACATGCATGCACATTTAAGTTTGGGCACTTGGTGCCAAAAAGGTTTGCCATCACTGGATTAGAGCATGTACAGAGTGTAACCTAACTCAGCTTTTGCTTAGCTGAAGCTCCATTGTAACCTAATGTGCCAACTGAAGATGTCAACCTAACACATTCAATTTGCAGCATTTTTGCACACCTGCCTATACACTTTTGCACAGTACAGTACAGGTCAGCCCTCAATTTACAACGATTCATTTAGTGACCCTTCAAAGTTACAACGGCACTGAAAAAAAGGGAGTTATGACCGTTTTTCACACTTATCACCATTGCAGCATCCCCATGGCCACATGATTTACATTCGGATGCTTGGCAACTGGTTTTATGACTGTGTCCCAGAGTCACCTAATTCCCTTTTGTGACCTCCTAACAAGCAAAGTCAATAGGGAAGCCAGATAGAATAGAATTCCTTATTGGCCAAGTGTGATTGGACACACAAGGAATTTGTCTTTGGTGTATATGCTCTCAGTGTACATAAGGAGAATAAAATACATTCATCAAGAATAAAAAGATACAACACTTAGTGATAGTCAAGGCATCAAATTGTACTAGGAAACAAATAAAAACAATATAAATGGAAAGATACAAGCAATATGGGTATAGTCATAAGTGGGAAGAGATAGGTACTAGTAAGGATGAGAAGAATAATAGTAATCAGTCTTAGTAAATTATTTGACAGTGTGGGAATTAATTGTTAAGCAGAGTGATGGCATGGGAGAAAAAACTCTCCTTGTGTCTAGTTTTTTAGTCTGTTTTAGTCTGTTTTAATTTGTATTTATTGGGATTGTTTCATTTGATGTAAGATGCCCTGAGTCCTTTGGAGAGAGGGTGGCATATAAATCCAATAAATAATAAATAATAAATAATAATAATAATAGTTGTTCTGGTGTGCAGTGCCCTATAGTGTTGTTTTGAGGGTAGAAGTTGAAACAATTTATGTCCAGGATGTGAATGAATGAAGCCAGATTCACTTAACAATCCTGTTACTAACTTAACAACTGCAATGATTCATTTAACAACCATGGTGAGAAAAGTTCGTAAAATGAGGCAAAGCTCACTTAACAAATATCTCACTTAGCAATATAAATTTTGGGCTCAATTGTGGTCGTAACTTGAAGACTACCTGTTGTAGATAGACTTTTATGGGTCTGTATTGAAACAGTAACTTCCTCTTCTATCCCTGAGATCCAACGAAAAATCGGGGGAAATTTAGCCCAGGGTTCTACGGAATATTTGCACCAATTAGATTCTGAATGTGTAAAACCTTTCTCTTTTCAGATGCAGAGCTGGTGACATATACTGAACGGTGGAATCTTAATTCTCGTTTTGGACCCTGAAATCCTCACGAGTTGTTTACTGATTTAGAGTAGCTTGCACGTTTTATTGCCGTCAATTATACCTACCGATAATCGTTCTCCAGCAAGATGACCCAGGCCGAAATCAAACTTTGTTCTCTCCTGCTCTGTGAACATTTTGGTGAAATTGTGGAAAAGGTGGGAATGCAGCTCATCCGAATGGGCGGACAGACGTTATGGATGATTTCCCAAAACACAAGCATGTCGCTTGATCAGGTAGATTTTTTTTTTTGGTATAATCTAGGTTAAATTAAACTAAGATTAAGTATCCATGGTTCCTGCTGATGTTCTCCCTCATGCTCATCAATCCTGAGTGGAATTAAGGATTCCAAGAGGCTTCAAAAGTTGGTTTACAGTTGTTATTAGTTGCGAAGTCGTGTCCGACCCTTCGCGACCCCATGGACAACGTTCCTCCAGGCCTTCCTGTCCTCTACAATCCCCTGGAGTCCATTTAAGCTCACGCCGACTGCTTCAGTGACTCCATCCAACCACCTCGTTCTCTGCCGTCCCCTTCTTCTTTTGCCCTCCATCATTCCCAGCATTCGGCTCCAGGGAGTCCTTCCTTCTCATTAGGTGGCCGAAGTATTGAGTTTCCTCTTCAGGATCTGGCCTACTAAAGAGCCATCAGGGTTGATCTCCTCTAGGACTGACCGATTGGATCGCCTTGCAGTCTGAGGGACTCCATTCTTTGGCGCTCAGCCTTCCTTAGGGTCCAACTTTCACAGCCATCCACTGCAACTGGCAAAACCATAGCCTTGATTATACGCACTTTTGTTGGCAGGGTGATGACTCTGCTTTTTAGCAAGCTATCTAGATTTGCCATAGCTTTAGTAGCAGTCCCCAATTTTTCTGACTTTGTGGTTCAGCGGGCAGCGAGGTGGGGAGAAGGGTTGGTTCCACGCACCTGCATTTGAACAAGCGGCCGGCACATGTGCCCGCCACTCCTACAAATGGAGCTGCACACACTCATTCACCCATCACTTCCGCAGCCCAGTTCCGAACAGCCTGGTACTGGGCCACAAACCCAGGAATAGAGGGCCCCTGCCCCCTGGTTTAGAGAACCATAGAATTGGTTAATGGTTTTCAACAAGCCATTCTTTTCCTCAGCCATTCAATACAGGATTAGCTATATTTTACTTCACATTGTATTACTTCACAGTACAAGGCTATTGTAAGGTTTTGGGAACGAAGATATTTGCAGTTCTGAGGGGAAGGACCAAAAACAAGAATTGGAAGACACCAAATCGAAAAACCGCCCTGCTAAATGCTGGGTTTATTTCCATTCGGAATATTTTGTACAATTTAAGCTTTAGAGAAGACTGGTGGGGCACCCAAGGATCAGGCAGAATGGATGTCTGTGGAGATTCTCAGTCGTCCAGGTCCTAAAGGTGCTTTTTTCAAAAGGCAACTGGACTTTCTGGTTTTTTCTTTGAAGACGTTTCACTTCTCATCCAAGAAGCTTCTTCAGCTCTGACTGGATGGTGGAGAATGGAAGGATTTATGTACTCCTTGCAGACAGCTGGTCATTTGCATCCTTTGAGAGAGTCATTGAGGCCACTTGGAGGTTTCTCTGTGTCCTCGGGGTCACCTGAGTAGTACAAATGGTTCCTGTAGTCTGCAATTTTTTTCTGGAAATCCGTTCCTTCTCCCACACCATTCAAAGGGTGTTCATCCCAAATTGTATAGCTAAAAGTCTGTAGAGATTCTCAGTCATCCAAGGAGGCCATTGGAAAATCACCTTTGGGACAACCATGACCTGGATGACTGAGAATCTCCATAGATGTTGAAATCTTGCTGTGGGTGGCCCAGACGTGACCTGCATTTGTTCTGACCTAGGCTTCCTTAAAAAGCAGGAAGCAGAGTCTTGGTCCCGGCAAAACCCCTTTTATTGACACGACTGTGAATTCCTTTCATTCACAGTCAGCAAGGCCTGTCCAAACAGTCTTTCAAAGGAATACTTATCAACACAGACCTTATCTCGCTTGGAAAGCTGCCAGATAACTAGTTTCCAAACGCAGCACAAGGCCAAACTTGGCACAGAGTCTCTCAGAGTCACGAACAGAACTTTGCACTCTTGAACCGACCGACCGAACAAATTGTTTCCTGCAAAAGCCCCCTCCCCGTTTGCTCCTCTTTTGTTTCCTATGGGAGGGGCCAATCACCTCCAAGGTGTGGTTTTACTCCCAAGTCGACCCTGCTTTCTGAGTTGTTCTTGTCTTCTGGCAGCTTTGCGCATGCGCACAATGGGAACAAGCTCCAGCTGTTCCTCTGCCTCACTGCTGTCTACCTCCCTCTCTGCCTCCGACTCAGAGCCCTTGCCCGAGCTTTCCCCAGCCCCCATGTTCCTCCCCAACCTCCTCACTGTCCGACTCCG